CATGGCTTATATGCTAAAATATTTAATAGTTTTCTATTTAATATTCAGTCATAATTTCAAACAGAATTGTGTTAAGACAAGTCAATACTGCAGCTTTCAGATTTATTTGGATTCATGTTCAGCAGTTAGCTACTCAATGTTTTTTTGAAAAATATGGTGATTTTCAGGGCACATGCCTCATAGTGATGAACAGCTCCTGGAAGCTGGGTATGTTTATATGACAAAGAGGCTCCAAATGTCCAAGGGTAGCTTTGGATTTATGTCAATCTGAGCTTACATCAAGAAGAATTATTTGTTTTGCAGGCTTGTTACTCCATACTCTAAGCTGGACTTTAGAGTACTGAGCCAAAACAGCATACGTACAGACACTCTGCTTGGTCAGACTGTAGTTGATCTTCACGCCTTACTGGATGAAAACCATGGAAAATGTGAGTGGAGGCACTTAATTAAAAATTTCTAAGAATATAGCATGTTCCTGCTTTTCCACGGAATAGTTAATGTAATTATATACTGAGAGTTTTGTAAAGGACATAGTGTTGTGACAGTGACTTTCATCCTCAACATTAAACATGGAAACATATAAGCCATAATCAATGAATGGAATTTGGGAGCATTTCAGGGGTGAGAAATTTAGAGCTTCGCAATCAGGGGCATGTTTCAGTGGTTTATGCTGTATTTCATTTTAGTTTGGACATATTTTATTCTCATGAAAAGGACTGGGCACAAGTCCTCCTTCGGGTACAATATGCATTAAAATGTCCATTTTAATTACCTACGACAGTTGTAACAATATTTCAATAAATATTTTACAAAACAAAAACTTTTTTTTGTCTTGTGAGACCACCCCTACAGGGCCCCACAGGCCCCCACAGGCCCCCTACAGCCAAGAGCGGCAACTCTGGCTGCTTACCTCGTACCTCACTTTTCATGCTGTCCTTCATACAGAAAGGACATGCTTGGTCCATCGAAGACTGTCTTCGTCATTACCAAGAGAGATGAGTGAGAAAGAGTCAAATACTGTATGTATGGTTCTTTTCTTTACGCACAGGCGTCAGATGGAATCTATTTAGGACTTTCTGTCAGGCGTTCTCCCCTAGGACTAAAAACTCCTGCCATGCAGATATAATTTTTTTCACGTCATTGCTTTGGGAGTGGTGGTGGGGGTGGGGGCATTTGGGGACAGGAGCCTCTGTCTAAAAAAGCTAAAAAGAAGAATTGTTCCTCTTCTAGTTCTGCGCCGGTACCGGGCGAAGGGTGTGGTCTCTGTCGTTCCTCCACCTGCTGTACCCTCCACATCACAGGCATCTGCACCATTAACCTTTGAGTTATTATCAGATTTATTGCAGAATCAAATATTTGTCTGTCAAATCCCTCATCTCGGCCGCGATGTCCAGGTGCTGGGGCTTGTTCAGCTCTTGCGGCAGGTAGGGTTCCCAACCTTGACTCAGGCCCTGGTGTGGGAATTTCTGTCGGGGTTGCGTCTGCTCCGAATACCGACTCGGTTGCTGGCCACCCTTCCGCTATCACATCCAATCCCGGCCCGAGCCTCAGCTCTGGGTCCGGTTTGTTGGTTGGTCTGTCTCAGCGGCTTCTGGTACGGTTATGCATTTGGCTACACTGTTTGCGCCGACTCAGTGCCTTCGCAATCCATGTTGCCTTTGGGGAATCCAGCTACGGCAGGCTCTTCCTCATCATCTTGCCACCGAGGCTCATTGTCGATTCTCAAGTCTGCTCGAGCCTCTATCTCTTTCCTTAACACCCTCGGCCAACCCTTCGGAGCTCTCTCAGAGTGTTCGCTACTAGAGGATTGGGAAGAGGAGGTTATGGATGAGGATTAGGGTCGGGGAGGGTTGAGTGAACCATCTGTTTCACTCTGTTCGTCTCTGAGGCAGGTACACGATCGGATCGCCTCTGTCCTGCCTCAGGTGGTCGTTTGTTCTGACGTGCCCGACCCTTCAGAGTTTCAGCTCCCCGGGGAAGCTCTTGCTCCCACTCAGGTGGCAGACACCAAACTGCGTATTTTGCCTTCAGTCCTTGCTGAAGTCGTCAATCCCTCCTCATTGGTACCAGGTCGAGGTTCGATCTGCCTGAACTGGATCGTTGGTACCTTATGGGTGAGGAAAGTCTCTACAACCCCCCAATGGTCGATGATTGCGCCTATGCATCGGTCGCCCTGGGTGGGTCTTCGGGGTGCTCTCTTGCTTCTGCTAAGCAAGGCCGCCATTTACCACTAACGCCTCAACACTGTTTTACAGAGACAGCTGGTGGACGTGGGTGGGGTAGCGGAAGACTCGTCACATATCCTTCTGTTCCGGCGAAGTAAACTGTCAAGTGGTCTTAGCCCTTGCAGTCGTGGAAAGGCAAGGTCAAGGGTGCGGCGCCCCAGCAAGCTTTTCCGAGGAAGGGGAAGTCGGCCTCGGCTTCCCAGTCGTAAATCCTCTGGAGCGCTTGTTGGACCCAGACCAAGCAGTCAGAGTCACCTCGAATCCCTGGGTCCTGTCCAGTGGAAGGAAGCCCACCTCCCTTTTCCGGGATCCGTTGCACTCCAGTGACGGCTGCTCAGGAAAAAGCAGAGATGCTCCGTCTCAAACAGACGCCTCATTCACAGGGTGGCTTCACAATTCTGGCTTCGCGGAGGGATTCGACAAACGTCCAATATCAGGATAGATGGGCCTGTTATACGCGTTTGTGTGTCAGCAGAGGGATTCTCGATCCCTTTTCTTCAACTGTAGTTGAAGTGCTGGAGTTCCTGCAGTCTTGGTTAGAGGCCGGCCTAGCCGCGTCTACTATCCGTGGATACTCCACGGTAATCTCTGCCTTCCATATACCTGCCGATGGTGCTCTCTTGGGGCAGCACCCTCTTGTACAGCGCTTCTTAGCAGGTGTGTACAGAATCCACCCGACTGTTCGGCAGATTAGTCCCCTGTGGGACTTGTCAGTCATTCTTGATTGGATGTCCGGTCCTCTCTTTTACGTTCTGTCATCTCTCTCCCTCCAGCTGTTACGCTGAGGCAGCCTTTCTTGTGGTGGTAACGTCTGGCAGGCGGGTCGGCGACATACAGGCGATGTCAGCGGATCCTGCTCTGACTGTCTTTCATAAAGAAAGACAGAGTTAGTATTCGGTTGCCAGACTCTTATCGTCCTAAGATCGCAAGCTCCTTACACATAACAGCGCCTATTGAACTGCCAGCTTTCACTCAGCCTCCATAGTCCGGTACCTCTCTTCGACGCGCTGACGTCTTAGATGTCCGTAAGACTGTCAAGGCTTATATCAAGCAAACAGCGTCTGTCTGCAAGGATAAGCAACTGTTCTGCTGTTATGGTGGTGGTAAGGCTGGTCTTCCGGCGAACAAGCAGACCATTTCTAGGTGGTTTGTCTCTGCCGTTTGTATGGGCTATATGAACAAAGAGTTAACTCTGCCTGAAGGGCTTAAAGCTCATTCGGTTAAGGCAGTGGCCACATCAAAAGCGTACGCTGCGGCCCTACCCATTGAGGAGATCTGCTCAGCGGCTATTTGGAGCCGGACCAGTACGTTCATACGTCACTACCAGCTGGACAAACACAGTGGTGGTATTTTATTGATGGTGGTTTTTACCGGTTTTATTGGCTATAGCGTTGTTATATGCCCTATCCACCTATTTTTATCCCTATCACCACGCTCCGCTGGTTTGGGTATATGTGTGGAATATGTTTGGACTTGAACCATACATTCCTTCCCATTTGATGTAGGGGGTGGGCTTTATGTCCATCATAAAGAATTAGCCAATCACATATAAGCTAGGCTGTAGGGGTGGTCTCACAAGACAAAAACGAGTTTTTTATTTTGTAAAATATTTATTGAAATATTGTTTCAACTGTCGTAGGTAATTAAAATGGAGATTTTAATGTTTATATGTACCCCAAGGAGGACTTTCTTCAAAGAATTCATAACCTCTACAGGTTTGTATAAATGTATATGAATGCTTATTTACAATTAATACATCTAATGAATTGTATTTCAGTTAATGAATTGCGGAAGGTGTTTGAATTAAAGATAGAGGGGAAGGGGAAAGTTGGTGACTCAACTGTTGTGTTTAATGGCATGGAAGTGAACATGAAGAACTTTCCTAAGAAGAGCACTGCAGGTGGGTAGCATGATAGCAGATATCTGCAGAAACGTGTACCATGTAATATACCTGGGCCATTGTAAGAAGCTGTGGCTATCTGTTCAATTTCATTCCCTATGATAGATCATGTTGTCTTTGCAATGAATAGATCTGCAGTACCGAGTGCTTGTACAGTGTGACCTTGTTGTTTGAGTGTCATTGTTAATTGGACTGCTGCTGGATCCAGACTCAATTATACACCAACTGTAATGAGCTAAATATTGTTTTCAAGAGTAAAACTGTTTCTTTTGCTTCCTTTTCCTGTTATAAGAGATTCATTTGATTATTACTAATTTCTGTAGGATCCAAAGTTCAGAATGGAAGTACATCAAGAACTAACCGCCACAGCAACCCAGAAGGAAGGACACCTAGCCGTATGCCTCGGAGCAACAGTTCCTCCAACCAGTCCAATGTAGCACGTGCTGCCCCTCCCCGTCCAGCTCTCCCCCCTGGGGGAAGCTCATCGGCACCAACCACGCCATCAGCAAATGCCACTACTCCTGTTGCCAGTACCCCACCAGCTGGGGCTGCAAACACGCCGCCAGCAGTCGGTAAGGGATTTAGTTTGTCAGTCTCTTACAAAACATTCGATTTGTTACATTAGATTATGTTGGGTTTTTCTTGATCAACACTGAGATTATATACTATCATACTGATTAGTGTTGGTTGTTCTAAAAATAGTTAATGATTGTTCTATAATAGTTAATGGTGCGGTAACAATCATGTAAACAAAACACAAGCAGGGACCCTTCTGAAATTTCACATGGTTTTGTATGAAGTCATAGTCAACATTGTTCAGATATGAAGTGCAGTGTACTTATCGAGACTGTATGCTCTGCAGTACCTGGCACACCGACTGCCCATCAGAATGGTGCAGTGGTAGGAGCAGCAGGGACCCTGGTGGGCCGCCACCGCCACCGCCGCCGCCGATACCAACTACTGGCACCACTGACGCTCCACCTGGCAACCCATCAGCAGCTGAAACAGCCATGAATGCAAACACTGAGCCTTTACCTCCTGGGTGAGGAACACTTCTTTAGACACTATCGAAGCCTCATGTCTTCATACTTTTTGCTCAATATCTGAAGGAGCAATTATTTTAGTTATGATTTAAACAACATTTTTTTTCAATAAATGAATGGATCGGTAAACAGGCATTATGCCTATATGAATACCTCTCCGAGGTTAGTTATCCAACTTTACAAATTGCTTGTCTCAAATTAGTTTCATTGTTCCGTGTAATTTATTTTGTCAGAGATTTTAAAACTTTGAAATATGAATTCAGAAATCATGTTTTGACTTCATTTGCACTTTTAATATTTTGGCATTTGTTGAAAATAACCATCAGTTTGTGGTATAACTATGTGTATACTTTTGGTATTGTTTGGTTATATTCAGTTAACATGTCTACATTATAAAGGAAATGATCTACCTGTTTGTCTTTAGATGGGAAATGCGTCTTGATCAGCACAACCGCCCATACTATGTTGACCACAACACTCGTACAACAACATGGGAGCGACCACAGCCTTTACCACCAGGGTTGGTTTTATATTGATGACTTTTCAGAAATTGTTCCATCTTTGCTCAGGCATGTCTTTAACTGTGTCGCAGTCCTGGCTTCTGTAGGCCCTCTGTTTGACTCGACCTAAAGAAGCCATGAATATTCAATAAAATGCATAACTCTGCTGTTGAGTTTTCATTTCCCAAGTTCTATATATGGTTGTCTTTGTGTTTTAAACTTGGTTTCATTCTGTTGATGCTAACTTTGTTTGCTATTTGTAGTTGGGAGAGGCGAGTGGACAACAGAGGCAGGGCATACTATGTTGATCACAACTCCAGGACAACATCATGGCAACGTCCGAACACAGACATGGTACAGAACTGGCAGAATTGGCAGGAGTGGAGGAACAATCGTACGTTCGAGCAGCTCCAACGGCGCTTCTTGTTCCCACAGTTCACCCAGCAAGACACCAGTGACCCCCTTGGACCTCTGCCAGAAGGATGGGGTAAGCAATCCACAAGTGGTACAAGTGGTAACCCTAACATGTGGCAGATCTGACTAGGATCGGTCCAATTTTCGATGTAGTGAATGATTGTATTGTTGTATTACCAACAATTGAAGAGTGACATTTTTAGCTTGTTGTCTTTAAACAAACAAGTTATGCTATTCCTGCAACAGCTAAAGGATGCATAAATTAATTAGCAACAAATTGTTTTGGTCACGCAATTTGTGATACGGAGAGGACTTTGGGGGGAAATGAGGTTTAAATTAATACAGTATATGTTGAACACAAGTGCTAGAGAAAGTTGAATATTTTCCTCTTTCTCTGCAGAGAAACGGGTCGATGCAAATGGTCGTGTGTACTTTGTTAATCACAAGAACAGGACGACACAGTGGGAGGATCCAAGAACACAGGGGTAGGTATTGATGATCTTCAGTTATCATTCTGTAGGATCTAAGGTAGTCAAGATCCCGTCGTTAAAGCATTATTGGTTCTGATTATGTAAAGATGGTACAATCTCTTTGTAGCACCTTTTAGATGGCTTGAAATCAGATTCTCGTGAAATGACAGGTATGGTTATGTAGCAATGTGGTTTTTATGTGATAGTGTAGTATTTTATGCATGTATTTCTAGCATAGTGCAAGAGGATCCTCTGCCCGAGGGCTGGGAGATGCGCTACACTGGTGAGGGTGTACGTTATTTCGTTGACCACAATACCAGAACAACTACATTCCAGGACCCCCGAGGAGGGCCATCCAAGGGGTAAGTTCAACCAAAAGATTATCACATGCAAAAGATTTCTGCAATATGTGCATATATACTCATGGAAACGAATAAGGGAACACATGAGAGTACGAGTGTTCCTTTATTGTTTTCCAGGTTTCTTCACTAGGTATCTATTACACTGTGGGTGAAATTCTGGAAATAAATAAAGGAACATTTGTACTTTCATGTGTTCCCTTATTAGTTTCCATGATATTCTTCTGAATAGGCAGAAATTATTCCTTTCTTGTTTTAAAGGCCTGTCTTAAGCCCTTCTTTGCTGGTTTTCTGGTTTTCTAAGTCACAAGGATTGAAATCAGTCATTTTGTGGGTATCAACATGGACAACATACTTTGACCCGGGTAGCATGGGAAACCAGTGATGATATCCGATTGAAAGCCACTTTATAACAGCAACATTTATACAAAAAATATTATGTGCCTAGTTTAGATCACAGTTGGCATCAATGAAAACTGGACGCTGACTAATCTCTGTCAAAACTAGTCACCTTACTATACTGAACCAAAGAGTGTATGTATCATGAATATTTTGAGTATAATTTTTGTGAAATTGTGTGCTCAGTCTTCAACAATAATTATATCCCAAAATATTCATGATCTCTTCTTCATTTTGTTTAGTATGTGTTAATATACATCATCAGGTAAAAAAACTTGTCTTATCCAGATTGAAATCACATGTAATCTGGATAAACTGTCAATTTCACACATGCAATTCTTTTTCATAGAGATCATCCTTGGGGTACATATATGCATTTTCTGCGGCTGAAAATGTCATGTGACAGTTGTATCAATGTTTTAATAAAAATATTGTACAATAAATAAAAATCTTTTTATCTATTATACGTCCCCCAACTCGTAGAGTAACCTCCCTGCTACGCACGCGCAGCCAACCAGGTAAGCAGCTAGGCCCGTATCATCATTCCTTCTGCTGTCACTCAAAGCGTTCACACGTGTTTCGAGTATCCTAGCTGAATTACTTCTCTTGAGAGAAAAAGAATGTCTGAGACTCCAACAACTGTATGTATGGTCTTTATTCATTCTTGACAGAAAAGTTTTATTGACTTTACAGTCTATCATTTCTCATTTATGTGACTTAGTATTAAACTTTACGCTTGCTTTCCCGTGGTTTACGCACGTGTTGCTCTTCCATGGCGCGAAGTTTAGCGTGCCACCTGGTTGTCATATTGCGTTATTAACCAAGTATTTCTTCCCGTGGTCGCTTTCACGTCATTTTCAATATTTTGTACGTGTATATTTATGCTGCTGGTTCCGCTGTTAGCTACATGCTTGCGTGTTTGCTTTCAGGCGTTTACTGGGTGTTCTGTCTGTGAGCAGAACATTCCAAGAGCCGACAAGCACGATAAGTGCTTGCGCTGCCTTGAAAAGGTGAGAGCGGAGGAGTCTGTTCTTCCGCCCTGTCTTCCTCCTGTGTCTCGGAACCGGGGTTCGAGTGGTGTGTCGGTTGCCGGAGCGGGGAGTTCCTTTGGCTCTCCCCTTCCCTCGGTGTTTGGGGCTCTGCCTTCCACCAGGTCGGGGTTCGTATCCTCTTCACGAGGAGACCCGGATTCTGACTTGAGCTCGGGTGCCGAGTCTATGGACGGTGGGGAGGTCGAGGAACCGGATGGCACTTTCCGTTTCTCGTCGGCGTTTCGGGAGCTGCGGCAGCGTATTGCCGAGTATATTCCCAAAGCTGCGGTACCCACCTGTCACTCCTCGGACTCAGTTCCGCCTGCCGGGCGAGGCGTTTGCCCCAAGGCAACCCTCGCAGACACTGCTCCGTATCTTGCCTTCCCTGGTGCAGGACGTGATGGATCCCCTCCTGGTTGGGACACGCCTCCGATTTGATTTACCCGAACTCGTTAAGAGGTACCAGCTGGGGGACGATTCTCTGTTCTTTGTGTTGACGAGTGCGTGTTCACTTCGGTCACCCTCGGGGGAGGCTCGGCTTCCTCTGGTGCAGCCCTGGCTGCCCAGCAAGGGCATTTAGTTCCACCGTTTGCCCTTGCGGGTGCCCCCCTGCGGCAGGCTTACCCGGACTTATGAGAAAGTCTACCGGAATGCCATGCAGCAGGTGCGGGAGGTGATCCATGAGGCCTACCTTTCCTCTATCCAAAGGTCGGCTGTGGAGGCTGAAGGGAGCACTGGGGATGTGTCCTAAGTGCAGGCCCACCTAGCGCACGACTCTTTGCGGTCTGCGGCATCTACGGTGATGTGCGCAGTCATGGGGATGCGCAAGCTGTGGCTGTCAGACCTTGCTAGCACTTCCGTTCCGGCTGGAAGCGACGTTTCCGGGGGCTCAGGTCATTCGGGAGGCTGCTGCTGCAGCTACCTCCTTCAAGGACTTGAAGGCCTTGTTGGAGCATCCGTGGGCTTCTCGCCCCCGCGTTCCTGTAGCGGGTTCCTCCTCCGGGGCGCAGCCTACGCCCGAGTCTACCGACTGGCTTCGGCCGCTGGGCAGGGTAGGAGGAAGAGCCTTCCCGCCAAAGTTAAGGGCAAGGAGCAGTCCTCTTTGTCTGGCTCCCATCAGCCTTTTCGCGGTCGCGGGAGGTCTACCCCGACCTCCCGTTAAACCCGCAGGCTGTCGCCGTGGGTCCAACCCAGTCAGTTCGTCTGCAAGGGACTACTCACGCCCTCTTCCCACACGTCCCAGTGGGGGGCCGCCTCTCTCTATTCCTGCCGGAGTGGGAGAAGGCTACCAGCAACACTTGGGTGCTTTCCACCATCAGTGTTGGCCATCTACCACAGTGGAAGCAAGGCCCGCCAGAATTCACCGGCATACTTTGCACTCTGGTGCCGTCATGTCTGGTCAGGAAGGGTATACTGCGAGACGAAGTTCAGGCTTTGCTGGACAAGTCCGCAATACCACCGGGCGAGGAACAGGCGGGATTTTATTCCACGTACTTCCTCGTTCCGAAGAAGGATGGCGGGTTCCGTCCCATTCTCAACCTCAAGGGGTTGAATCGCATGCTAGAGGTTCCATCCTTCAAGATGGAGACACTTCGCTCGTGATCTCCTCTGTTCAGCCCGGCGATTGATCGATCTAAATCATGCGTATCTACATGTGCCAATTCATCCATCGTTCAAGCAGTACCTCCGGTACTCTTACGATTGGATGGGTTACCAATTCACGGTGCTCCCCTCGGCATATCCACTGCCCCCAGGGTGTTCACCAAGCTCATGTTAGTGCCAGCTACCCTTGCAAGGTCGCAAGGAAGGCGTTGTTACCCTTACCTCAACAACTGGTTGCTCAGCACTCTAACTCAGCCAGCGAGCCTAGATTCTTCTCACTCGGTGATAGACATTCTAGTTCGACTGGGGTGGATCATAAACCTCAAGAAATCCGACCTGGTACCCACCCAGGTTTTTCTCGGGGCGTGGTTCACAACTTACAAGGGTCTTGTCTCCTTTTCGCCCAACCGGGTCACCAGAGTATGGGAGATGGTGTCTTTGTTCCTCTCCCAGCCCAAGGCACCAGCGCGGACTTGGCTCCGTCTACTGGGTCATCTCTGTAGTGTGGCAGTTGAGGATGCGCCCTATACAGGATCTGGAGCAGTGTCTCACAGTCCCCGGGTGGTTGTCTCCTCACCTTCAGTGGTGGACCAATGTCGGGAATCTCTCCAAGGGGATCCCTTTGGAAATCCCGACGCAGTTCAAATCGATGTTCCTCACGAAGCTGGTGGGGTGTTCTGCGTCGGTGTCCGGACTCTGGTCCGAATCCGAAGCCAGTTCATCAACGCCTAGGAACTGAGATCGAGCATCGCCAGGTGGTTCCCTCACGAGCTGGTGGGGTGTTCTGGGCAGTCTGTCGGTGTCCGGACTCTGGTCCGAATCCGAAGCCTGCCTTCACATCAACACCCAGCCAGCTCGGCTACTTGTGCTACTGGCACCGCTATGGCCGTCACAGAGCTGGTTTCCGGTGATTCTCAGGTTTCTGGCTCAGCCTCCTGTTCTATTACCTTTGCGACCGGACATTCTCACTCAGAACGGCGCACCATACCCCAATCCAAGGATTCAGTGGGTGGCTTGGCCTCTGTCAGGTCTAGCCTTGAAGCACGCGGAATTCCTGCAGCAGTTGCAGACACAATTCTGGCTTCGAGGAGGGATTCGACAAACGTTCGACATATGAGGATAGGTGGTCCCGCTATGCGCGCTGGTGTTCAGATAAGGGGATTGCAGATCCCTTTTCTGCAGATTTAGTCCGAGTATTTGAGTTTTTGCAAGCTCGTTTGGAAGAAGGCTTGGCGGCTTCAACTATTCATGGCTACTCCACGGCTATGTCGTCTGACCCGGCGCTAACTGTGTTCCACCCAGATCGTGTCAGTATTCTCCTCCCGGATACTTACCATCCGAAGATCAATCACGCTTTCCATGTGACAGCTCCTATCGAACTTCCTACTCTTACCCAGCCTTCCACATCGGGGACCTCTGCAACGAGCATTCACCCGTTGGATGTCTGAAAGACTCTCAAGGTCTATATCAAACGAACACAAGGGATCCGTACGGGTACCCATCTGTTCTGCTGTTACGGTGGCGGGAAGGCTGGGATGCCGGCGAGCAAACAGACCCTGTCTCGCTGGTTTGTATCGGTCATTTGTGCTGCTTATCAGGCTAAGGGCAAGCCACGTCAAAGGCTTTTGTATCGGCACTGCCCATTGAAGAGATATGCTCTGCCGCTATTTGGAGCAGGCCTAGCACTTTTATCAGGCACTATCAGCTCGATACACATTCATGTGAACGTGCACGTTTTGGCCGTTCTGTTCTCTCCAGTGGACAGTGTCCTGCGACCCTGACCGAGTGAGTCTTGGTTATCTGGACAGTTGACGCTGCTTTCAATTGAGTATTATTGATATATCCGCTGTTGTGTGATCTAACTCCTTTCGATTCTCTCTCGGTTGTGAGTTCGATTTTCCCACTTACGGTGCTCTCTAATAGATCATGATATGGGCGGGTTTTTATATTTTTGCACTGTGTGCGATTTACTGTGCTTAACCTATGAGGTCGGATCTAAGTACTTATCCTCCCTGTCGGTTACCCTCCCATAATGCCTCTCGCGGAAGCTTCGGGACACATGACGGGTGAGTGTTGTGGCGTCTGTTACATTCTTTTTAACGTTCGCTATTTATGTGTACTTTGACAGAATTCCTTCCTCCCTGGCCTCCGGTCTTTGGGAGTCTGAGTTAATGCATATATGTACCCCAAGGACGATCTCTATGAAAAAGAATTAGCTAAACCTGTAGAGGTTTCCAATTCTTTGAAGAGAGTCATCCTTGGGGTGGGGACGCCCACCTCCCCACAATTCTGTTCACTAATTTATTCAGCAGAAGGAATGATGATACGGACCTAGGTGCTTACCTGGTTGGCTGCGCATGCGTAGCAGGGAGGTAATTCCGCGTGGTGGGGGCCGTATAATAGATAAAAAAGATTTTTATATATTGTACAATATTTTTATTAAAACATTGATACAACTGTCACATGACATTTTCAGCCGCAGAAAATGCATATATGTACCCCAAGGACGACTCTCTTCAAAGAATTGGAAACCTCTACAGGTTTACCTAAAAAATTTCAACCCTAGTTTATTCTGATAACTCAGCATACTTCATCAACTATCCACAACAAGCATAGCTGGGTGCTTTTTCCCATTGTGTTTACAACAGGCACAACAAATACACTATACTCCTAAGTTAATTCTTCATTTTTACCAGGGGTTCAAAAATCCCATCGCCCGACGCCCGGGGCAAGTCAGTTTTCATTTCGGGCAATCAAATACTGGTATGTTACTTGTCCGTAGGCTACTAGATAATCTCTGCTTACGGTTTCAAACTGCAAATAAACTTGGATTTCATTTCATATCTGCTCAAAATGTAGCTATTAAATTTTCCAATGATAATTAAGTAGAGTTATCCTTCTTTGCTATTTATCAGTTCTCAAATAGTCCAGTGAACATTAACATCAAATACCATGTTGATTTATTCTTTCATAATTACATCATCATGATTATGTCATAAAAATCAGGGGCGGTGGGGTAGCCTAGTGGTTAAAGCGTTGGCTCGTCGCGCCGAAGACCCGGGTTCGAATCCCCACATGGGTACAATGTGTGAAGCCCATTTCTGGTGTCCCCCGCCGTGATGTTGCTGGAATATTGCTAAAGTGGCGTAAAACCAAACTCAGTCAGTCATAAAAATCAGGGCAAGTGCCCTGTGGCAAGTGGCTTATAAAAACATTTTGAACCCCTGTTCTTACACCAAACAGACATTAGATTGAATGAATTAGCAAAGATTTGTGGTGGGATATATCTTTTGAATAATTCATTCAAGGCATAATTACAGGTAACATACCCATGCACACGTATATAAATATTGTCTCCCTGGGATACTCTTATATTTGACAGTCAGGTTGACCTTATTTTGTGCAGCCGTTCATGTATTACTTCCTGGTATGAGTGCTTTGTTACTTTATTGTTTGCATACAATGTGATAAGAATCCTTGTGACTCTGTTCTTAAGCTTAACTGGCATACAGGAATTCCACATTCTTTTCCTTCAAGGACAAATAGTGTGTTTTTACCCTGTTACAGTAATTGTGTGAATCTTTATTTATACATTATTGGCCATATTCAGTGTTTATTGGCATTGATATTTGATATAGTGTGCTGACTTGATCTATGCTACATGTTTGCTATAAGATTACATGGGGTTGATAAGAGATTTTCCTCTTTTGTGTTTAGATAAAAGAGCTTTTGCATACCTCATTAAACTCTCTGATCCAATACGCACCTTGGCCAGTTATCTTTATATACATCCTGCTCCTTCTCTTTTGTCAATTTTCGAAACACCCAACACTTATGATAGTATCACTGTCTGCATTGTGTATCTCACCTTGAACAGGGGCGGTGGGGTAGCCTAGTGGTTAAAGTGTTGGCTTGTCATGCTGAAGACCAGGGTTTGATTCCCCACATGGGTACAGTGTGTGAAGGCCTTTCCAGGTGTCGCTCGCCATGATATTGCTGGAGCACTCACTCACTCACTCATGGTGAGGTGATCTCCCAGGTTGTTGCTTATTGCATTTGTAAATTACAAAGCTGTTCATGCATGTATTATGTTAAAGTGTTAAAGACACGATTACAAGAAACATTTGTGTCGTGTTATGTTGTGCCCCATAAGAGAATATTGGTTTAAGATATGTTTTGAGGTTGTATATGAACCTGCTGCTTCATTGACCACTTATCTAGATTGACATTGGTCCCTTATGGACCATATTCCCACAGACAGACAGACAGACAGACAGACAGACAGACAGACAGACAGACAGACAGACAGAGAGAGAGAGAGAGATCAGGGCTACAGATAAGGGGCAGACAGGCTTAATGTATGCCTAAAAAAATCAATGAAGTCCTACATAATATAGGTTTTCAAGCGTTTCATGTATGCACATAAATGCCTTTGTACATCTAACATACATGAAGTTTATTAACTGAAAAGTTGTTTAATATTATAAATAACAAACCACATCACCAACTCACTCACACAAAAATATGTCAGTACTCCTTCAAAATTCTCAGTACACCTCCACTTGCAGTATGAGGTGTAAGTACACCCACACTCCCAAAAGTTATCTGGAGCCCTGCCTGCTGTTTGAACGGTGTTTACAGAGCAATATTCCTATAACATGTTCACATTGACGATGTCTCCACAGACCCAAGGGTGCCTATGGTGTGCCAATCCAGTATGAGAGAAGTTTCCGCTGGAAGCTGGGTCAATTCCGATACCTCTGTCACTCCAACTCCCTCCCAGGCCATGTCAAGATCACTGTGTCCAGGGACAACATGTTTGAGGACTCCTTTGCACAGGTAAAGCCATGCACTATGCATGTTTGTTATTGAGGTAACTGAGCTGTCTCTAGTTTATGCTCTGATTTTAGTCAGATTGCTGTGAAAATGCTCATGCTTCCTGCAAGAATAGTTCCAACTTGGGCAGAAATTTGTCACTTTGATAAACAATAATACCATTTTTGATTTCACATGATGTGCTGATGCTTGAATGCATCTTACAGATCATGAGATTACAACCTTATGACTTGAGGCGGAGGCTGTACATCATCTTCAAGGGAGAGGAGGGACTTGACTATGGTGGTTTGGCCAGGTAAGGAGTTTCATTTGGGATTTTCTAATGTTATTGCTAAATTTTAAATTATTTTCCTACTGATGCAAATGTTTCTCTTTGATTTCTTAAGCTATCATGTTTGTTGACCCGTGCATATTTCTTAAATTGAATTATGTTATGACTTTGCAGAGAATGGTTCTTCCACCTGTCTCATGATGTTCTCAACCCCATGTATTGCCTCTTCGAGTATGCTAGCAACAGCAACTACTGTCTACAAATCAACCCAGCCTCCAGTGTCAACCCTGACCACCTGCTCTATTTCAGGTTCATAGGCAGGTTTATTGCCATGGTCAGTTTGAAGTCAACCTCCATGGAGAATACATATGAGCAGCAGTCTTGCCATACGTCTTTTCCAATGTCTTTTGTATCAAGGGATGACTATCTTTTAAACATTGTAAATGATTGTTGTAACAAACATCTTTACTTGAGCTTAATTTCAGACATGTTATTGTAACCATTTACTGGTATGTGATGTATACTGTTTGTGGCTTGCAGGCTCTGTATCATGGGAAGTTCATTGATAGCGGCTTCACCATGCCTTTCTACAAGAGAATGTTGAACAAGAAGCTCACAGTCAAAGATATTGAATCTGTAGATTCCGAGTTCTACACATCGATCCTGTGGATCAAGTAAGTGTGGCTCTTGGCAGGGAGGCAACAACTGTTATTCTTAAGTTTTCTTCTCCCAAATCTCCAATGTGAGGAATCTTAAAAGTAACAAGGATCTCGCTTCCTTTGTCGCCCGACACCAGAGTTCGGAGATGGTATCTTCATTCCTCTCCCCAGCCCCAGGCAACAGCACGGACTTGGTTCGCCTAGCCATAGCGGCGGGCGACGATCTCTGTAGTGTGGCGGGCGCTGCTGAGGATGCGCCCCTCCAGTCCCCTGAAAGTGGTTGACACACCCCACCTTCAGTGGTGGACAAATGTCGGAATCTCACCAGGGTTCCCTTGAAACTCCGGACCAGCTCTCAGCAGTTCAGATACAGATGCCCCTCACGGGTTGGGGCGTCAAGTTCGTCGCTTCCGGACTCTTCCGTCAAGCTCACCTTCACATCAACGGTTGGAGCCGAGAGCCAGCGTTGGTATTCGAAATGCCAGAGAGCATGTCCTGCGGGCTGTGTAGTCCGGCTCTTCAGTTAGACAACCAGACGGCCATGTCGCATATCCTGAAGCAGGAGGCATCGGTAGTCCTCTAGCCCGGGAAGCGGACTTTCTCCTCTGGAGCCACCTTCAGTACGCATTGTCAGGTAATTTCTGTTTATCTCCCGGGTTGAGAACGCGGCGGTGCATGCGCGCATTTCTCTCGCCGGATCCTGGCCCCGCATCGAAAGTGGGATGTCGGCAGGCAGATATTCACAGGTAATCTCCCAGTTGTAATATCGGTCGCTCGAGGTGGATCTGTTTGCGCCCGCGGACGACAGACACCTCGTAATTCTGCTCTCGATAATACCGACCAGAGGGCTGGCTGCCTCCTGTTAGGGATTGAGTCAAGTAAGTGTGGCTCTTGGCAGGGAGGCAACAACTGTTATTCTTAAGTTTTCTTCTCCCAAATCTCCAATGTTCTACACATCGATCCTGTGGATCAAGTAAGTGTGGTTTTAAAGTCTAAACTATTCTTTGACCATCCTTCCAATAGTGATGGTTTTGAGGACTATAACAATATTTGTTGCAATAGAGTACCACTTTCTGAAGTACGGTTGTGAAAAATGAAAACTTGCCATGCTAGGAGAGTTGTTCCATCAACAGGAATGGCCCAATCAAAATGTATTCAGTTTTCAGCTAATAAATGAAAGAGTGAAAACTGATTCTATGGAAAATAGTATTATACAGTCACTTTCATTCAGTTTCGTGTCACTCTTATAAATAAGCTTGTATTGTTTTGTATCGATATATGCTCTTATGATATGACAGTCGTATCACGATGCACCCAATGTTACATAAATTGTTGCACCTATGTTGTTATGTGAGTGAGTGAGTTTAGTTTTACGCCGCACTCAGCAATATTCCAGCTATATGGCAGCGTTCTGTAAATAATCGAGTCTGGACCAGACAATCCAGTGACCAGTAGCATGAGCATCAATCTGCGCAATTGGGAACCGATGACATGTATCAACCAAGCCAGCGAGCCTGACCACCCGATCCCGTTAGTCGCCTCTTACGACAAGCATGGGTTACTGAAGATTCATTCTGACCTGGACCTTCACGGGTCTGTTGTTATGTAGTACTGTTATGCTAGGCAATTCCGCCTAACCTTGGACTGTGTTCACACAGGGACAACAACATTGATGAGTGTGGCCTAGAGCTGTACTTCCAGGCTGACTTTGAAGTCCTGGGCAAGATTGAACAGCATGATCTCAAGGAGGGTGGCGGAGACATCAAAGTAACAGAGGAAAACAAGGAAGAGTACATCAAGTAAGTATATGAACAAATGCATGGTCTCTTCAGACAAATCCCAGGTAACAAATTGACCTGGCTAATGGCATTGTAACCAAACTGTGGTTTGAAGCTCATTATATCACTCTTGTGAAAATATCAAGCCTAAGCCCTTGTCTCTGGATTGGAAAGTCACTTTTCCAGGAACAAAATCTACTTGTCCAGATTGCAGAACAGAAAAGGGTTAATCCATTTAGATTAATCATTTGCTAGACCGAAATCGAACAAAATCCTTAAGATAATTCATTGTAACCTTATACTTAAATGATATATGATATATGACAGCTTGATGGTGAACTGGCGCTTCACTCGAGGAGTTGAGGAACAGAGCAAGGCGTTTCTGGAGGGCTTCAATGAGGTGGTGCCTTTACAGTGGCTGCAGTACTTCGAGGATCGATGAGAGGGAGCTGGAGGTCAGTGGAGGTCCTAGCTCAACAGTAGTATCACTGTACAGCTCACAAGTCCTAGCTCAACAGTAGTATCACAGTACAGCTCACACGTCCTAGCTTAACAATAGTATCACAGTACAGCTCACAAGTCCTAGCTCAACAATAGTATCACAGTACCTCACACGTGCTAGCAACAGTAGTATCACAGTACAGCTCACACGTCCTAGCTTAACAATAGTATCACAGTACAGCTCACACGTCCTAGCTTAACAATAGTATCACAGTACAGCTCACACGTCCTAGCTTAACAATAGTATCACAGTACAGCTCACAAGTCCTAGCTCAACAGTAGTATCACAGTACAGCTCACAAGTCCTAGCTCAACAGTAGTATCACAGTACAGCTCACACGTCCTAGCTTAACAATAGTATCACAGTACAGCTCACACGTCCTAGCTCAACAGTAGTATCACAGTACAGCTCACAGTACGTCCTAGCTCAACAGTAGTATCACAGTACAGCTCACAAGTCCCTAGCTCAACAGTAGTATCACAGTACAGCTCACACGCCCTAGCTTAACAATAGTATAGTATCAGCTCAACAGTAGTATACAGCTCACACGTCCCCTAGCTCAACAGTAGTATCACAGTACAGCTCACCGTCCTAGCTTAACAATAGTATCACACAGCCCTAGCTCAACAGTAGTATCACAGTACAGCTCACAGTCCTAGCTCAACAGTAGTATCACAGTACAGCTCACAAGTCCTAGCTCAACAGTAGTATCACAGTACAGCTCACAAGTCCTAGCTCAACAGTAGTATCACAGTACAGCTCACAAGTCCTAGCTCAACAGTAGTATCACAGTACAGCTCACAAGTCCTAGCTTAACAATAGTATCACAGTACAGCTCACAAGCCCTAGCTTAACAATAGTATCACAGTACAGCTCACAAGTCCTAGCTTAACAGTAGTATCCACAGTACAGCTCACAAGTCCTAGCTTAACAATAGTATCACAGTACAGCTACAGCTCAACAATAGTATCACAGTAGCACGTCCTAGCTTAACAATAGTATCACAGTACAGCTCACAAGCCCTAGCTTCAACAATAGTATCACAGCTACAGCTCAACAATAGTATCACAGTACCTAGCTTAACAATAGTATCACAGCTACAGTCCTAGCTCAACAGTAGTATCACAGTACAGCTCACCGTCCTAGCTCAACAGTAGTATCACAGTACAGCTCACAAGTCCTAGCTCAACAGTAGTATCACAGTACAGCTACAGTATCACAGTACAGCTCACAAGTCCTAGCTCAACAGTAGTATCACAGTACAGCTCACAAGTCCTAGCTCAACAGTAGTATCACAGTACAGCTCACAAGTCCTAGCTCAACAGTAGTATCACAGTACAGCTCACAAGTCCCTAGCTCAACAGTAGTATCAGTACAGCTCTGCGCCCTAGCTTAACAGCAGTATAGTATCACAGTACAGCTCACAAGTCCTAGCTCAACAGTAGTATCACAGTACAGCTCACAAGTCCTAGCTTAACAGTAGTATCACAGTACAGCTCACAAGTCCTAGCTCAACAGTAGTATCAACAGTAGTAGTACAGCTCACACGCCCTAGCTTAACAATAGTATCACAGTACAGCTCTGCGTCCTAGCTCAACAGTAGTATCACAGTACAGCTCACACGTCCTAGCTTAACAATAGTATCACAGTACAGCTCACAAGTCCTAGCTCAACAGTAGTATCACAGTACAGCTCACAAGTCCTAGCTTAACAGTAGTATCACAGTACAGCTCACAAGTCCTAGCTCAACAGTAGTATCACAGTACAGCTCACAAGTACAGCCTAGCTTAACAGTAGTATCACAGTACAGCTCACAAGCCCTAGCTTAACAATAGTATCACAGTACAGCTCACAAGTCCTAGCTCAACAGTAGTATCACAGTACAGCTCACAAGCCCTAGCTTAACAATAGTATCACAGTACAGCTCACAAGTCCTAGCTTAACAGTAGTATCACAGTACAGCTCACACGCCCTAGCTTAATAATAGTATCACAGTACAGCTCACAAGCCCTAGCTCAACAGTAGTATCACAGTACAGCTCACAAGCCCTAGCTCAACAGTAGTATCACAGTACAGCTCACAAGCCCTAGCTTAATAATAGTATCACAGTACAGCTCACAAGTCCTAGCTCAACAATAGTATCACAGTACAGCTCACACGTCCTAGCTCAACAGTAGTATCACAGTACAGCTCACAAGTCCTAGCTCAACAATAGTATCACAGTACAGCTCACAAGTCCTAGCTTAACAATAGTATCACAGTACAGCTCACAAGTCCTAGCTCAACAATAGTATCACAGTACAGCTCACAAGTCCTAGCTTAACAATAGTATCACAGTACAGCTCACATACAGCTCACGTCCTAGCTCAATAATAGTATCACAGTACAGCTCACAAGTCCTAGCTCAACAGTAGTATCACAGTACAGCTCACACGTCCTAGCTTAACAATAGTATCACAGTACAGCTCACACGTCCTAGCTTAACAGTAGTATCACAGTACAGCTCACACGTCCTAGCTTAATAATAGTATCACAGTACAGCTCACAAGCCCTAGCTCAACAGTAGTATCACAGTACAGCTCACACGTCCTAGCTTAACAATAGTATCACAGTACAGCTCACACGTCCTAGCTTAATAATAGTATCACAGTACAGCTCACAAGCCCTAGCTCAACAGTAGTATCACAATACAGCTCACACGTCCTAGCTTAACAATAGTGTGACAGTATGGCATGCAAGCACTAAATCAACAGTTGCATATTTGTACTGCTTACAATAACTAGCATAACAGCAGTACAACAGTATGAAGTACATGTACTAACATAACATAAGCATAACAGTATGGCTTCAAAGCTCATGCATTGCAGAAGTTTGACAATACAGCTCGAAAGCAATATTGCAACAGTAAAACAACAGCAGCATCACAGTACTGACATAGCAGCATAACCTTGATACAGCTCACAGACATTAGCACAACAGTTTGGCCTCTAAGCTGTTATGGTTACACTGTGTTTCTATTGAACATACAAGAATAGATAAAGTTCATGTTGGGAAAGTAATGTATAACATATCCAGACAAGTAGTGTATTAGGTAAACGTTTGGTCCATACAAATAGTGCTATACTCACAGGTGCTGGATATATGTTGTGTGTTAAGTACATCTAATATCAGAACACCCTTGCTTGGCATGTTTCTCTGTGACGAATGTGAAATTATGGCACCACAAGCATGTACCTTTTTGTATTTCAGCTGATGCTGTGTGGCATGCAGGAGATAGATGTGGATGACTGGGAACGTAGTACCATTTACAGGCACTACCAGAGAAACAGCAAGCAGATCGTTTGGTTCTGGAAGGTAAACTCAGATGATCCTTCAATTCCCTGTGCACAGAGTAACTTTGAATCAAATCCTTAATAAGGAGATAGTTACACCTTTAGTCAGATCCCTTGTTATGTCCACAGTTAACCCTTCAATCTCACCCCTAGACATGTCCACAGATTAGCCTTCAGTCTAATCCCTGGATATATGCACAGTTAACTTTCAGCCAGGTCCTTGTTATGTCAACAGTTTTATTAACTTTCAGCCAGATCCCTTGATAGGTTCCTAGTGACAGTATGACCTTCAATCAGTGATTCATATGACTGTTAATCCTTACTTTCAGTTTGTGCGTGAGATTGACAATGAGAAGAGGACACGTCTTCTTCAGTTTGTGACTGGGACCTGTAGACTGCCAGTTGGAGGATTTGCTGAACTCATGGGTAATTCTTTACTGCAACAACATTATTTTGACAGAGACATTTTTCTGATTATATACAGTGTTAGAAATGTTTTAACTATTGTCTTTGTTGCAGCCAGCCTCTCCATTAGATGTGTACAGCAATTCAGATTGGTGTCATTCATCTGTAAACTTTCAAAATAACATTGTTTAATTACTATTTATGAAAACAACAGAAGTATTGTCGCTTGAATGTAAATTTGGATATTATTATCATTTTAGGGAGCAATGGACCTCAGAGATTCTGTATAGAGAAGGTTGGTAAGGAGACATGGCTGCCAAGGAGTCACACGTGTTTCAACAGACTTGACCTCCCACCATACCGTAGCTACGAACAACTTGTAGAAAAACTCAACTATGCCATTGAAGAAACAGAAGGTTTTGGCCAGGAATAATGAATGGCATTTGGTAGATGTCACATAGTATCTATGTACAAAGACAAATATGTCATGAAGATAGTGAGCCATCTTCTATCTGACGCTGACGTACCGGGGTGAAGATAGTCTGTATAGCACAGCTGGAACTTGTGATTTAACATTGGACCTGTACCGGAGATTGTATATACACTGAACTAATCAGTGGATGTATATAGAAGTGATCCTTGGAAACTCACGCCATTTTTTTTGAGCATCTTAACCTTTCAGCGGTGGATGCCATGGACACCCAGAAAGGATTTGATATATTGAGGAAGATGGTGTTGAAAGGGTGAAGGGAGACGACTCTCTGAGTACACATCAAGGAAAGGTTAAGCTATTCATTACTCTGGTAGAATTTTATGATGTTGCCCAAGTTGTAAGCTATTCCTGAGTCTTGCTTGAGTTTGCTAAGTGCAGTTTATGAGAACATTTTATATTGTATCTATATTATACAATGTTATATAAATGGTTTGTGTTAATTACCTTTCAGGCAATGTTATTAATTTATTATGTAAATATTACTAACAGAAGCTGACTTTGTGGATAGCTTGCATCAAGTCCATAATAATATGCAGAATTGATGATGTAAACTACTAGGATATAACTTACTGCTATCAGCAAAAGTGAAATGTTTAAACTTGGAATTTGTAGACCATCTTCAGTATGATTGACGAGTTCCTGTCAACTTTTGGCTTGGTATCAGATGTCACTTGGTAAAGAGAGTCATGAATATGATTGTCAGGAAACCAGAGATGACTGAAATCTGTTGTATGTTTTCTTACTATTTATTTTTGAAATTTAATTAACTTTTTTTTGTTTGTTATGTTCAATTAGTATGACGATTGTTGGTTCGGTATTTCTGTATATTATAATTTGGAGAAAGTATCCCTTTGATTTTGGGAACAAAATATTCATATTGTGACTAGTATCATGCCTTTTATGTGGCAGTGATGCTTTGCCAAGTAGAGAAGGCAGAATGGACACTGATTTGGGATTATATATTGAACACCAGAGCATTAATTATGCACAGTGGGGAAACCAACTTTTTTTCTGTTGGGTATATTTGTTGTTATTAATGCTTCTGATTTTACTGTGATGTATCCTGTTTATTTATTGTGATTTTATTGGTAATCTTTTTCTTTTTCAATTGTCCACCAACAATCAACAATCATATTGATGAATTCAGGGCTTTGAGAGAGTAAATAGCAGAGTGCATTTTCTTATTGTGATGACATGCATGATATCTGCACTGTATCCAGCTCTGAGCAACAACCAGTGTGTAACTATATCAACAAAGGATTACATATTACCTGCTTTCCCCAGTTGAAATGAGGAGTCTCTGAAAGACATGCCTCATGCTAGAGTGACCTTCACCTTAGTACCAGTATGTACAGTCTTATATGTACTATAGCTTGTATACAGGATTGTATTGTATAAAAGTCAGATGTCTTTTTCTATATTTTTTATTGGTTCATGTATGTAACTACAATAACACTGGGTGTTTTGTTGCTCATGCAATAAACATGAATGCTAATCAGTTTTGTATGAAACAGTATAGAAGTAGACCCTGGAATCTTCAGATTATACTCAGAATAATGTAGCTTTTGTTTCTGCAGTCCAAATGTTAGTAAAAAACATTTGAACGTTATCAGTGTAAATAATATATTGAAACAATCTAAATCAGAAGATTTACCAGTGCTGGTGTATTCACAGGGAACAATAAATTGAGATTTCATGAACGTGTCACCCTGTCTTGCCAGTTGCGATATTGTAAATACTTGCATGTCTGACATTGTCATATTATGAATGTCAGACCTATACCTGTTATACACTACAACACTAGTTACTATCTCATACTAAGTTTATTTTTCTCATTGCTATGAGGCATGGTGTTGCTATCTACTGATGATATATACTGAAATTCCTGTATGTGGTCATGTCTTGTCTTACAAGGCTGGAGCGGTAGAGAGGCATCACATCAGTGTTATGAAAAGTTGGGTGATGGTTTAACACATAGTAACTCTGGTTTGGCCTGATTCAGGTTTGTTAGCGATGGCTACTGTATCTTCTCATCTGTTTCTTGCATAATATCAGTCTTTCTGTCTGTCATTATTGGCAGCTTCATTAAGTTCCAAAACAGTGTACGCATGTCTGCTGTAAAATTCATCATTTCTACATTTCTGAATGGCTACAAATCATGAAACTGTTTAAAACTGTGAGTCAATACCTTCCTTTATCCCGTTTTTGAGAGTGTGGTTGTACAAAGCAATCTTAGTGCTGAGACAGTTGTAAATCTGTGTTAAGGTATGGGAGTTACGATCACCTTAGTGCTAAGATAGCTTTGTACAATGGCACCCTGGACTTACAGATTCATCCATAGTCAAAAAGAGGTGACAGACAGAAAAACTGACATTAAATTAAGAATGGATGACGGGAGGTGATTAATGCAGCCAGCTTGGGTCTTGTTTGCCTTCTTACTTGATGAGCCTTATCACTTATTTGAGGTCTTGACTGTTTGGTACTCAAATGTGATACAGCATAACAAACAACAAATGGATCTTATGTGACAAATTAAGACTTGAAAACTTTCAAGACATCCTGTGAATGTCATATTGCTGGTTCAATGTGATAACTGGATGATTACTCCATGCCAACTTTGTACCAGTACTTCTTTAAGCAACTGATTTTAACAGTAACTTGGCTATGTCATTGAGTGATCTCAGAATGTTCCCTCATTTAGCCAATAAATTCTTAACAAACTTGGTTGGTAGTACTGATTTACATATCAACTACAGGACTTCGGATAAAATATGTTTAAGACAGCAGATGGCTTTTGTGAACTTGTTTGGTCCTTTATGTGTCTCCTGCAGTTCAACTTTAGGTATTGATAGTTTGAGCTGTTTGGGTAGTATATCTTGTGTCAGTCTTGGGAATGGTTGCAACTATATATGTTCACTCACTTTAATAGCCTCTACTGTCTATGCATGTGATTCAATCAATTCATGGTAACACCACACTTGTCATTGTGTTCAAGGTTATTTGCCCAAGTTGTTTTACCTTATAGATCTTCCTTTGTGAAAATCAATACACTTTCTTCATACACTCATGCTTGTGTTTATACACTATATCATATGTTGCAATAAACCAAAGACAAGTTTCCTTTGTTCCTGAGTCTGCACAATGATATTGGTGTATATTTCTCAATTGTCTTTCTCTGAACTGTATATTGGTCTCCTTCACACTAGCTGATACTGTGTTTTGTTACACTGGTGGTTGAACTTCATTTATTCAGATAGCTGATAAAATAAACTATTTGGTCCTTATGTCAAAAACAAGGAATTGCATTTCGTGTATGCCATTGACCTCGGCAGACTGTGTTTACAATCATCTATAATCATATTAAGGCCATACCATTTGCTTGTTTTATGGATGAATGTACCGTAACTGTTAAAGACTGAACTTTTGAAAAAAGTGATAGTACTTGTGTTTTAATTGATAGCAACTTTGAGTTCCAGACCTAGCTTTGTAAAGTAGATAATTAGCCATCATTTTCTGAACATTTTCAGTTTAACCTCACATGATCCAATTTTGGCTTCCAGCATATTTTTGGGACAAAAACTAAAATGGTCTGCCCAGTGATAAAGACTATCTTCACATAGCAGCTTTGAGTTTCATTTAATGCTTGTTCTTTTAGAATAAGAACATTTTAATATGTTTTGATGTGAAAGCTTCAGTCATACTCCATCAGCTTTTTCATGCTGGTGGAATGGTGTGTAGTAGTACACTGCTTTTTAATTGTCCAGTAAGTGGACATTTTATCAAATGTTAATATGTTTTTCTTGTACATTTTGTTCTAGGTGAACAGAATACAACTACAGATACAATTAATCAAATCTTTCCATAAACTTTTGCCTAGTTTGTATCATATCAGAGCATTATAGTTGTTTATGTGTTTCATTGTGATTTTTTCCAAGTATAAAAGTGTGAGTCATTGCATATTCCTATCTATGCACATCAGAATATTCAGTTCACAAGAAATGACACAAGATCACTTCAGATATCTGGTGTATGAAAGAAAATGTAAAAAATCTCTAGGATAATGTTTGATTTTTGAATTTCAGATTGCATATCAGATACTCCTGGCTTGTGGCGACGTTTCTGGTAATTCTTTGTTTCACACAATGTAATATAGGTAAAGATTATAATAAAAGTAATCTTGGTATGTAACTAATGTACATATTAAATCAGGAACTCCCTGTGACGTGCACAGACAGGTAATACTGGTATGTATTGAGAGTGTATTAGTAAACTGTCAACACTTGATGAAGCCTATGTTAAGCAGACACCTTCAATGTCTGGTGTACAGATTTCAGCCCTGTCAAAGTTGATTTTGAAACTGTAACCCTACTTTAATTATTTTGGAATCAATTTGTGCTGTGAATAAACTGTTGGCTGAATAGACTTTGCTTCATGCTTTGTCATATTGAATGGATTTAATGTGTTGAAGTTCTTGACACTGGGAAACAATTTGTTATATTTTTGGTGTCCCACACCATATACATGGTAAATTTTGTACTTATTATCTCATGTTATGCACTTTCTCTTGTTCTTACAACCGTGGAGTGGAAATGACCTTTAAACAGACTCTTCTAAAACCTCACCTGAACACAACCCTGCTTCAGGTATTGTTGGAGGTTGTTACAAGAAGTGATGGTTGAGTATAAGGAACTGATGCATCTAGATACTATCAGAAAGACTCTGTCTGCCATGAATTTGATATTATCCTCTACAGAGGTCATCACCATGTCAGCAGCTCGTGCAGCCTTGCAGGAACAATCATCCAGGATTGATTCCAGGTTGTTATGGATCAGATTTCCTATGTTGTCAGCTACATGACAGCTCTTAGGAGATGGGGTTCCCTCAATCACAGATGTTGGGATGAGTAGTTAGGACTTTCAGCACATCACCCTCTGGACAGTCTTCTTCATTGCTCTTGCTAAAGCAGCTTGTATTTCAGAAATATTGTGTGTACATTTTCGTGACAATATTGAGCTGACATGAAATATTAATACACATATCAGTACTGAACATTTCCTTAATGGCAACTTCTTAACAAACCTTAAGAGTTTGAATGCTATTTCTCACTTAAGACTTGAAGTTTCGTAATATTCTTTACTCCAAGAATTGGGGACACTGTAAACATGCTTGTCTCAAAGCTACCAGAGTACTTTGTACACCATAAAATAGAGAGAGTGAATTTTAAGATTTATAGTCGCATCAGTAATATTTCAGCCATTATGTGCCCATAAATAAGAAGACACTGGGGAAAATTTTGTGAATCTTGCAAAGTCTTCTTCTCTGCATATCACTTTAATGGTATCCATTAAATAGGATTATTTACTAAAGGGACTGAAAAGAACCAGACCTTCAACATTAAGAACATATAAAAAGATATCCTCAGATTTGCCTTCTCAGAACTTACAATGGACAGTTTATTTATGAATTCATCACTAATATTTCGAAAATATAAACATGATCCACGAGTTTCATATTACACTTTACATCATAAGGCTGCAGCTCCACCAGACCAACACCTGAGTCATGCACAATTCAAGTTGGCAACCTCTTCTCATAACAGCCCATATAATCAGAGACCATAGATAGATATTATATGGTCTCTGATATAATGCAAGTGAAAATTGCGTTAATGTGGTCAAATTAGACTCATACGTTTTTGGCACTGTGTGCGAGCAGAGACCATATAATAGATTATATGGTCTCTGGTGCGAGCGTGTTTGGTATTATATTGATCTACAGAACGCACATTCACGTTTGTAAAAGTGTACGCTTCAGACAAACGCCACTTAACCCACACAGGAAGCTAATTTTACGTCACATGTGACGAATATTTCCGGAAATACTTTGAATACAAATGCGCATGTCAGGTGAGCGAGTTGACATGTCGTGCACCTGTGAGAAATATTACAGCACTCAGATTCATTGCTAAACATGGCCATACACAAAATACGCATATCAAACAAATGTGATCGTTAGTAAAATACATTCCTTTGATAGCAAGTAGCTCCCATTAATTCCTGCACGGGCATGTTGCGACACGGGTCGCGGAGTAACAAAAGGACGCCAAAATGGCCGTACTGTGTCGCCAGAGAGCTTCACAAAGGTGACAAAACATAAGTATTCAGGGCAAATAACAGCCAAATTGCCTTGCTGCATTTCTCACTTGATTCGGCCTGATTACCACTTTTATGTCCGCCTGTCTCTGACTTGAAGCAGTGCCATCCGACATTATACCACACACCTGTATACAGAAAGGGGGTCGTCGGCATCTAGCGTCAACCGAGAAATACACGGCCGAGAGATTGACATGTCTGGGTCAGCCGTGGACGTGTTGTTGTTTTGATAGGTAGACGTGATTGATTTAATGAGTGTTTGTAACAGTCAATATGCCGCCCAGTAGGCCCTCTAAAGACCGGGATACAAATTCTGCCCGTGTCCTCGCCAACAGATATGAAGTTGTAAAGAAACTGGGAAGTGGGAACTTTGGAACGGCCTTTCTGTGCACGGACCTGCGCAATAACAATGAACTGTAAGTAGGAAATGATTATGATTGTCACTGTTTTAATCCTTTTTGTAGATTAACAAAATCAACATTTTTGTCGGGATTTTGTACCAACATAAAGTGTAAACTGTTATTGATTATGCACGATAATCCCTCGTTCATTACTACCTTCCAGAAAATGTTTTTATTTTTCTTGAATAAAAATCTACACCTCCCACCCCCCAAAAGCCCAAACATGTAAGTTTCTTTGATGTTGTGTAAGTGAACGGTATAATGAAAATACCGTTGTGAAGATGCATTACATTTACATTGACATTTTTCATTACAATGTTTTGATATTTTAGTTTTGCATGACACCTCAAATGCACCTATTAGTATTATGACCTCTTGAACAAATATTGTTTATTTTTATGCTAAATATGATATATTGAGTCTTCAAATTCCTTGCATTAGTGTATTTACCTTCCTGAGAAATGGGAACAAAAGAAATGGCTGAGGGCCAAACATCAAACCCACTTATGGTAGAACTTCATTGTATCTCACTATGCCTTTTGGACTGAATATATAAAACTCTGTATAATTAGCTGTTAGACTGTGATTCTGAATGCTTATATTTCTCTGTATTATTCAGTGTCAGAAATGAAGGGGAACTTTTCATCATTGTTGTTTTCTTATATTCTTGGGCTGTTAAAAGGGATAGGCTTAGCTTGAATCGTTTCATAATCATAGTTGGTCATGTTTGGATTACTGTTTCCGAAATCCATTGTCTATCGTATGTTGCAGGTAATTTTAGTTTTTCATAACTACAGTTAGGTGGATTTGATTCAAACGGTATTTTATTTCCCGAAAGACATGTAATATACATTAAACATAAATAAATTACAAAAGGAAAAAGGATCAGCAAACAGGCTGCATCAGCCTATGTAAATGCTTCTCCTAAACATACACTTATAAAGAAATAGTTTTTATATACATTTGTGGAAATAACAAATTCAATAATTTCAAACTAAGTACAGCATATGGTAATGGTTCCAAACTTTAAGGAAAATGGTTGGTATCATTCAAGAAATTATAAACCGATTTTATTATCAGCTCATTTTCATACTGAGACAATGATTCATCGTTTCTTAGAATAGCATGTAAACTTATATTATTTTGAAAGAAGTACCGGTATTTATTATTAATATTAAATCTAAATCTGTCATATAGAGGACACTGAAGGAAATAATGGAAAGGATCCTCTCGAGTGTTTCCACAGGAGCATGTTCGGCTGTCTGACAAACATCTAGTATCAAACAAGTGGGAGTTAGATCACTGCAGCCCAGGCGCAAATGGCAGAGAATTTGACCTCGCCATGGACCATGCAATATATAATTTTTAAATGTTGGGGATAATGTTTTGTCTCAAGATATACATTTATTAAATTGTGATAATGACTCAACATTTCTAATGTTAATGTCTAGCAAATTCCATGCCTTTGAGGGGTGAGGTGAAATTGGGTTTTACGTCGTGCTTGAGAATATTTCGCTCATATGACGATGTGCATGCGTGTGTATGTGTATGTGTGGCTGCTTGTACTAGCCCAGACTTAAGCTGGTTTTATAGTGCCAGCCCACTGAGATACGATGCATACCCCACTCAGACACATTATACTGACTCCGAGCCGACCAGTCCTTGTTGTACCCATTAATGCCGAGCACCAGGCAGGGACCAACAAGTACCATATTTTAACGTCTTTTGGTATGACGCGGTCGGGGATCGAACCCGTGACCTTTTGCTTTCCGGGCGCATGCTCTAACCACTACACCACGGAAGCGGTCCCATGTTGAGAGATATTGTGGGGTTAAGCCATTTACCATTTTGTAGAACATACATAATTTATGATAGTGGCGCCTTTCGACTAAGGAGCTATACCCTGCCTTAGCATAGAGTTTTTCGTGACTTGTGCCTCTCACTGCACCTGAGGGGAGGGGCGGTGGGGTAGCCTAGTGGTTAAAGCGTTGGCTCATCACGCCGAAGACCCGGGTTCGATTCCCCACATGGGTGCAATATGTGAAGCCCATTTCTGGTGTCCCCTGCCGTGATATTGCTGGAATATTGCTAATAGCGGCATAAAACCAAACTCACTCACTCACTCAATGCACCTGAAATAGTCCTTAGGGGTCTAAATGTAGCTTCTCTATCAGATGAGCCTGCTCCTTGGTAGGTGGATTTCAAGGGAGGTCTCTATTTGTTCAACACAGCCTTCAAACAAACAGAAAAAAGATTTCTCATAAACATAACAGAAATATTTGTTTTGATTTTGGTAATTGTGAATTTATTAACATTCTGTTAGTGTATTTTATGCCTATGTTAAATGAATATTTGCAAACTAAAATGTTACAGTTAATCATGTTAATGTTTAACTTGGTACAGTTACTCTCAGGTGGGGCTTTTTAAGATATCTTTCCTGTTTCTCATAACATGCCTTCCCCTAATTTAATCATGTTGATACTTTTTTCAAACACGTTTTTTAAATGAACTGTCAAGCCATTTTTATGTGAGATTTCCGCTTTTTTTTCAACTTTTTGTTACCCCTAGTGTCAAATCTTTGAAGGGCATTCAGAAGTGGAATGCATAACAAAAGCAAGATTTATGGATGTCAACTTCTTTATTGTGAATAAGTGTGATGAAGGAGCAAGCATACTCTCTAAAATGTCGTGTTATTCACAATAAAGAAGTTGACATCCATAAATCTTTCTTTTTTTACTCCTAGTGTGTTCATTTCACAGTAGGAACCAAGCCTACCACACTTAACCACAGGATTTTGTGTTCAAAAGATTGGTAGCTTGGAATAAAATTTCATAGCTTTGTGGCTTATTGAAAGAATTGAATATAACAAGAGTACTTTTTTATTTCGATTCATACAAGTGACACTTCAGTGGAGATGGATTAAAAGATGGTCCACGCCTTCATGTTCTTCCACATTTTGGAGTGGGGTGTGTGACAGTCCCTCATGAACATATTCTCACTGCAACACCTTCAGAAGATGATGAGGATTTGGAGATTTAACATGCGCTTTCCCACATAAATGCATATTTTGCACATGAGCCCGCAGGCCATTTAGTGTCTGATTGAATGAGGGGTGATTTGACCGAAAGATATTGCTACCTAAATGGGGCGTAAGGGTTGCATGAATAAATTGGTATGAATTTTGAAATTTGCCAGAACTGGTATTGGGGGCTGAATGTGCCATCAGTGGGCAATGGGAATAATATTAGAGGCACAGTGTCTGTAGAATATCTGTAGTGTGTGTAGAGTATCTGTGTTTGTGCGGAAGGTGTTGAAGGAGATCTTGGGAGGGGAACTGACAGACCCATAAGATGGTGGACGCAAGTGTCTGTACCATGTGTCTGTAGAGTGTCTGCAGTGCGTCCATTTTTATGCAGGAAAGTGTTGAAGGAGATCTCTGTTGGGGACCTCCAGCCAGATGAGACGGTGGATGCTATGCATGAGGCTCGACTGCTGTCAAAGCTAGACCATCCAAGCATCGTCAAGTTCAATGACAGCTTCATTGATGGGGAGTTCTTCTGTATCATTACAGAATACTGTGATGTGAGTGAGTTTTGAAGATTAATCAGTGTATTGGAAATCCTTTCAATGAATATAATCATGATAATAGTGTTTACTCATCATATAGATCTAAAACTTGATAATTTCATCAAGTTTATCGCTATGATTGATCTTACAATCTCAGTATATATGTTAGACTTTTCCTGATTTGAGAAATGGTTTTTCAAGGCTCACTGTAGAAACCTAGAACAGTCATCAATGTTCCTATGCAACTATATGACATGTGTCCCATATTTTTCTTTTCTTTCATGAAAAATTGCTTTCAAAGTTGTAATTCTTGTATTTCCACCAGGGCGGAGACCTTGACATTAAGATAAGTGAGTGTAAGAAATCTAAGACAACATTTGATGAGAAGAGCATTCTTGATTGGCTGGTTCAGCTGTTGTTGGCAGTGCAGTACATGCATAGTAGACGAGTTCTACATCGGGACCTGAAGACAAGGTCAGTATCATTACCTGAAGGCATGGTAGGTAGCCCCTTCCATCATCTAGCTTACTTTAGTGGTGTGTAGTATCTTTTGGGGCAGTGAGTGCACCTGGTGTGATGTACGATCCAAACACCTGTCTACAAAATGTGCCAAATCTATTTGTTCATCATTGTGTGTCTCACAGAAATTCTGCTACCTGTTTTCAGAAGATAGTCTTCAATTGCGTTGAATGTTTTTACATACAATCTACGTTATTTCTGAGAACTTCACTTTCAGTAACTTTTGTTGAAACTGCTATCATATACTTGTTGTTGTTTTTCTTTTTGCAGGAATATATTCATCAGAAACAACATGGTAAAGATTGGCGACTTTGGTATTTCTCGTATATTGATGGGCACCACTGACATGGCGTCCACGTTCACAGGCACACCGTATTACATGAGCCCTGAAGTACTCAAACATGAAGGCTACAACTCGAAGTCGGATGTATGGTGAGACAACAATCAGGGTTGACATTAAATTCTGAGAGGGGCATTCTATTTTTAATTATTCAAATGTTATATCTGAGTATATATGTCTGAGTAACATAAGTATTAAAGTAAATGAATAATGTGGGGACCATCATTTAAAATTATTACCAATCTCCTCCCAGAATATGAAATGGTCAGCCTTGAAAACACATGGCATACAAATATTGCGTATTAGCTTATTATTGTAGTGTCACAAGTTAAACATACAAAAGTGGATTTGTATACAGCAGGCTAATCAAATCATTCAAAGTAGTAGTTATGACAGATCGCTGAGTGCTGATAAAAATACACCTTGAACATGCATTACAGATCCCTTGGATCCTAAATGACTGGATCCTTTCGACTGAGTGTGTAGAGGATCCTTGAATATTTGTATTACCCTGTGAATCTTGCTAATCTAGGCATTAGGATCATCATTCATCAGTATGCAATTGATGTTTAGCACAGTGACTTCTGTGTATGTCAGCTGACCCAGGGGTTTACACAGTCTTTGAAAAAAGAGAGTCATGGTGACCCACAGTATTTATTTTTGGGAGTCATTTTCAATATTTGGAAATCAATAAAATTTTAGTGTAATATTTATGTGTGTATATCAAAAGGCAAAGATTTGATTGTTTTGTGTTGTATTCTCATTCATATGTTAGTTAATAAACAGTATATATTTCCATATCCTGACTCATGCTAATTATGCTTGTCTCCTTCCTCTTGCGAATGATAGTGGAACACTTGAAATCCCTTGAAGTTCCCTTTAAAAAAGCGGACGTTAAATCACTCACCCAAGAGTAGCGTCCCTTTCCTCCCTTTGGCACCCAAATGGTCACATGATCGGCCATATCTGTCACTCTCTCCTTCTTCGCCCTTGAGGACGGTTGTGAGAGCACCTGGGTCCCTAGAGCACCTGGGTCCCTATAGCACCTGGGCACATATCATATCGTTTTATATTTTCGGACCTTACATCAAAATTATTGCTGTATACGGTTTTTAGGATTATATTCTACATTATGGTTTGAAATTTGTTCTAAAATTTCCGTTGTTTGACATGTGTTTTCTTCATGTTTACAATTGATGAAAACTTGTATTCATTGTAGGTACCGAGTGTCTGCGGCTGACCCGCATTTATTATGTCCTAATTGCACTGTTTCATGTTCTTTCAGCTCTCGCTGTGAGTATTGTGTAAATTTAAATTCGGTTGAATTTACTAATTACCTTTTTTGCATCCATAGACGTGCTAAGGACTGGGTACGAAGGTATTCACAAGTCATGTCCAAATCAGTGATTGCGCTGATAACCGTGTGTTAACCACTGCTGGAGATATTCATAATTCGAGTGAATAACTGAACATTTCTCAGGAACAGGTCGATGTACCAGAGGTGCACGCCGGTGGTCATAAGAGATCATCGTCTACTGAGCTGACCTAATCGCAGATAAAGAAGGCCAAATCTTCAGCTTTGCAGAAGAAGAAGGCTACTACTATGAAGACTTCAGCGAAGTCTAAGATCAGCTCTACTCAGAAGACGAGGTCTTTCTCAGCTGAGATTGTCCTCCGGAAGAATCAGATGTTCATGATGATCCACCCATCCTCATACCTGAATTCACCATCGTCAGTAAGAAGACGAAGCCTGCTTCTACAGCTACATCGGCATTGTTATCAGCGCAGACATTGACAGAAGACCTACTATCAACGCAGACATCGGGTACCAGAGATAGCAGCAGCGTCAACTCTTCACAAGTGCAGCGAGCCTTAGATGATGTCTCTTCAGTATCAGATGCATCATCCCTGCAGCAGTCTCTTCAGACAACGCAGAACTTCAATCCGGGACTGTTAATGCAACAGTTTACAGACCAGATGATGGAACGTCGCTTCGCTCAAGTTAAGACTGATATGAAGACCACTACAACGTCTACTAGGCTGCGTGAAGGCTCTACAGTCTCCCCACCACATCTAGATGAAGAGGGAAGCCTACGCGAAGGCTCTCGGGCACAACAATCTTCCCAATCTGAAGTAGATGCCCCAGAGAGTGTTGCTAAGAAGTCTCCACGCAGGAAGGAATCAAAACATTCTCCCGAACCCTACAGACGTCGCAGATATGAGTCGTCATCTCCAACTGACTCTGACGCCTATCAAGAGCCTGCGCGAAGACACTCCTACAGAGGGGAAACTACGTCCAGGAAACCACCTTCGCGAAGATCTAGAGAAATTTCTCAAATCTCCAGGAAAGATTCAAGATCACATCGGAATCGTTCGCCAGCATGAAGCTCATCTTATAGATCATCCTATAGAGACTCAAGTCGTCGTGCATCCTTGGAGCGAGAAATGTCTAAATCAGAGGATGAAGGTGAAGGCGTCTTCTCCGATATGGAAATTAACTCCTGGATCGCCAATGGCTTGGACTTATCATCACCTTCTAAGCACAGATGAGACGTTTACCTACAAGATGTCCAAAGATGATTTCGACACACTCACCTATCCACCGACCAATCCGACGTACTTTCTTCAGATTAGCCAGATCGAGGGCTATCAACGAAACTTGGAAGTGAACGCTTCACCAAGTCTCTATACAGAGCCCCATGGTCATCATCTTACATCTTCGGAGGAGGAATTGAAGAAGTCGCCAGAGAAGTTTCTCACAACTCCAGGGAAGTTATGATGATTAAATCCATCAACACTTTGGCTAACGTGATTCTTTAGACGTCCCAACGCTACTCCAACAAATCTAAGTTTGCAGGAGTCCAGAGAGCCAGAGAAAAGAAGTATTCCAGCATGAAAGGAGGAAGAGGATCCTTTCATCGCCCAACCGGAGCACCTAGAGGTAACCCCGGAAGAGGCCGAGCACCAAGGGATGCAAGAGGAAGCAAGCACTGAAGGCCAGGTTCGGAACAACTGGAGTCTTCCACCCCCAGCCGTTCCCGTACAACCTTCAACAGTGGGTGGACGTCTTCAACGGTACTGGGAGTTTGGGGGATACTACAGGACGACTACGTATCCCAGATACTGCGCAGAGGGTACAAGATACAGTTGGAAGCCACTCCGCCGCTCACAAGCAACCCGATAACTATGCAGCAGACCAGATAGAGAAACTGGACGATGCTATCAAGACCCTACTCGACAAAGAGGCAGTAGAAGAGATAGATCAAGATCTCATCATGCCCGGTTTCTACTCCCCAATTTTCCTGGTACCGAAGAAGAATTCCAAGGAGAAATTTCGGCTCATCTACAACATGAGGAAGTTCAACCGGGAGTATCTACGCAGACCAGCAAAATTCAAGATGATACATCTTCCTCATCTCCGACATCTGGTTCGTCCAGCAGACTACCTCGCCAGCATAGATCTGCAAGATGCGTACCTCCACATCCCGATACATCCAGACTCAAGGAAATACCTACGTTTCCTTTTCAACGGACAGCACTTCCAGTAGAAGGTTCTACCGTTTGGAATATTGTCGGCCCCCTGGTTCTTTACTCGAGTGACCAAGCACATCGTCACATATCTACATCGTCGAGGTCTACGCAGTGCGTTCTACCTGGACGGCGGGATTCAAACTCATCAAGATCTCAGTCAACTCAGACTGCAACTAGACTTCACCATCAGGCTGCTCACTCAACTAGGATGGCCAGTGAATCTCCTCAAGTCAGAACTGGAGCCGATCTGCAGTTCCTAGGAATTCGACTCAATCACGCCAGTGAATCGTATAGTCGTTCCAGAGGATCGTTGGGTCAAAATACTACAGATGATATCTCAAGCATTGCTCTCTCCGTTGACACTACATGCTTGGCAAAGCATGCTCGGTCTGCTCACCTCAGCTCAAGACATGACTCACAGAGGAAGATTACAGTTGCGCCCACTACAAGTATTTGTGAAGGCCCACCTAGACAGCCTAGATCCGTTAATACTACCGGACAGCCTGAAACCATATCTCCTATGGTGGACTCGGAAGTCAAACGTTTGCGGGGGGACCTTTTTGTAAGAGCCGGTTTGCAACACTCACCTCTACGTGGATGCCTCCCTACAAGGATGGGGTGCGCACTTCAACAACGAAGTGGCAGCAGGGAAGTGGTCGAGTCAGGATCAGAAATCACACATCAATCTGTTGGAGATGAAAGCAGTAATCAACGCTTTACAACACTGGTCCAGCGTACTAAAGAACGCACGACTCGTGGAACACATCGACAACTCCACAGTGGCGTTCTACATCAACAAACAAGGATCAACAAGATCAACAAGTCTGCTACAACTCAGCTTTCTCCTGTTCAGCATCGTCGACGACCTGAACATCTACATGAAGGCATGCCACATTCCGGGAGCAAAGAATGTCATAGCAGACGCCCTATCTTGTCCACTACAACCATCCCTGACGGAATGGATGTGGCATCCAGAAGCATTCCAGTTCATCAGACAGACTTTAGGATCCCCACTAATAGACCTGTTTGCAACAAAGTTCAACAAACAGCTACCAACGTTCGTCTCACCGATTCCAGATCCTCAGGCATGGGCAACAGATGCTCTAAGCATCTCATGGGAAGGACGAAACGCTTACGGGTTTCCGCCTCCTGCACTACTACCACAAGTACTACAGAAAATCAAGCAGACGACTACGTTGCAACTGATTTTGGTCACGCCCTACTGGCCAGCGAGGGTATAGTTGCCCATCCTCATACAAGAACTCGGAAGTCCAACCCTGAAACTACCAGAGTGGTTGAACCTACTTATCCATCCTCACACCAAGCAAGCTCACGGGAACCCGACACTGTTCCAGCTACACGCGTGGAGCGTATTAAAGCTTGCCTGAAGACTAGAGGGTACTCCACCAGAGCAGCGGAAGCAGTTACACTAGCTCTACGCAGATCAACGCGCAACTTGTACGACGACAAGTGGCAGAGATGTGAACAATATGCAAAGAGGAAAGGCTTTACAGCGGTGAAAGCAACACATCCTCAAGTGGCGGAATACTTATGTCATCTACGACAGACGAGACACTTAGAAGGTTCAACACTCTCAACTTACTTAGCTGCACTTAGTACAGTTATCACCATGAAAACAGGTATCTAGCTGACCAAAGTACCAGAGATTCTGGCACTACTACGCTCGTTCAAGTTGGAAGACCAACAAAAGAAATGTAAGGCTCCTGCCTGGGATCTCAACATAGTTCTACAACATCCCACCAGTGATGCCTAGGAGCCTCTAGAACGGACATCCTTTGAACTACTAACTCAGAAAACGCAGTTCCTGATTGCCCTAGCAACAGCTGCACGGATGTCAGAAATACATGCTCTGGACGATTTGAATCAAGACGATTTGAATCACATCGTGACATCGTACATCTTGGACTGAGATGGGATTTTATCGCCAAGAACCAACTGCCTGGTCAGCCTCACAGACAGTTTCACATCCCAGCACTATCTACAGTCCTTGGGCCACAGGATACGCAGGATCTATCCTTATGCCCAGTCAGAGCACTTAAAGTCTACTTACAGAGAACTAAAACAAGGAGACGAAAATTCAAGCGCCTATTCATCCCCTTATCCACTGAGACGCCCACGGAAGTCTCACGGACAACGATATCGATCTGGATGAGAGCCGTTATACTAAGGGCCTATAAAGCAGCAGAACTTGAGCCTCCACGAGCCTCCAATCCACACGAAGTCAGAGCCCTGGCGTCAACACTTGCTCTGCATGGAAACTGCTCGATTACAACTATAATGGAGGGCTGCTTTTGGAGATCGAACACGGTGTTTGCCAACCACTACCTCAGAGACATTACCACTGAAGAAATCTCAGGCATTCACCAGTTCAGGCCACTTGTTGTAGCACAACAACTAACGGTTCCACAAAGGCGCTGAGTAAATCTCACCCCTTTTATCACGTGACTTGTGAAAACCAACGCTCTGGAGAGCAATGGCTATAAGTCCATGCACACGTCTAGGACAGACTAGCATGAGTGATAGACCCTGTACTTGTATAGGACATACTCGTACATGAAGAAGGGTCGCATCTCCACTTGATGTGTGCATCAAGAGATGGAGTTGTATCAGATAACTAATGGAATATTAGTATATCTAAACTCCGCACGAAAATGTCATGAGGTTAGCCCTCCCAACCACCCCTCTTATGACACTCTGGAATTCCCTGTAAATCTGGGTGTCGGGCTGACATACGGAGAGAGTGACAAATATGGCCGATCATGTGACCATTTGGGCTCCAAAGGGAGGAAAGGGACGCTACTCTTGGGTGAGGGATTTTACGTCCGCTATTTTAAAGGGAACTTCAAGGGATTTCAAGTGTTCCACTATCATTCGCAAGAGGAAGGAGACAAGCATAATTAGCATGAGTCAGGATAAGTATAAAATATCAATTTTAGTCAGAAAATTACATATTTTTCACAGTTAAGTTCAGTCATAACAAACTCGAGTATACTGAACAAATAATCAGGCTTGTGATTTATTCACTGTAACATACAGTTATTAACTTGAATTGAATTCCGCGAAATTTGCACCAAGCAAAAAAAAGTACGTTTACAGTAACTGGAATACTGTTCAAAGTGGCATTACCCCACCTCACTCACTCACTCTTCCATGTTTACCACAGGTCCATAGGTTGTATACTGTTTGAGCTGTGTGCGCTGGAGCATGCGTTTAACGGCCAGGGGCTGATGGGAGTCATGTACAAAATAGTGGAGGGTAAACCACCGGAACTGCCAAAGAAGTATTCAAGGGAACTAAATGCTGTCTTTCAAAAGTAAGAACTTTAATGTAATTTCATATGGTGAATTACTTTTACATAGAATTGTTGCATAGAAACCTTCACTTGACATTCAAGGTGACATTTTGGATCAGGCAGTCTGTCTGACTCTCAATGAGGTTTTTGTTTTTCTCTTTAAGACCACGAGCAGACACAAATACCTGTCAACCTAATTTTATTAAAAATTCATTATGTCTATGGAAGTAATATCAGAGTCTTGAGTATACATTTAATTTAGTTGATTGAAGTGAACATGTTATATTTCCATGCATCAGTTAGGAAAGCTGTTTGTTTGTTTCAGAATGTTAGTAAAAGATCCCAATGAAAGACCATCAGCATCTGAAGTTGTGAAGCTACCTTTCATCGCAAATCACATGACAGTGAGTACTGAAATATCAACAGCTAATCTAAACACAAGGACAAATCTTTCTGCTTGCTGACTGACTGAAAGTACACAGAGTAGATGTTCTCTGTTCTGATGGAGCCCTGTTGGGGATTCTGCTAGCGATAAGAACTGTGTGGATTGGACGACCCCCAGCTGTGACCTGCCTTGTTTGGTGTAATTTGACCCTGCTAATGCTGCTGTCAGCTATTGGTGTGTAGGGTCCACTGTCGGACATGAAACGGCTGGAATGTTGTTTAATCTGTGGAATAATGTTCACTGCTTGCACACATATATGTTCTGTTGCATGAGTGTTTTGTGGCATAACTGTTAAAGGCAGTTATTTTGACATGTGAATTAAGGAGACTGCAGATTGCTCACTAATTATTGAAGACATCTGATAAAATCTAACAAATGCCTTTTCAGAAAATGAAGGACACATTGTCTGACGAGTACAAGACAAAACACTTCAGCAGCCAGCAACATGCAGAGAGGGATGCAGAAGCGATAGCTCAACTGCTGTAAGTCACAATGGTGGGATAAGTCAGACTTTAGTGGTATGACACAGGTCACAAGCCAGTCTGAAGTTAGACCTTCTTTATCCTTCACTCTACTCCAGACTGTACCATACATTATGAAGCTGGGAATGCCTATCTATAATTCATCAGTTATGCGTCTTGAGCTTATGTATTTTGGGTGGTTTATTTGAAACCATAAGGCCAATGAAGTTGAAACTTAAATTAATTCTGGGTTTGGGTGTTGCCTTCATAGTGCATTACATGGTCATGAATTGTAATGAAAATTGTTGTAAAGTGTTTGGTTTGCAGAATAACAGGTTTGGTGTTTAGTGTTTTTGGTTTTTGTTTTTTTTTTCAAGTTTTATCAATCTCTACTGCAGTAATAATTCACTACATTGACATATATATGTTCTACAAAGATGGCACAAATTGATCTTTCTCGTAACATTAATGTTTGATTATTGCAAGCAGAAATAAAGTGTCTCAAGTGGTTTTATGTAATATGATAAAAGACAATTTAATCCAAATGTTGTTTTGAAGACGTGAGAAGTCACATCTGGATGACTTGCGTAAGTCGGAGGTAAAGACTACTCCACTCAACACCAAGTATATGTCTCCACGGGAGAGGATGAGATTACGCAAGATGGAGGAGGCTGACAAGAAGGGGAAGTTGTTGAAGTGAGATTTTACGACATTAAAACACATAATAATTGACTCTGGGAATAGTGAGATGATTCTGTTCAATTTTGTAAAGGTTTTTCCTTTGATAGTGAAACAGTTTGAGTGTAGATACTGTGGATATTATTTGGATGCACACTTCCTTTTGCTTTCAACAAAATATGACATTTTGTGCTGTTGTAAGATGGGCCTAATTGTTTCCACACTTAAATTTTGTTTCTGTTGCTTTCAGTAAACATGCAAAAGTGCAATTACAAGAAAACAATATACGACGGTCAGCAATTAAAGAATCACTCAGTAAAACTTCAGTAAGTATCTAATTGATCAGAAACAAGTCATATAAGAACTATAATGTGCTTCTGATGTTTGAATGAAGAGATCTATAGACCCTTGCTTTCATAAGAAATATGTTGATATTAAATACTGAAATACTGAATATGCTCTCAAGCCATTACACACTTCCTTTAAACATTAGATTCTTGTGATCTAACAAATGTTCATAGTTTTCAATGTTTATGTGAATCATATCAGTGGACATTTAATATGCATGGATGCCTTGAACAGTTTGTTGTAAAAAAAATGATAAAGTATATGAAGTGATTCCCTTCTCACATTTACTGAATATTTGGATGAAAGTTTTATCCATTATTGAGGCCTACCGCCTTGGATTATGTAGACTGCACGTGCTTGGAATTGGTGAATTACTTACCCAATTTTGGTAGGGAAAAGTTGACTACCAATGGTTGTGAATATAATGTTGGTGTTCTGATCTGCAGGTGCCAGTGTGGGCAGGAGGAGATGGGGAGGGGCCTAAAGTGAGGAGAGCGTTGTCGAAGAGTGCAGAACATGCTGGCACCTTTGACTCCAACTACTCCAGCCAGGCAGTACGGATGCACACTGTCCCAGGTGAGGGCTGACACAAGTTTCACCTCACTCACTCACTGAACATCTACTAACAGCTATGCAGATCACACTAGTGTAGATATAGTTGACATGCTTTGTAGGAGGAGAGTGGAAAATGGTGCATTGGACATGGAAATCTTGTTGCATTCGTGGAGAGAATTGATGGCATTTGATGGAAATAGATCTGTAATTGTGGTTATCATGTAGAACAAACTAATGTAAGCAAACACTCATCTGTGTCTCAAGCACAAATATTCCTCCCAGCTCTCAGTGAGTGAGTGAGTGAGTTTTATGCATCTTTTAGTAATGCTCCTACAACATGATGGTGTCGGACATCTGCGCCTTTTCTTCCATCTTTGTTGGGAGATATAATAACGCTTGAGATGAAAGACTCGAATAAATATCTTAGGCTAATATAGATGAACAGTTTTATAAATGTACGACTCACATGTTGTAAATGAGTAGTGGATCTGTGGATCGAGTGGCCAATATGGTGGCACATGAGAAGAACCAGATTACCCTTTGTGTACCTGGCACTGTCATTACAATGGTAGAGACCACAGGCACAGTTGTTCTTGTAATCTGTGGATTGAGTGGCCAATATGGTGGCACATGAGAAGAACCAAATTACCCTTTGTGTACCTGGCACTGTCATTACAATGGTAGAGACCACAGGCACAGTTGTTCTTGTAATCTGTGGATTGAGTGGCCAATATGGTGGCACATGAGAAGAACCAAATTACTCTTTGTGTACCTGGCACTGTCATTACAATGGTAGAGACCACAGGCACAGTTGTTCTTGTAATCTGTGGATTCTACATGATTCAGTGCAAAATGCCTTCAACAGTCTTGTATTTCAGTATGTCAATGCACACGATTAAACCATGTCGCATTCTAATCTAAGGGAAATGTTTCTAGTGTACCATGTGTTTTTTGGCCACCTTGCTTGTGGTAAGACTTTGACGCACTTCAAATATAATCAGTCACTTATACAGTATGGTCGAATCTTGAAAACAGTTTATCTATGCTCTAAACAAGTGAGTGAGTTAAGTTTTACGCTGCACTCAGCAATATTCTAGCTGTATGGCAGCAGTTCTAAAGAAGTTAAACATCAAGGTTTATAGCAATTTTATGTGCAAGCTTGTCATGAGAAACTAGAAATTGGCACCGCTACCTTCATTAATATGCATGAAAATCAGCCAGTGGGGTGAGTCTAGTACGACCTAAGTGCAGTGGGATTCCTCTGCTGTAGTGAGCCTACAAAGTGGCAAGCTGCATGTCTTTACTCACAGAGTTTTCCTTTCCCAATAAGCACATGGTTACCACTTCGAGGAGGAGGACGATGATTTTCAGACAGTAATTCCACGCCAAGTGAGGACGGTTGGGTTTTCCTCCTCCCTGCATTCGCCCTTTGAGGAAGATAGGCCAATCACCCCATTACGAGATACAATGGTTTATGATGTCAAAAACTCATCGTTAGATTTTAAAGATGGTGGGTATTCTCAGTGTAGATATATGTTTTTTCTTCCTTTATTTTTGGTGTGTTGATGTTGACTATTATATACTTTGAGTTAACAAATGTGTGCACATTCCACCATAACCTTCTGAACCTGCTTGCAGTCTATCACTTAAACATTTCTGCTTCACAGTTGCCTCTGTCAAAACCAGCTTTGCTGAAGAATTTTGTGCAAGTTTTTTGTCAAACTGGTATAACAAGGATTGAATTTACTTCAAGTTATTTCTTTGGGGTCATTTCGTCTTTAGATTTAAAATATTTAACTTGGCCAAGAGGCATCTTTGATAGCACATCAGGGTCCCAATTTACAAAGCGTTCGTAGCGATACGACATTCGTAAGCCCATGACAAACTATAGTGTTACGACAGGTCATAATGTTACGGATGCCTTGTGGATTGGGACCCAATATCCTATCAAACTAAGATGAGTAAGTAACATTATCCGAGAAATATTCCCTAGCTTGTATTTATTGTGCATGGGTAATGCCATCGTGTACAGAGTCAACTGTTGAGTTTGTTACTACGGTCAAACAACATTATGTTGAACTTACCGGTGTCTCCCAGTAAAACTTGGATCTCTTTGTATGCCTTCTTTATTCATTATTGTTTGGTTTTGTGTCAAATCTTAGAAAACTTTGTGTATGTACATAGGTCTCTTCAACTTTGACACAACCATGTTTGACTGCTTTTCTCAATGTTTGTCTTGTAACTGTTGAATTAATCATGTTTCTATGTCTATGGATATGTATTTTGCATGTAACATTATTTTCTGCTTCCCATTCATATATCTTGTCACTAGTGATGCTCTATTGACATCTTTTGCATGAGTTATACAGAGGCTGTTTGTACACAGTCTCTCAGGATTGTACATCACTTTTCATTTCACATTTTAATACTTTGGACATGTGTTCTGTTCATCACATGTTTACTGAAAACATAGAAATCACAGAAGGATGTTATGTTTAATTACACTGCTTTTAAATTACTAAGAGAACCCACATTTAAATAAAAGCATATTGCTCCTTAGTTACTTTCTGATTTGGAAGTGATAACATCAGAGTTATCAGAATTGATATGTGTGATGTTAACAGATAAATGTTGAAACGAAAAGGACACACTTGCTCTGGACACACATCCAGATCCACGTCTCAGCTGGCAAACTGTTGTCTCTTGTGCAGGTATTCCTGACAACCCTCGGCTGGCCGAGACGTACTACTCCCAGTTTGAGGGAGAGTTTGATGAAGATGAAGATGACAATGCTGATGATGGTATTGGTGATGAGCCGGAAGATTATGATGATGATGATGACATTATGATGAATGAAGAGGGCACCCTGGTGGCAGAGGAGGAAACTCACAATGATGTAGAGGACTTTATACAATGTCTGGAGGGTGCTTTGGACAAGCCTGAGGGTAAGTCTTTGTAAAGGAATCTCACATTGATGTAGAGGACTTTTCTGTTGGACAAATGACTATGTGGAAGCAACTGTGAATTTAACACTCCGCTTGACATCTATAAATGAAGGCTTGTGATTCTGGGGTGACTTATGCTCCCTGCGGTTGACCTGAATGTTGACAGTCCATAACATCATTACAGAAGCGTAACCTAAATTCGTGGATAACCTTGATTTGTGGATTGCGGAAATTATCATGCTAGCTCGTAAATTAAGTCTTGACTAACGTCACGAAACGGTACTTTTGATGCACATACATTGCCACGCCTTGCTGACAAAAGAGTTCCGAATCTCTGCATTACACGCAAGTACACTAAATATAATTGTCCAGCATTTAGATAAATAGCCCCAGATCACTAATACCACCATTACCAAATTATATGTTTACAAAATGTCAAGTAAAAAAGATACCGTTAGCTCCAACATTCTCACTTCTTGTTGTCTGCTTTCCTTGGTGTCAATACTTACTGCAGTGGGATGTCGTACTTAGTGGTATAAAGTAACCGACTACGTAATCCACGAAACAACGTGACGTCACATTTTGTGGGCACACGAATGGGTGATGATTGCCAATGGCTTCCGTAAACAAACGTTTCGTTCACGAGTGGAATATTAGGCATTTTCTATTTGCTGAATCAATGAATAAAATAATCAGTGCGCATACAAAATGAAAGGATGCATTTAAAATATGAATTTCGCCGCATTTCCCTTATATCCACGAATCAAGGTTATGCGAGTGTGTATATTTTCTTGCTAATTGGCCGATGGTCGATGTATGACAACCAACATCTCTTGCTATGACATTCCTCATACTAACAGCTTGCCATCTTTGAGCAGTTAAAAGCTTAACAACAAAATCAGTTGTTTTTCTAAGTAACACAGCTGTAAGAACAGTTAGCTGAAACTTTCTATGTGCTAAATGATCGGTATGTGTATTGTACGTGATGACAGCCTTTGATCATAGCAAGTGCATATCTAAACTTGATGTATGGCATGCTCCAGGGTCAAAATGATCATACAAACAAACATTACCGGGGGTATTATGAAATGAGTGGAAATGGCTTCATGAGGGGTTAAAAATCATAGATGTTGTGCTACTTTTTTCTATGTGCATAGAATGAGGACAAGTGCCAGTACTTTATTGAGATTTCAACGTACTGTTTATATCCCAAAGTAGTACTGGCATGGGCTGTCCATCTAAAGCACAGGCAAATACTATAGTTCCACAAACTTAACTATGCACAAGAGCAGTTTGCACAAATTCAAGTGGACTGCTCGAGCAAACCACCCCAGCATGTTCAAAATCCTTTCTGTACTTTCTCAGCATATACATGTACACCACATGACCAAAGTATTGACAGCCCATTGGATGACAGTATTTGCCTGTGCTTTACACAATGTCTAGAGGGTGTTCCCTAGGGGGCAATGCATGTAGGGGTTTTCTACATGTACTGGTAGGTACTTCGTCACAAGGCAAAGGAAGATGGGTAATAGGGTGTTTGTTATTGATACACACAGAAAACATCTGGTAAAATGTTGAAATATATGGTGTATGTGTGTGTTTGTTGTTGCAATGTTCTGTACAACAAAGTCATGTAAGGTATCAAGCCTAGACAGGCTACACTGAAATATTCATAGGGTCAGCCCATCCTTAATAAGAGAACAGAACCTTGGTAAGAATACAGTTCTGTCTGTAACATTGCACTTGATGATTCACATTTTATTCTTCCATGTTTTCTATCGCCAGAGCAAACCATTACTGTAGCGGATGACACCGTCTCAGGAGCATTTGGCCCACATGCCAGAGGGGTGAAGATTAAGAATCTCCGAGCGTATCCTTCAACAGCGGTATCTTACTCACACATTCTTCTTCACTATCATAGTGCAGTATAAATGAATCAGAATGTGTTATGGCTTTTCGACAAACCTTTGTTTGCATGATGTGAACCATTATCCAGACTGACAAGATGAAGGACCTGAATCTAGTAATCTTTCCACTTTTGCTTTTCTATTTGCCCTGAAGGTGTTGGCTCTACGTGCTGTGGTCTGTAGTTCCATCAGTAAAGATGGGAAAATACACAGTGATTGGAAGGTGGTGATGATAATCTAATAATGATTCGTTCTAAGGCTATGAACTAAAGTCAGAAAGGATGCTTGAGGAAATTTGAGTTGAATAGTCAGGTCAAAGTTTGAAGAATTATTGATGAACAAAAATGGAAAATTTAATTCCAGCGATTTTTAATGTGAGCTGTTTATTGATTCAACAATACCTGTGCACCTTATGATATCTTATTGAACAGCATTTCTACAGATGGGGTTAATTTGGGAAAGATTAAATATTATTAATCATAGTTTTATGCAAAACTGGTAAGACTGAAAGATCTCCATGTATGTCTCTGTAGTAGAATGTGAACTGTGTGTGGCACCACAGGCCCTCTGTCTTTGCAAGGATTAAAGATGTTAAAAAACCCATAACATTTGAGATGACCCCCGACTCAAAATGCTGCACAGTATAAAACATTATGACAAGGCCGGACACTTCGGTATACCCAACCCGCTTGCTTTGCTGATCGCTACGCTACCATCGCATGTAATCGATTAAACTTAATGTGAACATAATCATGGATCATTAGCCTATCGAGCACCAATCATGAAACCTACCAATTCTTTATTGTTATTTCTGTAAGTCGTTTTTGTGTGGACATATCGTCATCCATTTGTGTCAAGATCGTTTAGTTAAGAGTCAAAATCGGGTTTCAATCGACTTACAGAAATAACAATAAAGAATTGGTAGGTTTCATGATTGGTGCTCGATAGGCAAGTGCACCTATCTCAATAGATTCAGGCAAGCGTTTTTCCTTTTTCAACCAGAAATGTAACTTTAAACATCTAGATATAGAAGTACTTTGAACACAGACCTGTGATTTCCCTTAACTATGTGCAGTCAGTGTGAGAGTGTGCTGGGCACAGAGACATTTGAGAAGGCGTACAGCTACCTGCGTGGAGCCCGCTATGAGAAGGAGGGGGCCAACAAAAGTGAGAAAGACATTATGCAAGGCCTGCGTGAGCTTGTGAAGAATCCGTCCGATTGTTTCCTTGTGGATCAGCTACTGTTTCTGGAGGAACAAGCTAAATACCACGAAAACAGCTAGCAACATTTTGCTCAAGTTGAAAACTATTTACAAAGTTCAGCAAATATATAAAAGGATTTGAGATGTGCATAGAAGTTTCGGTTTTCTTCTATTTATAGTCAACTACATGAATCATGATTTGATTGAACATCTAGAATGATTTTGTATCTCAAGCTTTACCATGTTTCACTGTCATGTAATTTATAGCAAACTTGTGATAGTTAAAGGTACTGCATCTTGCATTGAAAGGTCGATAACTGTACTTGTCCAAGGGAGAGCACTGTCATGTCCCTGTTAGATTGAAGCAAGGGAGAGCACTCTTTGCTTCAGATTGTACTTAGGGATAGTACTCTCTCCTCCCTGCATGAATCTTCTCACAATGATAGCCCGTTTATGAAGCTTTCTATATAGTCAGATGTATTTTGTGAGAGGCAGTCAGAACCATGCATGAACTCCCATCTGACTGATGATGATACTTTTCCCCAAGTATTCAGAGAATACTTAGGAGTATATCTGAACTTTCAGAATATGAATATGTCAAATCATGGTCCCTGCAAATGACCAGCAGGTGAAAATTGACTAGCATGTCAGTTATGATACTTATTTATAATTTAGACTAACAAATCAAGTGTTGAGAAGATGACTGCACATTACCATGGAAACTAGTGGGGAGTTCAAAACTTTCCTGAAATTGGTCAGAAAACAAGTCCATATCTTTCTTTCTTGTAGAATATCTTGGATATGTCATTTCCTGATGATTCTTAGTTTCAACTGTTTCTGAACCCTAAAACATACCTTCCTTAGAGCATAATATATTTGTTATCAACAGGACTTCTCGTCTCATTAATCAAGTTTGAACAGATGTGTTACAAAAGATAACATAAACTGAGGTAAACTGCTGATTGTTATGGAAGTGCTGTAAAGATGTCTCATACTATATATTCTGAATGTGTACACCTCTGTGATCCATCATGTCTAGTTTGCAGCTACCATTGGTCTTGCTCTCTTATCATGCTCTAGTTTCATTTTCATATCTTAATAAGTCATCTAAAAGGAGATAACAAATTACTTGTTTCCCCCAATGCTTTAGACATTTGATTTGTTCATGTTCATTTTTAACTAGGATGGTAAACATAGAACACATTGGTGTCAGTTATGCTGCGTTAGCCAAAGCTGTAGCTGAAATTATACAATATATAGATTACCATTTCATTAATAGTGTTGTAGAATCACCAGAAATCAGTTCTAGGACATAAGAGCAAGTTATTCTTATTACTGTAGTTAAATTCTCATCTGATTAGTAATGTATATTTGAAGCATTGGAATTTAAAGTCCCTTATATCTGTTTTATTCTCCTGTACTCTATTGCTAATAACAATGAATTTCTCCCCAACCTGGTATCCAAGTATTAAAGTGGCCCCTTCAGATTGTGCCTGGTTTCATAGATATGTTACAGTATTAATGAAGGATAAATGCATTTATTGTGAAGTATGTGTTTCTCTGAAGACTGACTGCCTAAACAACAAAATAATTACTTTTGAAGCACTGTGGTGTATGTGCAGACACCACCCCTCCTTCAGTCAAATGACTTTGATTGTCAAAGTTTTACATTAAATGCAGACTAACACAGACACCATAGCAACTTCTCCGTCATGTGCGTGTGTACCAAGAGTGGTGTTGAAAGTGCATTAAATGCCTTGTATTTGTGTTGTATAGGTCATAAGGCATGAAGTTATGTGTGTACATATGCCAAAATCACTGTAAACCAGTAATGTTGTGATAGTATCTGTTTTGGGTGTTCAGTTTGTTATGTGGAAGTATATGTTTATGTGGTGAAACCTGGCCTGAGGTGATGAGTGTTTTATCAGTATGTCTTTTGTTTTTGATAAATTATATTAAGTGTTCCGCAAAATTTCTAGGCCAATGTACCAATAGAAAGTATGAACATATTGGTGTGAATAACAATTGTAAAATGAATGGGTGTGCAAGCTGCAATCTGATTGGTGGAAAAACAAGTTGGATTTTTATCTGGAAATCTTTCAAACTTTACACTCTTTATGAATACCCCTGTTTCCTGGATGAATTCCTGTGGGTATTTTTTTCAAATCCCAATTTGTTAAAAAGAAAGTAAAGCAAAATGGATACCACACATTATTCAATATTATGTTTAATGTAAATTTATCAGACCTAATTGTATTTAGTTTTTTTCCAGATGAGTGATAACCAGATGAGTTCAGTGATCACAGAGGCTTAGGACGACGTAATGTTATTCAGAGTGACTTTCTATCCGTCTCAATATGGGGAGGGTACATATAGATATAGCATTATTGTATAATGAGAGCCTCGAAATTTTAACGTACAGAAATCATTGATATATTGGTATGAAACTCATCAGTCATGTTCAAAGTTGATAATTCACTGATTTTTCTTTTGTGTTGTCAAGTTTGGGGCTTCTGGACAAGCAAATAAAATGGAAAATTATAAAAATAATAAGAGGAAAATCTAACAAGGAGGCAGTCTTGGATTCAATGTGCACTACCATGGATAGGCCAAGTAATGTGTGGATGATGTGTTCATGTAAACTTTGCTTCATTCACATCATGCTTCAATCGTGCATTTTTCTCTGCGGTTTAGATTCTAAGTGTTAAAAATATGTATCACTTTAGATGAGAACGTTGGTACACTTCATTCAGAATGTGTGCAAAACAAGCACAGCACTTTTGTGAGAAAGGTTTACAACTGTCATTTGACCAATCCGTTTCTTTCTCTGACCAGCCACATCATGTAACAATATGGTGGTTTGTGATATATTGTGTATATTGAAGAAGATATACCTGGAGCAAGTCCGTCCTATAACATTGGAAGTGATCCACCCATTTTCAAAGTATGAGTTTACTTTCTATTCCGTCCTCTGATGACAATATGATTCCAATGGATCTTTTATTCATCCTGGAACACTTCCTGTTTCTTTATGAATTACCATGGATCTTGGTCCGGTCCTATATATTTACAATTTATGCATTCCACTGTTTATTTTAGGAAATTTACATATTTATCACTGTTTTTTGTGTACCTTTTTGTTTGTGTGTGAATGTTTTTGTAAACCAACTGTATAAAAGCAATGAAAAGGCCCATGGCATTTATAAGGATTGCATAAAAGATGCAGGAAACATCTGATATTGAAAATGGAGAGATATATGTTGGACCCTATTTGCTAGCTGTGATAACACCTCAAAATAAAGTTACCTTGTAAATTATTCTAATCCATATTTAATGTTTTAGCAGATATCTGCATTCCTACAGCAGCAAAAGGTATTAGTATGAGAATGGTCTCAACATCAGTATTATACCAACCTTGTGTTTCTCTGCTGTTAAGATTTCACTTGAAGTCATGCATTCATCAGATGTTGACTTCTCTTAATATGTCCAAATAAAAAGACTCCCAGAGATGAATTTGTTGGTTCGTTATTCCATATTGTGTACTACCAAGAATAGGGAAAATTTCTAATAATCTCACTGCTCTTATTGGCTGAAATACAAGGGCTGCTGGTGAAAATTGGCAACCTTCTAACCTCAATGGATAATAAATAAGGTTGCAAAGTCAACATACTGATCAAAATGTTTGACCATCACCTTGGAGTGAGTGTTTAGTTTTACGCCGCACTCAGCAATATTCCTGCTATATGGCGGGGGTCTGTAAATAATAGAGTCTGGAACAGACAATCCAGTGATCAACAGCGTGAGCATCAATCAACGCAATAGGGAACCGATGACGTGTCAACCAAGTCTGACCACCCGATCCCGTTAGTCGCCTCTTACGACAAGCATGGGTTACTGAAGATCAATATTGTAACCCACATCTTCACGGGTCCCATCACCTTGGAAGAGCTTACAAACATGTTGACAAGAGATAATGATCCTTCCTCTGCAGGCAGGCATCAAGTAACTTTCCGGTCGAATGATCTGCAAACATTTGATTGTGATACTTCTATGGGAGTTGCTGCCAGAACCTTCCGAAAGTTTTATCATGAAGAATCTGCTCAAAAATCAACCCAACATTGTCTTATGTGGGCACTAATCTCAAGCAATCACCTGAATAGTTGTTGCCTGTATTTTTTCATCTTGCATGCCAGGATGGTATCCCAGGAATCTATTGGTTTTTTATCCAAGATGTGCCTACCACAAACTTATTTAAGAGTACAAGATCATGTCCTAACGATCAACAAAGAAAGATCAAATTCGTGGAAATGTGTCGATTCAGTATTGATGACATTTTGATTGTCGTTTGATATGTTGAGAATTTGGATCATACTTGTAACACAAACTTATGATTTCACCTCAACTTTTTTTATCAATCAAACCATGAGTATGTTGCAGTCAATGTGTAACTGTTAATACACCCCTGAACATGTTACTTTACAAATTATATACATGGAAATCTATAAACATTTTGTATTTTTCGGGCCTCAGTCTTAGCATTATCAGCATCTGTTGTAATGTTTTTAAGCTCTCTAAGCTTTGACTAAATTTGTGATACCGGTATCCTTATTGTGATATGTATGGGAATATATTGAGAGCTTAAGAATTTGACCGTGAGCGACATTTATTGTAGGTGCAGATCCTAACTTCTTCATACATATGGCAACAGAATCTCAAAATGGCTGGATAGTTAGTGGTAAATATATATTTTTAATACATAATAGTATTGTCAATTAAGACGGGAACCTTCAGTTATGAATGAAAGTGTAGATATTAACTTAAACTATACACCATGGACTGTACTGACATTCTAGTATTTGAAGGGATGGGGATTTTTCATGTATGCAGGCATAAAAAAAAACATTCCCCAAGCAACAATTCCTTGTTACTCCAATCATGCCTCCCAGCCTCCTGGTCCACTGTGCTGGTATCATGAAACCAAAGAAAACTTCTGACATTGGCTGATGTACAACTTTTCATACAGAACAAGACATCATAAACGAGTGAATGACAAATGTTTTATTTTATTTGTCTCTGAACTGCCCAATCATTGGACATTGATTTACAATTCTGATACTGATCTCTTGACCAAAATGACTAAGCACCTCAAATGTGTAAAAGAGCAAAACAGATGTCTAACTTTGGTAACTAAAGCACTTTTAATCAAAAGAAAGATATGTCAACTAGAGTTTTGTTGCCAATAAATTAGCCATCAAATAATCTTTTTTTATTTTTATGAACAATATTTAAAGGTCACTGTCATGGTAGAAACAACTCATTGGAAATCTGCACATTTTCTACCTCGAGCGTTTAAGAAATCCATTTGTTCTAATCTCTTAACGTTTGCAGCTAACACAGGAAATAATGAGATTAAATGCTAACCGAAAATGAAAAACCATGCAGCCATAATGTATTTAGTGAATGCTGCCCCTCTTGCAAACAGCAGTAGCACCATCATTTGGTGGCTACACTGACAGAAGATTGTCACTCTTACTAAAATGGCTTATTCAGGTGACAAATTCTGGCATTAACAGTCTAAAACAAATTTGTGCTGGCTTGGACCAGGCTGGTCAAACGACTTGGTTTGAGATCGGCCACTCTCACAAACAGGTCCCTTTGTCTCTCATCCAACCCAAAAAACATCAACACAATGACACTGTAGTCGGCATCAGCCACAGAGCACAGAAGTCTTATCAATCATCTCGTTTTTACAGCAATGTTCTCAATTTGAGGGAGTTGTCCATGGCTCCAGAAATTCCAACCAGGATATGTTTGTAGAAAATAATGTGGATGAAGAGTTGATGAAGATGACTGGTCGGTGACTGTCTTCTTTGCTGACATTAAAGGTACGGTAGGTTTGATGAACAAGTCATTCCCTGGTGAAGCAATAATGCATTTTCCCAATGTTTTTTATGTTTCCTCAGGGAGCAATACACCTGCACCAAGCTAGAGCCATGTTGGTTTCGTTATCGCATGCGTCATTTGGGATTTCACAAAACTAAGACTGCACACCCACTCGCTGAAAATAGAAATGGCGGATTTCCCATTAAGAATGTGCAACAGCAAACATGACACAAAAATAAATATTTTTTTTACTTAAAGCAGCCTTTGTTCACCGTTAACGTTTTTTGTGTGTGTCAAGATTCATAGTAAACGTACCCTGTTTGTTTGGCCTCTGCGATCCATGGATGCATTGTAATCATACTCAACCCATCCTTGATTTCTTCGACCACCCCTGGCATATCCTCCTCTTCCACCTATAACATGATGATATAGTTTTAAAAAATCCGAGTCATATAAATTGATTAATCCACACCCATGTCATACAGTAATCTTTAGACTTAACATGTACAAATAGCAAACATCTTCCAAATATCGTTGTGTAGAAAAAAATGCATCTTACCCCCATAACCACCACCTCCATATCCTCCATAACCACCACCTCGGCCTCTGCCACGAGGACCCCCACGGAAACCACCCCTGAAGCCTCCACGGCCACGCCAGTTTCGACGGAAATTTTCAGAAACTCCAAATGTCTCGGCATTGAGTTTCCTCTCCTCTCTCCAACTCATTCTGGCATTACTGTAGAAGATAATCAAAATTGCAGAACATTAAACCAGAGTGAAGAGAAACATCTTATGGTCTATTATGTGCTTATACTAGTTCATTTGGCAAAACAGAGGTTGACTGAAAACATATATTGGTCAGTAACTTTAACTTTAAACAATTGGCACGGAATGTACTTTGCTCAGACACTTCAGACAGTTATTAGAACAGTCATTTTTCAAAACAGACATGGAAAGCAATGCAAAACATCAAAAATGCAACATTCACCCTTTAGCTCTCTCTGTTGCTTCACAACTGATGTTGTCAAAGAAGGATTTTGTCTTATCATAAAAGACAGCCTCATCTTCTTCAATCACTTCACTGGGTTCTTCAGCACCTTCTTCCTTCTTTTCTTCTTTGTTGTCACCATTCACTACCTTCTCATCAGCTGAAGCAAAGTAACAGGTGTTTCAAGAGGATGTGTTTCAAAAACATGTGACAATATCTGATGAGGCATACAATAACTCCTCCTTCAGTCTTTTTTCTGAGAAGGTAAAAAAAAAAAAACCCTACATAAATGCTTCTGCTCTAGGTAATGTTATCATATCAGCAATATACTGGCCATAATATATCAAATTAACATTAGCTACTTACTTAAAATTATCAACAGGCACCCTTAGGTGTCACCTTTTCTAAATGTACCATTGACATTTAATTTTAATCTGTGCTTACATATTGTTAACTTTTTCTTCAGTTCTTCTTCAATCTTGTCCTTATCAAACTGTGCATTGGCGCTCTCAAAATCGTATTCCGCATCAAATTTGAGTGGTGTTTTAGGCTGGCCAGGTCTTCCTCTGTTGTTGCCTGTGCCCCTGGGTGCTCCCCTTGGACCACCCCTCGGTCCACTGCCTGTACCCCGGTATGCAGGACCATTCCCTTGTCCTCTTGGTGGACCACTGCCACCTAAAGAGAAGATAAGAAGTCAGACGGAGACACATTAACAAATCATGCAATCAAGTTTCTTTGCTTTTGCATTATTTTCTACAACACTTATGTGTTTTTCATAACAATGTATCCATACATACATACAAAGCAGCTTAAGCAAATCCTACTGAAATATTCTCTATTACTTGGTACCATATACATGTATACAAGAAACAAAAAAATATATCATAACCTGTCTACCCACCTCTGTTCCCTCGTCCCCTGGAGTAAGTAGCTGAAACAGGTTTATTTTGATAGTTGCCATCGCCCTCTCGATCTCTTCCACCACCGCCACCCCTACCTCGCCGGTTATCATAGCGATGTTCATAGCGGTGATCATTCCGATGCTCATTTTGTTCGCGCGATTTGTGCTGATTCTGTTGAGGCGCTGAAACTGGCACTTTGTCGATACTTGATACACTTCCAGTAGTGGACGACACTTGTGTTCCTTGGTCCGATGTTGGAGACTTGCGATTGGGAGGAGGAGTTGGTCCACGAGAACCTTAAACATAAAATAAATATAGATGTAAAACAGAACATGTCAATTTAACCAGTAGTCCAAAGCCTACGTCTATTGAAAGTCTGTTCAGTCAAGTCAGCTCAGCTAGTAATAATCCACATGCTAACACTGAAATATGTAAGTGTGGGATAGCAGACTCAAACGTTAAAGCATTAAATGTAATATAGAGTTAGATAAAGGACAGATTTAACATAATGGATATTCTCAATTCAGACATGCACATGAATATACACATATATTTATACATGAAATGTAAATCAAAGCCTCAACTGGGTAATTCTAGCACTAACATTGTGATAGACAAATACTGAAGACCTCAAATGTTATGTGCTTACATTCCCATAACTCATGCACTTGCTACATATAATCAAGACGTTTTCCACCACAACCATGATTGACAACCAGTAAATATAAACATGGGGTATGTTATAGGTCAAACCTGTGTAAACATGGATCAGTGCATATTGGCAATATGATATACAGGAGAGGCATGCAATGATCTGCATTAATAACCTAGTAAACTGGAAACAAACTTCAATCATTATTGGAACTGTGCAAGTTAAATGAAAATTGTCAGTGATCATCATATTTGCATAACGGAAATAATAAAATATGTTATGTGCAGTTAGCTATCAGATATTTGATACAGATTTCAGCTTGCAGATATAACCTAAATACAATCCAGCAGTGACATTCCAATCAATGAAATCAAGTCATATCAAGTGAACTTATGATGCAATTGATAAGGAAAATAACAAATTATTGTTTTGACCAAGTAGAAATAAATTTCTTTAATATACAAATACAATCGTTTCTTCTACTCAAGTCAAAAAAGAGCTGTAATGTATTTTTTAAAGTACCATGAACATATACTCCATAAAGATATTTCACATTGATTAATAATATTTACATTATAAAGCATAACTGATCTTAAGATAATGAAAACTGCATCTGGTTAATGGCGGTAATACATAGGAGCTGTATATTGCAAGCATGACAAGGCGCTGATAGCTAGCAGGATTGGGTGGACAGCTCAAACAGGAACCGTTAGTGGAGTTACCAGATTTCCTGACAGGCTGCCAAGGGCTTACTTGAACCCCCTGATCCATAGTTGGGGACACTCGGGTAAGAGTGGGAGTGGGCCCACGGGAACCTGACAAAACCACAATGTCTCTATGACTTCACACATATTCACTGCAACTCTCACTAATCCTCTCATTGAAATAGATACGACTCACATGTGAATTAACTGGCTGTGTGCGGAAAGATGTAACAGTAATATATATTCATCAAAGGAAGAAACAATTCAAGATCTTTCAACTTCTATCAGTGTGTTCCGGAACCCATTTTTGCACATATATTTTTAACAAGCATAGCCCAACATTGAGAAGATATTAACATCTGCTTGGTATTCAGAGTCAGATGGCTCGAAAAGTATGATAGTAACCACTCTCAGGTCAAACACAACTACTTATAACGGGAAGTGTACATGAAAACATCACATTTTTAAGAATGAGTTAATATCAATCATAGAAAATATACGCTAATTTTTCTCACACTGTAAGAACTAAGAACTGTTGAAATTACGCCATTATGAGGCCTTTGTTTCCTGAGCTAAACAGGACAGACTCGTTCCCCTTAAGTTATCATCATTGGTGCCAATCGATTTAAAACTGGTTCACCGAAGTGAGATGCAGTATATTTGGAGGGAGACCATTTATTCAGGGATAACATATGTATTAATGTGAGAAAAATTCCCAAATCAGACACATTCTGCTAATTAATGTGGTATTTTCTCCTTGTTTTCACTGCAACATCAGGGGTGTAGCTACCATTATGAAAAAAAAAACCCAGGCTCACTGGATTGTTGCTAAAAAGTTTGGGAAAGCCCTCAATACTATTTAAATACAAAGCTTTGCAACCTATCAGGCTTACGCGAAAAAACTTGGCTTGCTACGTACCTGACTAATGAAAATAATCACAAATGACAAGTACAGTTAACGGAGTGTGCGAGTCTGGTCTGTCAATGTGTCCTGCTTGGCAGAAACTTGAACAAAATTGTGTTGAATGTACCAAATTATTGAAAATGTAATTTTTCAAGTAAAATTGATATTTTTATACCTATCCTGACTCATGATCTTTTGCTTATCTCCCTTTTCCTTGCGAATGGTAGTGGAACACTTGAATCCCTTGAAGTTCCCGAAGCAGACGTAAAAATACACTCACCCTCGAGTTACCTTCCTTTTCCGGCGTAAACAGTCATGTGACCAGCCTTACTTGTCACTCTTGATTTTTCTGCCCAAGCACTTGGATCTGCTGTGCAATCCGAAGTGTTTCCAGCGGGGAGGTCGGGAGGGCTTAACCTCATGAGTCAGGATATTTTTTCTTATCCTGACTCATGATCTTTTGCTTATAGAATCTGACGGATTGGTGGTGGTTCAGGCCACTTACTGGATTCATCAGCTGTCCTTAGATACGTCCTGTACCCCCCCCATGGGAACTGCGTAGCAGCATTTCCGAGATCCTATTCTTCCAACTTCCGTTTTAACTCAGGGGGACCACTTCTTGTCTTACTTCCATCTCAGACAAGTTGAATCATCTTGATTCATGTGGCTTCAGATAAACTAGTATCTTCTTATTACTAGATATCTTATAACAACCCATAGATTATGATAAGATCTTTATCATAAATGAGTTGCGACCCCTTCACGTACAGGTAAGATCTTTACCCGTACAGGATCTTTAATCACTCATGCTAGTCTGTCCTAGACTGCGCGCATGGACTTTCAAACTAATACTTTTCTTTAGTAAAAGTTATCAACAAGTCAACGTGATAAAGGGTGAGATTTTCCAACTCAGCGCCTTTGTGGAGCCGTTAGCAGCTGTGCTACAACGAGAGGCCCAAATTGGTGAATGCCTGAGATGTCTTCAGTGGTTATGTCTCGGAGGTAGTGGTTGGCATAATTGCTGATATAGAGCAATTTCCATGCAGAGCTAGTGTTGATGCCAATGCTGATGTATAACCAGACGCATGTATCTCTGATATTCGAGTTGCCGTGGCTAGCGCAAGCAGGAACAGAGTCTTCTGTGTCAGCAGCTTGAGTGTAGTCTGGTCTAGAGGTTCGTAGGCATCACTGGTAAGATGACGTAGAATTACATTCAGATCCCAGGCCTAAGCTCTGAACTTCTGTTGCTGGTCCTCCAGTTTAAAAGATCTCAGCAGAGCAAGTAATTCTGGTACTCTCGTCAACTTGATGCCTATTTTCATGGTAATCACTGTACTAATGGCGGCGAGGTATGTAGATAATGTCGAACCTTTCAGATGTCTGGTCCGTCTAAGATGACACATGTATTCCGCCACTTTAGGATGAGTAGCTTTCATCGTAATGAAGTCTTTCCGCCTTGCACAAGTCTCAAACTTCAGCCACTTATCATACATGTTACGAGTAGATCTGCGTAACGCTAGCATTACTGCCTTGGCTGCCCTGGCGGAGTATCCTCTTTTCTTCAAACATGTTTTGATACGGTCCACACGTGTAGCTGGAACAGTGTTGGGTTCCTGTGGACTTGCTTGGTGTGCGGATGTATGAGTAGGTTCGGCCAATCTGGTAACTTGATTGTTGGACTTCCGAGATCTTCTATTAGGTCTAGGAACCATACTCTCGCTGGCCAGTATGGCGCGACCAAGGTCAGTTGTAGTGGCTGTGTCTGTTTGATCTTCAACAGTACTTTCGTTAGTAATATCAGTGGTGGAGTGGTCGGAGGCGTCTGCAAAAAACGCATAAGCGTTTAGTCCTTCCCATGATATGTTCAGTGCATGTTGCCCAGGCTGAAAAATGCTGCTCTGTTTGGATCACTTCCTTGATGCAACTTGATTGTTGAGATGTGCACCCCAACCTTGTGTCGAAAGCCGGCTCTTGTAAATAGGTCCCTCCGTAGACGTTCGACCTGTGGGTCCACCAAAGTAGGTACCTCTTAAGATTGTCTGGCAGCAAGATAGGGTCGACGCTGTCCAGATGTTTTCTCAGGAACCGTTGCAGCGGCCTTAGTTGTAATCTTCCTGTGCGAGTCAAGTCCTGCGCCGAGGTTAGTAGACCAAGTAGACATTGCCATGTTCGTAGTGTTAACGGAGAGATGACTGCTTGTGGAATCATGGCTTGTATCTTGACCCTATGATCTTCTGGGACCACAATTCAATTCTGTGTTGTGATAATTCTTATTCCCAGCAATTGAAGATCTTGTTTGATTCTTACTCCAACTTCATCAGGTTCACTAGTTCAGCTGCTGTCTTAGTTGATTTGCACTTTGAAGAACCTGTATGCCGTCATCCAGATAACCGGCACTGACCTCGATGCTGCCGATAGGCTTGGTTATTCGTATGAATAATCAGAGCCGACGATATTCCAAATGGTAGTACGTTCCATTGGAAGTGCTAAACTCTGATTGCAGTGATGATACATCATTCTTCCCCTTATATCTGTGTTGACATTGAAGCGTTGTCTATTTATAGCAAGGCTGGCTCCAGTGTAGCATCGCAGGGGACAGGTACTCATACCGACTTTTATCTGCAACAACTTCCAAAATAAACATAGTTTATCCTGCTGTCAAGGCTAGACATCTATTAAATTCCCATGATGATAACAGGCCGTGGTTGTATACTGTTTCCAAGGCTGCCGATGAAGTATTCCCCACGGGTTTGTTTACAAATCAGAAAACATGCTGGAGCCTGCTCTGTCAGTGGGAGGTGTTGTCTGACGTGGACCAATCAGCTTCCAAGCATGACGTCACCGGTGTTGTAGCAAGTTGGCCTCCATAAAATCTGATGCAATAAGTTGGTTGAGTAAAAGCGCGCGTAAATCTACGCTGCTCATATAAACCTCTTGAAAAAGGGTTGCTCCAAGTGTAAATTCTTGTTCAGTGATATAAATCACGTATTCCCATTGTGGATTATATAAGCCAGCATGACGAAGGAGGCTGTCGAGACGTATGTCTGTATGGAACTTGAAGAAATACCGATGTTGAATCCAGTTGATAGGATATAAAATCCTAATCCCCACGCTGAGTGACGAGTGTTAATAATATCATCTGTACGTCCGTTCAAGGGTGATATCATATTGGAGTCGAAGTCATCAGCGTATATGCAGTACGTCTCTGTTGGGTTGGAGTGAGTGAGTGAACGACAATATCCGCAGGCCATCTGCTACCCGGTTTAAGACTTCAGCATCCGTATAGATGAAGTGATTCTTTTCATCAAGTAGGTTGTCGTCCGAAACTGAACCTATAAAGGTATTAGGTTTGTGCAGGTTGTAGAGTAGTGCAGGCTGTAACTGTAGAGATCGCACGTTGTAGATCTATTTGTTGAGTTTTAAACTCTGACAAAACCATCCGTTTTCATCATTGCTTCGTTTTATTCAGCCGTATGGTTATAGAGTTGACGTCAACATCCTGCCTGTTGATGTAAGGATTTGTTAACCCTAGGGTTCGCGAACCCTGTAGATGTCTGCGTTGCTGTTATCTGTCTGTAGATCTGAGAGTTCTCGAACCTTGTAGATGTCTGTAGCTTTCTCAAAGCTGTGCGTAGGTTAGAAGGTACCTTGGATATAGGTTCAATCGGAGGAATAGTCACCGAGTCAAAGTCGTCATTACGCATCCTATAAGTGTAGACTTCATCGAAGTCTGGTTATACATCAGTTATCTCCTGATCGGTAGAGCTATGCCTCTGCGAAACATCCTTCTGCGAACGCGAAACATCCTTCTGCGAACCTCCATCATCCTTTCGCGAACTGAAGATTCCTCCCTTCGTGAATGTCTATCTTGAGAGTCCTCTCTTCGTGAACCTCTATCTGTGGATTCATCTCTTCGCGAACCTCGGTGATGTGAGCCTTCTCTTCGCTTGAACCTCTGTCTCGTGATGAGTGACTTCGTGAACGCTGTGAGAGATATGAGATCTCGATCTAGAACGGCTATGTGTAGGAGATGAATCCTTCCATGTTCTCGAACGTTGAGGGTTCGCAGATGTAGAACGGTGAGTAGGCATCTCATTTCGCCAACGTAGTGTTGAGACGTAGTTCTATGTGGAGTAGGTTCGCAAAGGTCCGTAAGTTCGCGCAGGTCCGTAGATGAGAGGCTTCACCGAGCATTCGCTTCTTCCTCGAACCTCCATTCCATCATCTGGTTGGTGAATGTGTCTCATAATTTCACCCAGATCAAGTTCTGCATTGATTGAAGCTGCTGCGGTGTAGAAGAAGCGTTCGCAAAGCTGATGAGTTGTGTGCCTCGACTTCACTCCGTTGAGAAGTCGGTGGTAGTTCGTCAAACAGCTGGCCTGCTGTGACCATTGCAGGAGACAATCTAGTAGTCGTGGAAGTCGATTGAGTCGCCGATCTCGTAGGTATTTCGGGTAGAAGTAATGGGGGATCATCAAAAAACGTCTACTTCATGCGGAGGTAAAGTCTCTTCGTTAAGGATTTCTGATGCGCCGACTTACTAGGCTGCGTGGATTTACACACACACACACACACACACACACCCACCCACCCCGCGGGGAACTTCAAGGGATTCAAGTGTTCCACTACCATTCGCAAGGAAAAGGGAGATAAGCAAAAGATCATGAGTCAGGATAAGAAAAAATTACATCTTTTCAGTTCCTTTATTCTTGCCATGATACTCTTCCCATGCATATTCTAAAACTAATGATGAAGTGTACGCAACAAATAGGTGAACGGATCTCACACAATATAAGAAATGATACACACTGTAAAATCTGAAGTTTTTGTTTACATTTTCAGCAAGCTGATTTAACACGAGATGGTTGGAATTGGTGATGAAGACGATTTGTCATTTATTGTAAAATGTATAAAAAATTCAGGGATTCATGTAAGGAAGCTGAGTTTGAACGTATTCGACGATTGTTTTCCCCCATTTTGTGCATTTACCGAAAGTTAAGAGTAACAAACTGTACAAAATCGCATAGCATGATCACTCTACAACAAGGCTGAAAGTTCGGTTTCGCCAATGTGATAGCCAAAACATTTTTAGTGATTCTAGGGTCAACGATGACATTCCATAATGAACCAAAGGGTTTCAATAAAAATAAAAAAAAAAACAGATCACAAATGTAACTTTTTGAAATTCAATTCTCATACCAAATATTTAGATTTCAAAACATACCATAAATATATGTGTCAAAAATGGCAAAATTTACGATGCAAATACTTATTAGTACTTTTGCGCTCACTATGGATGATATGACAGATGAATAAATTTCCCACAAAATTCACATCTGTGAAGTGCATTTAAATTCAAATGATATGGATGTTTTTCAACATTAAAGTGAGGGTTGAAGAGGAAGGATATGTATTTTACAATTTATGTAGAAAAACAGTTAGAATACCGGCACATTCACAAAATGGCTAGGTACATCTAGTGTACATACATTTTGGAATTGCTCAAAGAAGATACTGTTGGAAAGACAACTGACTAAGTTAAATGTAATACAATTTGGTTACACTGTATAGTCCGTTTGGCTCAAAAGCAGACCGATGAATTGCAATCTAACTCGAAAACTTATAAACATAAAATACTCAATGAAAAACTGATCATAATGAAAACGTCAGACCAACTCTGAGCTGTTTGCAGAATTTATGTACTAAAAATAAAAAAGTTGTTTAACAAACTATCATTAAAATATCGACACAGTTCACTATTTGTTACGAGGGAGGAGTGCAGAGAAAGGGACAGCCGGCGCGGGTATGCGAGAAAGGACTGAGACGGCACAGTACAGGATAATGAATCAATAACTTTGTCGGCACTTGTGCACGTGCTTCTCTAACACCTGGCTGTCCCTTTCTCTGCATTCCTCCCTCGTAACAAATAGTGAACTGTGTCAATATTCTAATGATAGTTTGTTAAACAACTTTTTAAATTTTAGGACATAAATTCTGCAAACAAATCACAGTTGGTCTGATATTTTGATTATGATCAGCGTTTCACTGAGTATTATATGTTTATTAGTTTTTGAGTTAGATTGCAATTCATCGGTCCGCTTTTGAGCCAAATGCACTATAGCAGAAATGAGAACATAGTAACACTTTGTGTACAATTTAAATGTTTTTCAAACGACAACACCACATGGCAGCACTGATTGGTACACAAAACAGGCCTTGCATCATGAGGTTATAACAGTGACGCTGTATTGCAAGAGACATTAGTTATGGTGTGTTAGGGACATTCGTTATGGTGCAGACCATTGAGACAAGAAACACACACCTATACCTACACCACATAAATGGGTCTAATGACATCATATGTTTATCTATTGGCACCAGTGACGCTGTATTGCAAGGGACATTAGTTATGGTGTGTTAGGGACATTCGTTATGGTGCAGACCATTGAGACAAGAAACACACACCTATACCTACCGCATATGACTGACTATAAGTCGGGCCCCTTTCTCAACCCTCTAAATTCTTGCCAAAACCATGTAACTCAAGTATAAGTCGGCCCCTTTCCCCGTACGAATCGGTATCGCCGCCTCAATCTTCACACTCGGACACGATGTTTAATGCGAAAATATATGCATGAATCATTTTTGTCACAGGTCATAACCTAGCACGATACGTTAAATAAATCCCATAATTTACGTATAGGTAGCGATTTCTTGCTTAATATGTTCAGAATAGCATTATTTTACCCAAAACTTTCGTCTACATCTAAAGTTTTCGTTTACTAGGACGGTATCCATTGCCGTAATATGATTGGCTGCCTTAGGTCACGTGTCTGGTTTTGACCAATCACGACCCTTATAGCAGACTGTGGCGAAAAAGCGTCATTAGAAACCAATTTTTATCCAATAAAATTGCTTCTTACAAGTGTGAAAAATACTCTCGGCAAGGGTACAGTGATATTGTTGATGTTCAGAGCTTTCGAACGATGCCCGACAAACGATTCATACGACGCCTCGCATGTTATTCATACGAAGCTTCGAAAACGGAGGTATTTTCCGTTGTTGTGTCATGTTACTGAGTGAAAAGCCACTGATATCGGGAAATAGGCGACCATACATATTATTTAAGATATCTTTTTATAATAATTTTCTGATTACGTAAAAATGAAAATGTAAAAGAAAAGGTCACGGGCATGTTATGACATGTCACAAATGGAAATCAATCGCTATAGTTTTTGCTTCTTTCGTGGTTTATCTGGATATAAATGTAAACTTGCATTTTCATCATTAATAGTATTTTTCAAAACCACCACACAAAACTGCCACAGAATACAAAAAAGTTTACTTTACGTGAAACAAGTCGTGTCACGTGGCCCAACTTTATCTCTTGATAACAAAGTACCGGTAAGTGCATAGCTGTGATAAAAATATCTGATTAAAATTAATTTATTGTTTATACTATGAAATATATTTTACAAAAGACAAACAACAAAGTTTTATATTTTATGTTTTATTTGTCCCACGATGTCATTTACCTTTGGAAACGTTGTCAGTGCGTATTATATGCGTCCTGCTTCCGGTGTAAACATTGCCAGTTGAGTTCGCAGGGCTGGCAGATTCACACACCTGACCTCGGGATTTTTTTGGGTAGATTAATGAACTCAAGTATAAGTCGGGTCTGATTTTTTACCTTAATTTTCTGGTATCAAATTTCCGACTTATAGTCGGTCATATACGGTACACCACATAAATGGGTCTAATGACATCATATGTTTATCTATTGGCACCAGTGACGTTGTATTGCAAGGGACATTAGTTATGGTGTGTTTATTATGGAAATAGAACTCACTAAATGTGCAAAATATAAATCGATATAATACAAACGATAAATTAATTACTTTTGATATCTAATGTTTGGTCCATAATACAAGATAAATACTTTATATGTTGAAAAAGTGCAAGAAAAACAGGTATATTTTTGTGTAAACTTGCCCCAATGAATGTTGTTGGTTTGCTTCATACAGTTATGTTTCCTTTGAGTTTGCCCGAGGGGTACAGTTTCATATTTTTGGGGCAATGGCAACATTCAATTGCTTTCATGCAGATGGGAGAGGGGGTACGGTTATTTTATAGTAAGTTCATTTAATTATTTTAGAGACTACCATCTATGTTGTGCAGTACATAATTAGCAGAGGAAAGAGGAGTGCATGCTGACTACACTACATTCTAAATCTACATCTGAAGATCTGGATCTTTTGACCAAAACAGATCATCCAGGTCATCACAGGATGTTCAAAGCCTTTCTCAATCACTCATCCAACTGAAAATGAGGTGGATTAGGAACAGTTATAATTATCCCCAACCAATCTTGTGACAATGATTTAGTCAGAAGGAATACAAGATCATTGAAAAGATGTTTTATCAAGCCTTGATTGAGTTGATGAAATGAATGAATAAATGTAATAATACAAAAGAAAAGAATTTAACTACCTGGGCCCCCTGACTGGGACAGTCCTCCAAAGCCCTGACTAGCTGCACTACTTTGTTGACCATATTGCCCATACAGTTGTGGACCACCAAAAGGTTGATAGGTTGGTGCACCAAAACACGTCTGTGCATGTGAACCTCCCCCTGAGGGCTGTGATGACTGAAATTTACGTAATTAAACACTTAAACATAACAAAAGCATGAGTCTGTTCAACAGAAAGTGAGTGAGTGATTATGGTTTTATGCCGCTTTTAGCAATATTCCAGCAATATCACGGCCGGGGACACCAGAAATAGGCTTCGCACATTGTACCCATGTAGGGAATCGAACCTGTGTCTTCAGCGTGATGAGCAAAACGCTTTAACCAGCAGGCTACCCCACCGCCACCAGTTCAACAGAAACTGAATGGCTAATATCAACCCATACAGTAATGCCCTGTCCCCCACCATGTTACAACTGTTAAAAATGACTATAAATGTGATAAAGAATTAAAGGGAACTACAATATAACATTTGCAATGCCAACACTTAGAGTTGAGGCTGTAGTAGCAATGATGACACATATCCACTCTCAAACAAAGAAAACCTGTCCATGAAATAGAGGTCTACCAACCTTTACAATTGCTGGATCCTGTGGCAACCCCTGTGAAAGGGGTTTAGGTGGTTCACAAACATGAAGATCCTTGATATCACTTCCTCGAAAAATAATGTACTCAAAAATTTCATCCCTCGGAGGCACTGGTCTATCAGTTGGTCTATCTTCTGTTCCAAAAGACCTCACTGAAACAGATCCAATCCATCAATCAATTGTAAAGGGGGAGATTGATACATGCATGGTACACTTCAATCTAATTTACATATGAGTGAGTGAGTGAGTTTAGTTTTACGCTGCACTCAGCAATATTCCAGCTATATGGTGGCGGTCTGTAAATAATTGAGTCTGGACCAGACACTCCAGTGATCAACAGCATGAGCATCGATCTGCGCAATTGGGAACCAATGACATGTGTCAACCAAGTCAGCGAGCCTGACCACCCGATCCAGTTAGTCGCCTCTTATGACAAGCATAGTCGCCTTTTGTAGCAAGCATGGGTTGCTCAAGACCTATTTTACCTCGGATCTTCACGGGTCAATTTAAATATGAACTAACTGAATCCATTTTATCGAAAATAACATTCCCTTTGTACATGTTGTACTCGACTGTCAAGTTCACCAATTGGCTTCACTTATATCTAAATAGAATGACTTCATTTGTATGTACAAGCTATTTTCAACTAAAGGGACAAGAAAGAGCACTAAAATGTGGTGTATGTATAATCTAGTTGGCCAAACAAATAAATTGTTAAGGTTCCGATTACACCTTTAAAATTTAGGGTAGATAGACATGATTTTTATTTTTTTAACATTTCTTTAGAAGTAAAGTATGAACTATCACACATTTATCAATGTGTAATTGTTTATTCAATCAAGCTTGCGGCCATCATGTCAACTTTATCACAATGACTGATGTCCGTCGGTGCTGGGGAAAAACAATAGTATTTGAAAACTTACTTTATTCATACCGCTTAAAAAAGATAGGGTCGGCACCAGAATTCAAGAGTTGGTCGGGTTATCGGAACCACAACAGGTTTTTTAGGCCTCAGGGTTTTTACTCGATGCAGAAAATTGGGTCCAGTACTCACAACAGTATAGAATGGATGGAGAACACTATACACATGTCCCAAGGGAAGCACAAGTAGTATTTCCTGTACCTAATCCTTGACTAGATATATACTTATTCTCTAATCAAAGTATCTGTCAAGTCACAAGAGGCAGAACAACTTGAACAGTACTCCATTTCATTACTTCCAACTAAACTTCTGTTTCAATATCTTGACTTGTTGCTGCCAAGCATTACCAAAATTGTCAACTCAAGTTTGGAGAGTAGTGTATTTCCATCCAGATTCAAACATGCTGTAGTCAAACCTCTGCTAAAGAAACCTGATCTTGACTCTCAGAATCTTCAGAACTTTCGACCTGTCTCAAATTTATCCTTCATTTCCAAGATAATTGAGAAGGCCGTGCATGTCAGACTCAAAGACCATCTCTCTAAACATCTTCTGCTTGATGAATTCCAGTCAGCGTATCGGCAATACTATAGTAACGGAGACTGCCTTACTGCAAGTGACTTAATGAGCTTCGTTGTGCTGTCGACGCATGATGGTAGGATTGCTGCTCTAGTGTTGTTGGACCTCTCTGCAGCCTTCTCGACACAATCGATCACCATAGACTCTTGTCCAGGCTCACACAACAGTACGGACTTGAAGGTCATGCCCTTCAATGGGTGACGCCTTATCTGTCTGACCGACAGCAATCTGTTGTTGTTGGCACTGAGAGATCAAAAGGCACTGTTATCACATGTGGGGTGCCACAGGGATCAGTCCTTGGTCCAGTCTTGTTTGTGTTGTATACGGATATGGGAGGATAACTACAGACCACACAGTTTCTCATCATGCCTACGCTGATGACACCCAGCTCCTGAAAGCATTTCATCTGTCAGATCTATCTACGCCTCTTCAGTGCATCGCTGAATGCACGCGAGGACATCAAGTGCTGGATGACAGGAAACATGCTTAAACTTAATGACACAAAAACAGAAGCAGTTCTCATTGGTACAAAGCAACAACTCAGCAAGGTCAAAACCGACACCCTTACAGTCGCGAGACTCTGACGCCAGATTCTCTGATGCGGTTAAGGACTTGGGTGTCCACATCGACTCTTCCTTGACTCTGGATGCTCATGTTAACCGCCTGAGCAGGACCTGCTACTTTCACCTAAGATCCATTGGTAACATTCGGCAATACCTGACAACTGCTGCAACTCAAGCCCTTGTTCGAGCTCTTGTTACATCTAGGCTTGATTACTGTAACAGCATCCTTTCGGGCCTCAGTTCTAAACTCCTTGATAAGCTTCAGAAGATCCAAAATACTTCCGCACTCGCATCATCAGCAAGACTTCTAAACGCTCCCATATAACACCAGTGTTGAAAGAACTGCATTGGCTACCAGTTAGGGCCAGAATTGACTTTAAGATCCTCTGTCTGACGTTACAAGTGCCTCCATGGTTTGGCTCCCCTACTTGTCTGAACTCCTACATCCCGTATGTCCCCAAGACGCAACTAGCTCAAACACACAAAACCGACTGGTCATCCCATCCTACAAACTGAAATCCTTCGGACACCGATCGTTCTCTTACTCCGCGCCTGTGCTCTGGAACTCTCTCCCATGTGCCCTTAAAAGCTCTGCCACAATTGACATTTTTAAGTCCAGACTTAAAACCCACCTTTTCTCAGTATACTATGTATAACTTCATCTGTAAATACTCCAGTGTAAATATTCTGTAGCGCTTTGAGCATGCCTTAGGGTGTGGAAGGGGCGCATTATAAATATGCATTTATTATTATTATTATTATTATAATACCATCATATTGTCTGTAGTGACCCTTGAGATGACTTATATTAGGGTATGCAGGCCCCCAGTTTTGTAAGTTAGATAAAACCCTGCGTTATACTCAGCAAAACAAATTCTTGGGTGAAACAAGTCGAACAATAAAGTCAGCTAGTGCCACTTGTTTCCAGTCTGGAGCCCTTCCCACTCCCAATCTTTTGAGTATATTTTATTTACGGATTGTTATACACATACACTCGTCATATGAAATCTGATAGAACATGACTCGTTCTTAATTAAGCCCTTTGAGTATCCCAGCTCATTGTCTCCACAGTTGAGGCTGGAATTGATTAACGTTCATAATGAAAATACAATGTGGCTATCATGACCCAATCGAAAGTAATCATTGGACAGTGGCAAGTCAACATAATATGTAGTTCATACACATCATCACAATTAAAAAAAATGAAAGCAAAACAACAGCAATGAATGATATGAAATAGGATCCGACTATATTATTCTAATGCGTAGCGTGAGAGTGCACCCGTCTACCTCAATACTTGTCAAAGCCAGAACTATCAAACCATACGACTTTGTCTTTTGTTAACGTGCACGACAGTTTGACATTTGGACGTTGTTGGCATAATTTGTACGGTCAGAAACAAATATGTGGTGTTACTTTGAACAATCATATTTGAATAATGCTTTGACTCCTTTGCATATGAACAGGTACATATATAATGCATCTAATACTGATAAATATGACAACAGTGAATGATGTAAACAAAAGTCCAAACTGACAACATACTACTGAAGTATGCTCGCTGGACAGAACATTCAGATAACATAACTGACAATGTATTTAACGTACGAACCATTTCCATTAGAAACATACCGTGGATGCTATACACATAACATACCAAAGTAAAATCACGAAATACTGTTTATTTAATTTCGGTTCTCACCTTTGGCAAGTGCAACCGTTGACTCGTTGGGATCAATAGTATACAAAATACCCTCATAGCGTATTTCTGCTTTCGAAATTAGGCTTATTCTACTGCCTAAGTATGGTATTCCCCCACTCATGGTGAATACCTCTACAAAGGCTTGGCGATTAGGAGGATGGCTACTGATTCGAACACCACTGCGATTGTTTAGTGGTTCTTCTGACAAAGATGGCGTTAATATTTTGAATCCACCAGACGGCGCCAGGAGTGTACTACTTCCGCTTTTAACCGGAAATAATTTTTTGCAGTGCTTCTCTTTTCGCTCACATGGGATGTGTTCTATGATGATAAATAGAAAGAGAATCATGAAACATTTCCACACGCAACAACTTATATTATTAAGTTATTAACTTATATTATTGTCACCAAACAATAATCTTTTGTGAGTTTGCTGTGATTCTCTGCCTCTGAATATTTTAGATGGATAAGGGACCGTTCATAATGTATGGCTAGGGGGGGTGATGATGATTTTTATGGAGAAGCATGTACAATGTGGATGACCCCACTAAAATTTATGCACAAAATAAGTGACCCCCCTGCATGTCATGTACAAACCCCCTCCCCTTCCCATATTTTCTAAGCATATTTAAACATATTTTTATGTACAAAATTGATGACCCCCCTAGCTCCCAGAACAAAATGGGTGACCCCCTTAAAATCACCATATCTCCCCAAAAAAGCGCCTTAAATTATGAACGATCCCTAACCACGTCCATATAAGAATACACATTCTTACAATAACTATGAGTATTATCAAAGTGCCCCCTAAAATGAATTATATTTACTCCTTACTCATAAGGGACCGTTCATAATTTATGGCTAGGGGTGATGATGACTTTATGGAGAGGCATCTACAATGTGAATGGCACCCCACCCCACCCCACCCTAAAATATATGTACAAAGTGATTGCATGAACCCCCTGCATGTCCTGTACAAAATCAATGACAACCACCCTCCCATAATTCCTAAGCATATTTCTAAAAAAAAATTATGTACAAAATTGCTGACCCACCCTCGCACATGTGTACAACATTGATGACCCCATTTCGTGTACCCATTTGATATTTTGTTGTTCAGGTCTTTATATTGAATGGATTTACCTTGTGATCTTTATTTTAGTCAGGCAATGCATCCATGTTTAATTCGAAATACAGTTAATAAAACCCGCGATGTGTCGGAATGAAAATAAAAATAAACAGAGACACACTTTCTTTATATAGGGACTCAACATGGTGGGCACTGATCCACGGTGGGAGTATATACTCAAGATCGTATTTTGATCCCTTTATCCATTCTAAGCGCTGGGGAACGAAAACATATTAGATAGATAATCCAAGCGTGTTAGATAGGGATCATGACCCGTGTATTTTAGCAGGCGGTGTGCGTGCCACCCCATCCAGTAGATCACACACTGTCTGTGTATACGGGACTCTTCTGATCCCGAATTTCTACTTATATCTTCACGAATAAACCACACGGTCAGAATGGAAGGAGAGAGTAATTAACTATGTTGTAGTGTGCGTGCGAGCGCGTGTATGTGTATTCATTAATCAAATAGTGTATTTGCATTTCAACTATATGACATATGATATATTTTGGATTACACTTTCTGACTACAGTAAAGATTTTAATACCCAAGTACATGATAGTTGATTGGTCTAATAAGCGTGGTGTATTTTTGATAGTCATTTAGTTGAATACATCCAATAGCCTGCATAGTTTATCTGTAAAATGATCAATGGTAATCTGCACGGTGTATATTCAACACCTTGATCGTTGATTAATTAAACTAAATGACGTATATTGAACAGCCTGTTAGTTGAATGGTTTTGTTGGTAGGTAAACTGCATGGTGCATGTTTGGGACCGTATATTGAACAGCCTGTTAGTTGATCGGTTTTGTTGGTAGGTAAACTGCATGGTGTATGTTTGGGACCGTATATTGAACAGCCTGTTAGTTGAATGGTTTTTGGGTAAACTGCATGGCGTATGTTTGGGACCGTATATTGAACAGCCTGTTAGTTGAATGGTTTTGTTGGTAGGTAAACTGCATGGTGTATGTTTGGGACCGTATATTGAACAGCCTGTTAGTTGAATGGTTTTGTTGGTAGGTAAACTGCATGGTGTATGTTTGGGACCGTATATTGAACAGCCTGTTAGTTGATTGGTTTTGTTGGTAGGTAAACTGCATGGCGTATGTTTGGGACCGTGTATTGAACAGCCTGTTAGTTGATTGGTTTTGTTGGTAGGTAAACTGCATGGTGTATGTTTGGGACCGTATATTGAACAGCCTGTTAGTTGATTGGTTTTGTTGGTAGGTAAACTGCATTGCGTATGGTTAGTTATGTTTGATTGACAGCCTGTTAGTTGATTGGTTTTGTTGGTAGGTAAACTGCATGGTGTATGTTTGGGACCGTATATTGAACAGCCTGTTAGTTGATTGGTTTTGTTGGTAGGTAAACTGCATGGTGTATGTTTGGGACCGTATATTGAACAGCCTGTTAGTTGATTGGTTTTGTTGGTTTGTTGGTTTGGGACCGTAAACTGCATGGCCTGTATATTGGTTTTTTGGGACTGCATATTGAACAGCCTGTTAGTTGATTGGTTTTGTTGGTAGGTAAACTGCATGGTGTATATTTGGGACCGTGTATTGAACAGCCTGTTAGTTGATTGGTTTTGTTGGTAGGTAAACTGCATGGTGTATATTTGGGACCGTGTATTGAACAGCCTGTTAGTTGATTGGTTTTGTTGGTAGGTAAACTGCATGGTGTATATTTGGGACCGTATATTGAACAGCCTGTTAGTTGAATGATTTTGTTGGTAGGTAAACTGCATGGCGTATGTTTGGGACCGTATATTGAACAGCCTGTTAGTTGATTGGTTTTGTTGGTAAGTAAACTGCATGGTGTATATTTGGGACCGTATATTGAACAGCCTGTTAGTTGAATGGTTTTGTTGGTAGGTAAACTGCATGGTGCATGTTTGGGACCGTATATTGAACAGCCTGTTAGTTGAATGATTTTGTTGGTAGGTAAACTGCATGGTGTATGTTTGGGACCGTATATTGAACAGCCTGTTAGTTGATTGGTTTTGTTGGTAAGTAAACTGCATGGTGTATGTTTGGGACCGTATATTGAACAGCCTGTTAGTTGAATGGTTTTGTTGGTAGGTAAACTGCATGGTGCATGTTTGGGACCGTATATTGAACAGCCTGTTAGTTGAATGATTTTGTTGGTAGGTAAACTGCATGGTGCATGTTTGGGACCGTATATTGAACAGCCTGTTAGTTGAATGATTTTGTTGGTAGGTAAACTGCATGGTGTATGTTTGGGACCGTATATTGAACAGCCTGTTAGTTGATTGGTTTTGTTGGTAGGTAAACTGCATGGTGCATGTTTGGGACCGTATATTCCGTATATGACGAGCGAACTCCGTAACCAAATCCGAGATTCGAACCCACACTCTCAGAGTTAGGCACCTGCGATGTAGTCATCCAAGCTGTGGTCATTGTTTAATGACAGTCGAGTTAACTTACGAAATCTTTGTATCAAAGTAAACGTCAGGTTACCGATGTGACAATCTCTCGAAGAAATAACCACTCCTGTTTTATTTCAACAACAGAGTCTTTGAAAGCATACGGGAGATCTGTTTGATGTGGACTCATGTTTAGTGACACCACAGATTATCATTGTTCATGCATTGTGTTCAGACACTGTTGGACCCGTGAAGATCCGGGTTAGAATTGATCTGCAGTAGTCCATGCTTGTCATAAGAGGCGACTAACGGAATCGGTTGGTCAGGCTCGCTGACTTATTTGACACATGGCATCGTATCCCAATTACGTAGATCGATGCTCATGCTGTTAATCACTGGATAGTCTGGTCCAGACTTGATTATTTACAGACCGCCGCCATATCGCTGGAATATTGCTGAGTGCGGTGTAAGTCTGACTTTTCATTCACGTGTTGAACATAACCTTCCAGCCCCTTGTTACTCAATAGTCAAACTAGACTATGCATTTTCAAAATCTTTCAGTATATACTACACATTGTTTGCTAATAACCCCTATAGAAAGTAATCTGTCTAACTGTGCATCTGTTGAAATAGCCACAGGAAATTTTGCTTGAGGACATGTTTAATGAATAAAAGTCTCCGGTTATATGTCACACAAAGCCAACAAAAAACATGTGACAATATTCTGTCAAATCACCTGTTCTAACCATGAACGACCCTGGAACGACGTCGCCGACGTTATCGTCCATGACGATAAAGTCAGGTCCGATCGCACCAGCATGTACGGTCTCACCTACTGATCTAGAACGTCATCCGTGTAGTACATGAAGCACCTGTCATCCTGCCCCGCTGTAGGCGATCGGATCCTCCAAGTCTATACTGATCACACCCCAAATCATGACTGAGCCTCTTCCGTACCGGCCATGTTTGACTGAGTTGAGTCCCGAAATGTTTCACCTTGTCTGCACTCGGGCACGACCCTCTCGGTCCATCTGTTCTGGGCCCACTTGCACAAAGTGATCTTAGCGCTACGACTATCTTAAGCCTATGTTGGAGAATGGGAGTAAAAATCATTGTAGCGCTAAGATCGCTTTGTGCAAGTGGGCCCTTGAGTACAATCCAGGGCCCCATTTCACAAAGCGGTCGTAGCGCTAAGGTGATCGTAACTCCCATACTTTAACGTAGACATACGACAGTCGTAGCGCTACGATCGCTTTGTGAAACGGGTCCCTGGTCTGTCCATTTTACGGTATCATCAGCCCAGTTCAAACATGATTGTTTCTTATGTCGGGTCAGCCTCACGAAGACGATTACGTCTTCTGAGAAGAAACCTTAATGCCGCCGGCCATTGTGTATCTGGATATATTTTAGAAAAAAATATTCTGATGAATTTTTAATATCACCATAACTTGATTCTTGAGTAGTCTATATGGTTTAAGCATGTGAAGATGAAATAGCTAATACAAAGGCCACGTACGTCACTATTTGACGCAACATATGGAGTATATGATAATACATGCAGGATATTTGTCTCGTTTTTGTCCAGATGCAAAACGAGACAGTTGATAATTACACGAGTAGCGCAGCGAAATGTACACTGTTTCAGGTCACTATATAAACATTTGACAAGAGAAGACAAATATCCTATTTATTATGCAACCCGTGAAGATCCGGGATAGAATAGGTCTTCAGCAACCCATGCTTGCCACGAAAGGCGACTATGCTTGTCGTAAGAGGCGACTAACGGGATCGGGTGGTCAGGCTCGCTGACTTATTTGACACATGTCATCGGTTCCCAATTGTGCAGATCGATGCTCATGCTGTTGATCACTGGATTGTCTGGTCGAGACTCGATTATTTACTGACCGCCACCATATAGCTTGAATATTGAGTGCGGCGTAAAACTAAACTCACTCACTCACTATTTATTCTGCATGTTCATATGGAACTGCACGGTTCTACTCGGAAGACTAATGCAGACTGGATATGGTTCTGGTACAAAGAGGTGTCTCAATCATATTTGGATCAGTAAAGTATAACTTTTATCACTTGATAAAGAAAACATGTCAACATCATTCAAGTTGTGATACTGCACCTACGTACTGGATTCAATAAAACATAAACGTTTTCACGATACCTATAATACTCAAGAGTGTGAGTGAGTAATAAATGCGACGTTTCTTGATAACGGTTTTAGTATCTACCCCGTCACATTCATTGCAATAAAGAAGTTGACTATCCATAGAGCTTGGTTTTCCTTTATCTTTACAACTTCTAAAATGCTTTTGAAAGAAGTTTGGCAAGCGTGATTCAGTCTTATAGGTCACCGAGCAGGGTTGTGTCCCTTAAGCACTCCAGGATCCTGTTACCCTTGATTCGAACCCGGATTCGCAATGATGATTGTCCTTTGTCGTCACCACACCTGCGCACGTAGATTTCAAACATTTAAGTGGTAAACATTTAAAGCCACCATACATCACATTGGGCTTTCCTGGCATACCAAGATGACACTCTGGCATACAACGGAAATATTGATCAAAGTGGCGCTAAACCTCACTCAAACACTCACTCACTCAAACTAATGGTTTGTCTGCCTTGATTATTACATGATGCAGCGATATAGCATGGATATGTCTCTTTGCGGTGTTAAACAATATTAACTCACTAATTCAGCCCGTGGACTACGGGTCAGAATGTGTGTACCCATTAACAAGTGTTTAAAAAGATAAAATGTTGAATTACAACAATACACACTAACCACGTGATAGTTCTTGGTTATCATATTCTGAAATAGGGACAGAGGTTTGGCCCAGTAGTTGAGGTGTTCGCTCGTCACGCCGTAGGCCTGGGTTCTTGATACAAGTCAATTTCTGGTGTCTGCCGCCGAGATATTCCTAAAACTGGTGTAAGACCATACACAAACGTAATGTAATCACAGTGGACTGAAACAAATACTATCATCACGGTGGACTGAAACAAGTACTGTCACCGGGATGGACTGAAGCAGGCACTGTCATCACGGTGGACTGAAGCAAACACTGTCGTCACGGTGGACTGAAGCAAACACTGTCGTCATGGTGGACTGAAACAAGTACTGTCACCGGGGTGGACTGAAACAAGTACTGTTACCGGGGTGGACTGAAGCAAGCACTGTCATCACGGTGGACTGAAGCAAACACTGTCGTCACGCTGGACTGAAGCAAACACTGTCGTCATGGTGGACTAAAACAAGTACTGTCACCGGGGTGGACTGAAGCAAGCACTGTCATCACGGTGGACTGAAGCAAACACTGTCGTCATGGTGGACTGAAACATTTACTATCATCGGGGTGGACTAAAACAAATACTATCATCGGGGTGGACTGAAGCAAACACTGTCGTCATGGTGGACTGAAACATTTACTATCATCGGGGTGGACTAAAACAAATACTATCATCGGGGTGGACTGAAACAAATACTGTCATCGGGGTGGACTAAAACAATTACTGTCAGCATGGTGGACTGAAACAAATACTGTCATCGGGGTAGACTGAAACAAATACTGTCATCGGGGTGGACTGAAACACATTCTGTCATCGGGGTGGGCTGAAACACATTCTGTCATCGGGGTGGGCTGAAATAAATACTGTCATGGGGGTTGACTGAAACAAATACTGCGTGCTGAGTTAGAGATAAGAGGGATGGATATGGTTACGTCACCGAAACGAAGCTATGAGTTTACTGAGAGTATTTATCACATTTTAATTGAGATATGATGCACTGGAAACTTCAGATAGCTTATCAGATGACTGTATTGTTAATCACTATAAATACACAATACAATCGTCAGATAATGACATGCCATTCTTCTTTGTGTTGTTTAGATAGATCAGGGAGACTATATAACGGGGTGTTGTAGATTATCCCTGGATAGATGTTATATTGTTATACGTTATATTGTTAATACCATACTATTTCTTACGATCATATAGGAACTGATATATTTTTAGTCTGAAATAATTGGGTCTTGACCAGACAAATCAGTGACTAGCACCATGGGCCCCTATACGTAGTTGGGTCAGCAAGACATGACTTGGATTAGTCTGACCACCCGATCCTGTTAGTAATTGTAATTGTGTACTTACGTATATGTACGACTTCAGGGGCGGATACAGCCTTTTGAGAAGGTGTGTGTGTGTGCGCGTGTGTGTGCGTGCGTGCGTGCGCGCACACACTATTGAGAAAAGGCGGGGTGCACACTTCATTTTCAAAAGAGTTTCAATGGTCATTTAACAAACCTTCAGCACAATGGGTGCCCCCCCTTCTGGATCCGCCTATGGAGTTATAAGGAGTTTAAAGTCACGTCCATGTTGGTTTCACTCTCAGTAACGGACGTCTGCGTACAGATTCAGATTTTCAGATCTTTTATTGCAGTGTAAAGGCCCAAGGCCTTATCGGTAATATAGAGGCAGATGTACAATCATATGCAAGAAAGTGTGGTACACGTTTCAAATATTTCTAAGAAGAAAACATTATGTTTGAATGAACTATAAATATCACTCATCATTTAAGAGTGCAATTCTGTGGTTATAAAGTTTATGTAAGTACTGACAAGTATCATAAATGACATTATAATTATCTGATGACATAATATTTCTTTGAGAGGCATTTTAGAAGTTGTATAGATAAAAGAAAACCAAGTTCTATGGATAGTCAACTTCTTTATTGCAATGAGTGCGACGTTTCGGTGTAGGTATACTAACACCGTTATCAAGCAAGTGCCTACACCGAAACGTCGCACTCATTGCAATAAAGAAGTTGACTATCCATAGAACTTGGTTTTCCTTCGACATAATACTTATACACGCCTGTAATGATGCTGGTCTAAAGTGCTTAGCAATGTAAGTACTTCTTAATGCATCATACTATTTACACACAAGGAATCAATAGATGAAATAGCTTCCTTAAAACAAAAGGGGGACATAATCACATGAAGTATTCAATATCATTATAACGTCCTGCTTCTATTGCAAGTCCATAATTACCACATCTAAATCTTGACATGGTTGTCCTAATACATAAAGGTAGATCTAAAGATAGATACAATTCAACATTAGTAATGAGTGAGTGAGTTTAGTTTTACGCCGCACTCAGCAATATTCCAGCTATATGGCGTCGGTCTGTAAATAATCGAGTCTGGATCAGACAATCCAGTGATCAACAGCGTGAGCATCGATCTGCGCAATTGGGAACCGATGACATGTGTCAACCAACTCAGCGAGCCTGACCACCCGATCCCGTTAGTCCCCTCTTACTACAAGCATGGGTTACTGAAGATCAATATTCTAACCCGGACCTTCACGGGTGAAGTAATGACTTGAACTACCTATAATACATGTCTTCGAAGAACTACCGAGTTCTGCAACCCATTTTTATGGCGATTATCAAACAGTTTCTGCTTAAATGTCGAAATAAATATGTCCATATGACCCACATCCTGTGCAACCCAAACAAATCCGAATCCAAATTGAAACACAATATTGTTTATGTGTGTTTTTACTCTTGCACTCTCATCCTGTGATAACATCATACTATAACACTGGAATGGTAATCTATTTTCATTTAAATTAATAAGTTTAGACCAATATTCAACAGCTCTTGTCATATTAATATGCTGGAGAAGGATTCTTCCACGCTCCCCTAGAACCAGAGGGTCTTCCACTCTCCCCTAGAACCAGAGTGTCTTCCACACTCCCCTAGAACCAGAGCGTATTTCACACTCCCTAGAACCAGGGTTTTTCAACAATTATAATTGTAGCCCTACATTTTGGCGGCCTCCTTAAAGGAGGTAGCAGTACATGAGAGGCCAAGAAATAAAATCATGGTATACATGTAGTAGAAAATAATAATTCCTAAAAACTGTTTCTTTGAAGAAAGAGCTATGTCACCTTACATTATCTGATTTGCGATTATTTTTATTCAGATGTTATGGTTAGATCTTCAGATTCTGAGGATTTGCGTGGATGTTAGATATAATATTGTCTGCGTATTTCCCCCACTTTGCTTTACCTTCAACGTAGCAGTAGCAGTAGCAGCAGCAGCAGCAGCAGCAGCAGCAGCAGCAGCAGCAGTAGTAGTAGTAGTAGTAGTAGTAGTAGTAGTAGTAGTAGTTCAATAAAACATGTTAGGGAAGTGTGAACAATATATTGCAATCTATTTGATAATAACTATCCATGAGATTCCAAATGATAAGAAAACATAAGGGAGACAAAGAATTAGCCGTTCTGTACTACTGCTAAAGACATTAGAGAAGAAAAACCCCAACTGGAAATATACTTCTTTGTAAAGTTTGTACCAGTTGAATACCGCTGAATCTAAAAATCACCAAAGCCTATTATCAGTTGTACTGCAAGCAGGCTCTGTCTTCGCTTTACTAACATATCCCAGCAGCCTCTGCTTTACGCATGCGCTGTTTCAGTCTAAAATTTGGCGAGCTGGGGAAATGGCGGACCCAGGTTCTATTGATGACTTGCTATCATCTGAAATCGATGAAACAGCAGTGAGCGCGTTAGTTGGGTCCCTAGAATCCCAGTTAGCTTCACCAACAAATAAGGAACCACCGAAGACAATATCAGACGCCTCCGTCAACAATAATCATATTGGTACATCATCCACCAATGTAACTTCCACAAACCCCAGTTTTGTAGCAAACTCGACGACAAGTGCCGGACAGAAAGGTTTGCCAATTCATAACAACACTGCCCTGAATGCTTCCTTTGGTCCCACTTCAAAATCGAATCTTTCAGAAAATCAGATTCTTGGAATTGCCTCTATTATAAACTCTTCCCCAGTCCCTGCAACCACCGGAGGGGTTTCCCTGCTGAATGTAAACACTGTCAATAGCAAGGCTGCTAATCCGTCTCATATACGGATTATTACACAACCCCAAAATAATGCAATCAACCCAACAAACACAACTGTTGTACATATACCAGCTTCCAATACAGGATCGTTTATGAATAGTATAGGCAACAGCAATGTCAATTCTGTTACTACAAGTGTACATGGAACAAGTGGCTTGAGTGCCACCAGAGACAACTCTGCAGCAAGCAATGCTATTTACAATTTAGCCACAATTGCTGCTGAACAGAAGCCTATTTCAGTAGCCCAAAATGGGAGTCCTCATCAGCAGACTGTACAGAACATCCACAGAGGTAAAGATCCATCTGTGTCATCGTCTCAGCCTTTCTTAATGAAACAGGAGCCAGGAAATGTTGCAGTGAAACAGGAAAACAACCCAAGCTCACCCTATATAATAAAGCAGGAGGTGAAACAGGAGTCTATGAACATGCAGACTATTCATTTGAATGTGCCAGGTACACATTCAGACAGTTCCATGCCCTGGAGGAGCCCATTTAAGTGGTGCAGGTGGCAATATGCACAATGTGTCGATATCAAATATTAAGGGCAATGCTAGTCCAAGTGTGATCACAGTGCGGACACAACATCAACCCCAACAACATGTGACGGTGGTTCGACCGTCTGTGGTGTCCACTCAAGGGACAAGTGGGGGACCTGTACAAATTGTGAATGTTAATGCATCAGGTACCCGCACTACGGGCATGTCTAAAGGGGGTCAAAGGATGTCCAATCCTATCCGAATCGCAGCACAACATCCCCAGCAGATCAGCATTGCACCTCGGCAGCAATCAGCGGTGAGTACTGTTATGATGTAAAGCTTGATAGCATGCACTATTTGTTTGTTTAATATATTAATATTCTGTTAGCATTGTAGATGATTAACAACTGTACTTGGATCATAGTTGATATGAATGCTATGAGCATACATAAACTCATTTACAATTGCACTTCAAACAATTGTGTCATCTTCTCGCATAAATGTGTGAAATTTCATTCAACAAATTTCAAACATGGGATGATCATTGTTTGGAACAATTCAAACAACATTTGGATATATATTTATGAATATATATTTGTAACATTAAACAATTCAAATTCCACAGGATGTTTTTAAGCACACTTATGTCATAACTGGATTAATAACGCAGTAGGCTGGTTGTTACATGGCTTAGAGTCATTTTAAAGATTTTGGATGATAAACAATTTTTTTATCTTAGGTGCATATAGGTAGAGTGTTCACTAGTGATGAGGCAACCTTGGTTTCTATTCCCTGTAGGTTCAAAATGTTTTGAAGTGACCCTTTTGGTTTCTCATGGTAATATATGGCTGAAATAATGCAGACAGATGCATATGGAAACAAATCTTTCAAACTTTCTCGTGTCATTATCTAAAGGAGATGTGCGCAGTTGTCAAGAAATGCTTACAACACAGCAGACTATGTGACAAGTTTGGGTACATAATTAGAAACTCAGTGTTTATCCCTGCATATAACAGGTACATTTTTTTTATACTTACGTCAACATTAATTTGAAGTTACCTGTTTCAATAGTTATTTGAGGATGTAACATGAAACGTTTTCTGAACATTACTTGATTACAGTACATATCATTTTATGTATCTATTGATAGCAAGACATATACCTGAATCAGGGAATGCCGATGGATTACAAATATCTGACTGTCATACCATTTTGGAAGTGTCATCTGTGGTCTTATGATGCAATTATGATGTTTTTGTCATTAATCACGAATGTCACAAATATGTTAGACTTTTTGCTTTTTTAAAAATTTAACTGAAACTTAACAGCAGTGTTCATCTACTAGACATGTTTTTGTGTTTTATTATTATGATCAGTGACAATGATAACTTTTGTTTGAAAAGTGTAAGTAGTTCCGATGCTGCTCAACACATGTCAGCACATGTGGTTTCTCAAGTCAGTTTTTAAACATAACCAGTGTCATCTACAGTAAGACCAAATTGTCAAAAGGCAGGAATCACTAAAAGTGTGCTCTGTCAGTAGTTGTATTTTGCACCCACCTCAAACTCCTCTCACTGGGATTGGCAGCTGCTCAGTGATCAACTTTTTGGAAAAACAACAACAAACAAATAAAATAACTCCCCTAATTTCCGTTTCTCAGTGTCATGTATATTGCATGTACATATTTTGTAGGTACTTTTTTAACAACAGAATATTCATCATTTATTACTTTGCCTGAGTTGATCAACATTATTTGGATAATTAGTTATGGTTTGATAAGAATTCCCAACTGGTAATATAATTGACTTGCCTGTTCCATATCATGAAATCACTTATCACTGTCGTGCTTGCCATAAAAAGGCGACTATCTTGTCGTAAGAGGCGACTAACGGGATCGGGTGGTCAGTTTCGCTGACGTGGTTGACACATGTCATCGGTTCCCAATTGCGCAGATCGATGCTCATGCTGTTGATCACTGGATTGTCTGGTCCAGACTCGATTATTTACAGACCGCCGCCATATAGCTGGAATATTGCTGAGTGCGGCGTAAAACTAAACTCACTCACTCACTCACTTATCACTGTCAAACATCATGGAACATAATATTGCACTGTGGAAGTTTTGAATATTTTGATATCATCAAAAGTGTTAAGTGGATATGTAATAGTTTCAGTAATACAAGTAATTGGTTCCAGATTTTTTTTAAACTGTGACATCACTAAGTCATGCAAAACATCATCTGCATTGACTAGACAAAATGTCTTTCTTATCAGAGTCAGTGGTAGCACCGAAATTTGATCTTAGGAAGAAATATGATCATGAAATGATATCTCGTACAAGGAGTTGATTTTGATTTTTTATCAATATTCAAAATATCCAACTAAGTTTTTGGCTGTTCAGATATATATTCTCTGAAATTGAAAAGCCCATTAGACAACTTAGTGATCCAGTGTTGGGTTTTATAAATGAAGCCAAAAATCTGTTAACAAGCTAATGTAAATAGTAAAAGTTTCTTTTGGTCCTTAACAGCTAGCAGCACAGAAAGAAACATGGTTTTTCTTTCAGTAATTCATATATTATTTGGTCTATTGTAAGAGACTCCCTTTTTAATGATTTTTTCAAGTAAGTTTGCAATTAAGGGTGATTATATAATGTACTAGGATTCATGAATATTGTTGGGGATATGTTTTCGTAGCGATGACAGACCACACAAAAAGTTCCCTAATGGTTAAAAAGTCAGCTGGAGGGGTAGCCTAATGGTTAAAGCATTTGCTTGTCACATTGAAGACCCACGTTTGAATCCCCACGAGTACTGTTTGTGAAGCCGATTTCTACTGTTCCCAGTCAGTCTTATACACTAATATTCCTTGTACTTTTGGAAGGGTAAAGTACATAGGTATGACAGGTTGTATTAAGGACATACTTTGGTAAATGGATTAACATAGGTTATCTCATATTAGATCTATGTACATGGTAATTTGCTGCCTTTTTTTATCAGATGTACCATGTTTGTTAACAACATGACATAATCCACGATTGACTATGGTAATAGAAATATTACACCTGTGAGGTTATCATATGAATTTTGATGAGGAATGGTGTTTTGTATGTTATCTATGACCAGGTGATCCTAGTGGATATACACCAACCTGATGGCAACATCATTGTATGTTATATATGACCAGGTGATCCTAGTGGATATACACCAACCTGATGGCAACATCATTATATGTTATCTATGACCAGGTGATCCTAGTGGATATACACCAACCTGATGGCAACGTCATTGTATGTTATCTATGACCAGGTGATCCTAGTGGATATACACCAACCTGATGGCAATGTCATTGTATGTTATCTATGACCAGGTGATCCTAGTGGATATACACCAACCTGATGGCAACATCATTGTATGTTATCTATGACCAGGTGATCCTAGTGGATATACACCAACCTGATGGCAACATCATTGTATGTTATCTATGACCAGGTGATCCTAGTGGATATACACCAACCTGATGGCAACATCATTGTATGTTATCTATGACCAGGTGATCCTAGTGGATATACACCAACCTGATGGCAACATCATTGTATGTTATCTATGACCAGGTGATCCTAGTGGATATACACCAACCTGATGGCAACACCATTGTATGTTATCTATTACCAGGTGATCCTTGTGGATATACACCAGCCTGATGGCAACATCATTGTATGTTATCTATGACCAGGTGATCCTAGTGGATATACACCAACTTGATGGCAACATCATACCAGGTGATCCTTTGTGGATATACACCAGCCTGATGGCAGCATCATTTGTATGTTATCTATGAGTGGAGGTGATGGCAACATCATTGTATGTTATCTATGACCAGGTGATCTAGTGGATATACACCAACTTGATGGCAACATCATTGTATGTTATCTATGACCAGGTGATCCTAGTGGATATACACCAACCTGATGGCAACATCATTGTATGTTATCTATGACCAGGTGATCCTAGTGGATATACACCAACCTGATGGCAACATCATTGTATGTTATCTATGACCAGGTGATCCTAGTGGATATACACCAACCTGATGGCAACATCATTGTATGTTATCTATGACCAGGTGATCCTAGTGGATATACACCAACCTGATGGCAACACCATTGTATGTTATCTATGACCAGGTGATCCTAGTGGATATACACCAACCTGATGGCAACATCATTGTATGTTATCTATGACCAGGTGATCCTAGTGGATATACACCAACCTGATGGCAACATCATTGTATGTTATCTATGACCAGGTGATCCTAGTGGATATACACCAACCTGATGGCAACATCATTGTAACATCTCACCAGGTGATCCTAGTGGATATACACCAACCTGATGGCAACATCATTGTATGTTATCTATGACCAGGTGATCCTTGTGGATATACACCAACCTGATGGCAACATCATTGTATGTTATCTATGACCAGGTGATCCTAGTGGATATACACCAACTTGATGGCAACATCATTGTATGTTATCTATGACCAGATGATCCTAGTGGATATACACCAACCTGATGGCAACATCATTGTATGTTATCTATGACCAGGTGATCCTAGTGGATATACACCAACTTGATGGCAACATCATTGTATGTTATCTATGACCAGGTGATCCTAGTGGATATACACCAACCTGATGGCAACATCATTGTATGTTATCTATGACCAGGTGATCCTAGTGGATATACACCAACCTGATGGCAACATCATTGTTCACATCATATGAGAAAAGATAAAACTAGCTCAGGCTAGCTGTTGAGTAATGTCCATGATCACTAGTTGCTTAGAGTTGGGAGTCGGAAACCAAAACCACTATCGATTATCAGAGGACTTGAGGTGAATGATTATCGATTATCATCGAAATATATATGTCAGGGTAGAGACTGTGATCGGAGTCTCTACCAGTAGAAATTGCGATCGGAGTCTCTACTGGTAGAAATTAGAATCTCGATCCTACTAGTAGAGATTGCAATATTGTTATCTTGTTAACTTTATTTGTTAAGTCTGTTTTGGAGTAAGGTATTTTGTTTTTGGTTTTTGAGTGGAGTCCAAATTTGGCAGCTTGGTCTCATGATGTAAATACAGTGTTACAAACCATTTTATTTTTATGTTGATATTGTTTACAGTGAGGTGTTAAATGTTTGTTATCAAAGTCTCAGTTAAAAGTAGGAAGTTCATTCAGATGTATTTCAAAACTTATGATCAGTAATTGTTATAAAAACACTGCTTTCCAAAGAGGTGGGGAAATGACCAGGTGGGGATATGGCAGATGGGGTAATGACCTGGTGGGGATTCTACCAGTAGAGACACCGATTGCAATCTCTACTGGTAGAATCTCTTGACATATACATTTTTAATGAAATCACCAATTATAAGGATATTTCCCCAGGTTTTTTCTAATTAATGTTTTTTATAACTAATACTGTCATGCAATGAAATGCACACATGAAAGAAAGACACTAGAATTGTAATTAAACAATAAAAGTGGTTAAAATTACAATGCGCATGGCATTACGTTCTTGAGTGCATGTTTGTTCGTGAATATTCGTCAAATTTAATGGTCAGCTTAATTCATTCAGGTGTGTTATACTAAAACAACCAAATGCTGATTAATTGAAAATATGTTTTTTACAATCTATCATCATTTTTAATCCTTCCTTTGATTGATTTTCGATTATTTTCTATCATCGGAACACCACTATAGTTGCTATTTAATACATTGATGTGTATACATTTTTCGTCATAAGTGTTGACATTTGAATATTGTTTACTTGTTTGAAATGCAGCTGATAGTCATGAATAAGAATATAGAAAGCATACAATTCTGGTTCTGTGAGCTAATGTATCCTTGGTGTAACAAAAGTGAACCAGCAGAACGCTGTGGCCTTCAGAAATAGTGTTTAACCATCTTTCAGCTGTTGTTTATCATATAATGATTTAATCACGTTAATTCATCAGTGTATCCACCAGAACTTTCTCTGATTATATCATCAGAGTATGGAACATTTATTATTATATCATGCTCGAGGAACTGATACGTAGTCAACCATAACTATACTGTGTCTATTCAAAACAAGTACTATTCCATCAGTGTGTATCTTTGTCACCACTTTGGTTAAAGCAACAATTTGTCGCACCAAAATTGTGGATTCTATTTCATTGGGTACAATGTGTGAGGACTATTTCTGGTGTTCCTAGCTGTGATATTACTGAAATATTGCTAAAAATGGCAGAATACTGTACACACTCACTCATTGACTGTGGTGCTACTTCTAATCTGCTGAAAACAATTTTCATCCTGTCATTAAATACAATTTTTTCAATTTCTAGTTCATGCATAACATTGTCTCTTTCTAAAATTGTGATACAAACTACACACTGACACGTCATTCTGAAGTTTTATAACACCTCAAAATGATTGAAATCATTGATATAACTGGAAACTAATCTATCACTGATTTCTTCCTATGCTCCTTGGTTTATAACTGAAACTGTCCCATAGTAGATGAATTTGATCAATTTACTTTATCCCACAATATGTCATAGTGTATACATTGATACAAAATGGTCTTGTCTGTCCAAGATTGATAACTATTTTCTTATATTGACTCATCAGTGCAGATACATTCAACATCTGTGGTGATGTTTTTCCATTCAGTCACAATTTGGTATTGAATAAACTGGGTGTAGCAGACATTTGACTGTCTTGTTGAAATTATATCCACATATACATGCAGTTTTGCCCATCAGCTGCATTTCTAATTATATAATTTCTAGCGGGGTTCACATGTTTATTTATGCAGACAATCCTTTATAAGCAGAACATAGTGTAATGTCTTTGGCAGGCTAGAATCAAGCTCCATGTTTGTACTAGATCTATTAAATAAATCACTAAAATGTAAAGCAGTTGATCATGAACTAATCTTTCAAGGTGTTGCGTCATATATTAATGGGTTTAGGTTTTTCACTCATTGCAAAGTCAGTGAGCTGATAGAAAGATACTTGAGTGATGTTACTGCAATTTTCTGAGAAGACAGCTATGTAATTTTTGTTTACTTGTTAAGGTAGTCAACCATTTATTTAACGATGATCATCTTGGTGTCATTGGTTGGGTTGTTGGTTGTTGTTACTTGTTTAATGCAGCTGTCAGTAATACTTGCAATGTGTGATGTCAGTTATAAATAGACAATTCAGGACTGATACACATTGATCTTTGAAATTCTGCTATTGTGACATGCATGAGCATGTGACTGTATGACATGCATAGATCGATGTGTGTGGCAGAATGCAGTGTGTGGCTGATGCTGTGAATTAGATATCTAGAGTACAATATCGTTTGACTGTATGTAACAATTGTGATAGTGTTTTCCATACCAATGTTATTATATGAGATACTGTTTATTGTAATTGATGGTACCTGTGAAGGTCCGGGTTAGAATATTGGCCTTCAGTAACCCATGCTTGTTGTAAGAGGTGACTAACAGGATCGGGTGGTCAGACTTGCTGACTTGGTTGACACATGTCATTGGTTCCCAATTGTGCAGATCGATGCTCATGCTGTTGATCACTGGATTGTGGTCCAGACTCAATTATTTACAGACTGCCGCCATATAGTTGGAATGTTGCTGAGTGAGGCATAAAACTAAACTCACTCACTCACTGTAATTGATGGACAGTCAGTTTTGGCCTAGTGATTAAGGTTTTTGTTTTGCTGTTTTTCAACATCAAGTCCAGTGATCTTAGTCAGATCTTATCTAACAAAAAAATCGTTAATACTTACTACAGCACTATATTTTAATGAGAACGAAAGACACCAGCATCATACATTCTCAGCTTCTGTGGCCAAGTATTAACTTATAAGTAATGAATAAACCCTTAGTTAAAACAGTTCTAAACCTTGGGACAAAACCTTTAGTGTTTGATTATGCAAAATTATTGTTTGTCAAAACACCACTAACTTGAAAACAATCTCTGATGGATTAAACCCTTTCTGTGTCCCTAGCTGCTATATTCAGTGTCTAAGATAGTTTTGAAATGTGGCCTGTCCAAGGACTGACTGTCCAAAACAGTGACCAATCTTAAACAAATACAGCCAGTCCGAAAAACTAAAACTCTTCATTGAAACCAAGTTAAGTTTATTTTTGTTCAAATATTTCCCCCGACCAAAGGGCGGCCTTACTTATTTAACAGACCGTCCTTCTCAATAATAGACCGTCAATGATGGTGGGATGAGCTATATTTTATATGTTGCTATATCGCTTAAGTGTTATAATGCTTTAGAATCTTGTCATGTTTGCTTTATGAGCGAATATTGTATGACAAATGTTTTTTGAGAAAGTGATCTGCAAGGTTATCAAATCTGTGTGCTGTACAAGAGTGTGTCAAACTGTGTAGAGGTTGCTTCTGAGGAAACTGAATACCTGCCAAAGTTGTTCACATCAACAGGTTTTTGCTTTATTGGTACTTTGTGTTTTACGTCTAAACTCAAAGTGAAATTATAAATATAAAACAAGCATTATTTTGTTTCTTAGAGACCTACTTCGTTTTCAATTTTGTTTTGAAGTTATTTTTTTGCTGATGTGAATTGAATGTTTTATCCTAAACATTTACTATTTTAACAGTCAAAAGGAATTGAAACGGTTCAGTTCTCACAGTACTGCTTCCCATTTTCTTAGTTAACATTTCTTGTCTTTCTGGCTTCATTGTATCCATAATAAGATGCTCTGTCAGTTCTAACCAAATTACACTTTCTGATTCCGTCACTTAACAAATTTAATACTTTCAGTGTTAAAAATTAGGGAATGACAAGATCCTCAAGGGGGCTATTTTTTAAAAGCATCCATCTTTGTCAATGTGATATTGATGATGATCCTTTGATTTTCATCCCTAATTTCAAACACTGAGATAGCAGTAATGAACTGAGCCCTTCATATTTCTGCATGTATTAATTGCTAGTTGACTGGACTAGCCTTTAGACATGATAGTGACTGCTTGTTTGTGTACATGTGTGACGTCAAAGTTGACTTATTGCTCGTGGCTGCCACTAGTGGCATTGCCTGCATGGCTGCATGGGTGTTGTCCTTAACACTGGTGAACCCCTACTGCAGCTGTCAAATGAGAGATGAGTAACTTTGGTGTTTGCAGAATACAATAACATTACAGCCTGGTGGATTCCAATTGCAACCGGGGACGCTCCTGGTGAAGAATGAACAGGGACAGCTGATGTTGATGTCCACGACGGGGCAGGGAGCTGTGCCGGGGTCGCAGTCCATCGTCACTACGGTGCCAACATCAACCAATAAGTTACAGAATGTCAGGGTAAGAAATGCTATAAATGCATTATGATTACTGGTACTGAGAAATATCTTTAGATGGCCCAGACGGTGGATTTGAATCACTGTTCTTACTGATTATGTTCCGGGAGTATTCAGCATTATAACATATTGTGTCATAGTAATACCAAATTCAAATTAAGAGGAATATTGCTAAACTCAGTCAGTCAGTCAGTCAAATTAAGATTGTCTTTTTTAAATATGGGTCATTCTCCTATATCACTGCCAAATTCTTCCAGACACTTTGATAACCATGTGTCAATGTACAAGAAAATGAACTGATCTGAAACCAGGAATTTGTGATCCTGCTGACCAACAGCAGTGATGTTTTTATATTGAGCAGACATTATTGTCTTAGAATTGGTTGGATCCTATTCTGTATGCTTTTGGTCAAGATAGTTAAAAATGTCTTAAGTGACATGACTTGGGTTATGGTTGGGGTGTGCATATAACATTTTATGAATCTATGCAGCATATTGAACATTTTTGGTTATAGTTATACTGTTGTAGAAATTTGATTTCATTGAATAGAAATAATATCATTAGATTGGAAAGTAATATATACTGAACCAGAAAAGAAATGTTGCACTGATAGCGGCTTCTTCAAGCACACACTTTAATTCACTCTAATTAACAATCAAAACTGAGGATTGAGTTGAAACTTGACAATTATAAACTCGTAGTGGGGTCTCAGTGAGGTCCTTATCATCGCCTAAATCATCTCCATTACTCGCTACCAGTCGTATCGAGTTTTGCGAGTGTATGGAATGGTTCAAAAGACTCGCAAAAGTTTTGCGACCGCATGTGAGCGGTCCAACTCGCAATGGATCGCAAAATCGGTCATAACCTGATCGCACAAGTCTCAGTGGACTTGTATTTTGGTCATATGTCAGTCATCTTTGCTCGCAATGAGATCGCATTGTTTTTGTGCTTGCAAAGGCACATGCGAGTTATGCCGAGCTCATCACGACTGCTTCAAGACCTCCCTACGACCAGCGAGATCAGTGCATTTCGATCCACGTTTGAGCGTGACCAATCACGAGCGCTGTGCGGCAAATTAAGAGACCAATTGCGAGCGTTCCTGTGATTGCCTTCTTCCTCTTCTTCTTCTACAAGGGCCAATGCCATTTCAATGTCCATCTTCTATGTATGTTGTCATGGTGCTGGTCAGGCAAAGAATGACAAGATCACTGCCGGTCGCGGTCGTTTTTATATGAGTTTTGCAGCCCACTTCTTGGTGAAGTCGCATAGGTCTCAATATGGTCCTGAAAAAGGTCCTCATTGTCCTACTTGAGTGGCAATTAAGTCGCATGGAGTCGCAACGATTGCAACTCGATCGCACTTGATCGCAAACATGGTCTTACTACTCGTTCTCCAGTCGCAAGTCAGTTGCAGATGTTATCTCTGTGGTCTCAACCAGGTCGGCGCCGCTCGGCACAAGCTAGCCAGTACACTCGCACCAGGGGGCAAGATGGCATTGTGACCCAGTTCCGATCTATATGACCGTTTGCATCAGTCTCAATAATTATCAAAATAAAAAATATTTTTGTCGTTCTCCGGTGTAAACAGAAAGTCAAAAGTGGTCGCCAAAAACTATGCGACCATTGTGATCTCTAATTGTAGTGAGGTCTCATGTGGCCTCAGACAAGTCATGTATTGATGTAACCCACCCATAAGATACCCCAAAGTCTGTATTGTGTGTGACCTCTATGGGCATCGATGAAAGCGTTGCATCGACTGTACATGGAATGAATGAGGGTTCATCACTTCACCACTGCGGTGATGAAGGCCATAGGCACTTGGGTCCATACTCTGTGAAATGCTTGATCAAGCCCAGCAGCAGTTGTCCCCCTTGGGTGGAGGTCAGTCAGTCTTCTTTGAATCTCGTCCCAAATTGTGGTACAACGTGGGGTCTTATGACCTCATCCTGGACCGAGATTCTGGAACACCACGGTGCCAACTATCTGATTCAGACCGATTGCAACCCACACCATGATGCTTGGACCACCCCACGAGTCTCTTTCAACAATACACTCATTTGAAAACAGTTCCCCATGTCTTCACCATACTCTCACTCTGCCATCGACTGTTGAAACACAATATCGGCCTTCATGAGAAAAAGCACAGTTCTCCAATGTGGATAACGCCAATTTCCAAGCTGAGTTGCCCATTGCAGTCGGTTTGGGCGGTGAGACAGGACTACGATATGGTCTGACGGTTTCTTCCCTGCAAATGTCAACACACTGTATCGGCAGTGATGGGTCTGTTGTGAGTCCCAATGGTAGATTGTCGGTAGATTGTCCTAACATGAACATTAATATGAATGGCTACCCTCCATGTAGTCTGCCCAACTTTCAGTCGTCCCAAGGTTTGGTTCCTCAGATCTCTCGTAAGTCATGCCATGTCGATTGTGTCAAACAAAAATGATTTCAGGCTAGTTTGGGACTCGCTTTTATTGGCAAGGTTGTCACGATATGCACGTGCATTTTCATTTTCAGCGAGAGTCCTATGGAACCTTTTACCACGTCTGCCTTTTTAGGTGCATTTGGTCGATGCGTTTCATCAGAAAACACACTGATGTTAGTAATAACTGTAAATTTGAATTGAAAAACATGTTAACAAAATGATATAATCATAATAAAAACACAATTTTGTAAGAACAAAAATGGTTTTGAAAGGTGAATTTTCTTTTGTGGTTCAGTATAATGCCTTATTGTACTAACTGGAGGCAAAGGGACTTCATGGTTTGATATCTTTCCTGAAGAATGTTCTGTTTTTAAAAAAAATGATTGTAATGTTTTCAGAATTTGAAATACCTATGGGTGTTGAAGGAAGAAATAGATATAAAGATCCTGTTTCTATTCTAGCCAACACCGTTTGAAACTAGATGTGAACTTTAATGTTTCAGCCTATAACAACACAGGGACGTTCTGGTACTGTTCAAACGTACGTTACAATCCAGCCACCTGTAGGTCAAGGTCGTGGGCAGCCTACTGTTCTCCAGCAGACTGGTGCTACCATGCCTGTAGTCAACACTCATCTTCCCAGTACTGCTCCCAACACAGTACAGGTTCCAGGGTCAATTGGGCAGCCACAAGCAGCAGTATCTGGGGGTGGGGCAGCAGCAGCAGCAGCAGGGGGTGGCACCACACGGTAAGTAGAAGTAGAAGTGTTTCTTAATGATCTTGTGAACATGTACAGGTTTGTTAAGGGGAGACACAGATTTTGTACTTTGAATTGATATCACTCTTTGGTTGAACGTGAACTGATGTTTTTAGTAGGATCAGATGAGTCACAGGCTTCATGTAGATTTGAGGTGAGGTGAAATTGGGTTTATATTTCACTCATATCGTGCATTGAGAATATCCACTGCTTGTATACCAGACTTAAACTGGTTTTATAGTGCTAGCTGAGATAGCATGTCGCAGTGAAACATGAATACCCCACTCAGACACATTATACTGACTCTGAGCCGACCAGTCCTTGCTGTACCCATTAATGTCGAGCGCCAGGCAGGGACCAACAAGTACCATATTTTAACGTCTTTTGGGTATGACGCGGTCAGGGATTGAACCCGCGACCTTCTGCTCTCCGGGCGGACGCTCTAACCACTACACCACGGAGGCGGTCATGTAGACTTGAGGATTTTATGCAGGTGTTAATCAAGAATTAGACACCTCCTCACAGCCTGCTTAATATGTCAGTTCAAATTTGAGCTTCCTGCCTCTGCAGTTCGTTTATGACTGATGGTGGAGATTTTGAAAAAGTTTGTGTGCATGATAACTTGAGCATTTGTGAATGTAATTTGATGAGATTTAGTGTACATGATCTCTAAGATAAGGTTTCCAACACATCTTTTGGGTAATCTCTGTAAGGTCATGGTCACTGAAGATGAAGTCATGAATCATGGTTAAAATTTCATGTAAATTTAGGCATTTTCGAAATTTTTGTTGTATTAACTTTGAATAATTTGCTCAATAATGTATGATTTTGTCTTATGTTAGGTCACTGTTGAAGGAAATGCACAACACATTCATAAGATTTCTCAGAACACTCCTTGTCATGACTACATCCAACATTTAAAGGATTCTCACCATAACTATAGATTACTGTAAGTTAAGTTCTCACATGCAATCAGATAATGTGGCAGGCCAGCTGAAAAACATTTGTGATCACTAAGTAAACATTTCCCATGATGTTTTTAGCTTAACTTGTAGATATCTTGAGACAAAAATCAAAAGCAATTTCACACGGTGACTATGGTTTTCTGGTGGTGGATCATAGCATTGACTTTTGTCTTTCTTGTACAGGTCCAGCCTCTCAACCAATGGAAAATGTGAAGAAATGTAAAAACTTTCTATCAACCCTCATCAAACTGGCCTCGAGTCAGCCACCACAGACGGTCCGGAATGTCCGTGAACTTATACAAGGCCTCATTGTAAGTCAGATGTCTGGATATTTTTGTATTTAAATGGGGGAAAGGTGACCCAGTTGCCTAAGTGGCTTCAATTTGCTGTACAGAAATCTTTGATTGTGGGTTCAAACCTTATAAGTAGTATACACAATGGGGCTATGGGACCAGGTCCCCCCAAGGGCTCAATTTAAAAAAAAAAATTGAGCCCTTGGGAAGTCCCTAATCCCGTAGTCCCATTGTGTATACTACTACTGAGTTGCATGCAGAATTTGATGAAAATTGGTTGAATAGTTTCTGAAATATTTGACTTTTCAGCGAGCATGGGGTCGGTCGGGGAAAAGGTTCGGGTCGCCTCGGGGGTGGTTGCTCCTCCAAGCACTGTGGGTGGACGAGTCGCAGTGCGTGTGCGTGTGCGTGTGTCTCTCTCTCGGCTTGGTGTACGGCTGGCTGGCTGGCTGGCTACATTAAGCAGAAAAATAGGCATGCAAGACTGATAAAAAAAATCATGACGAGAAACTATCATCACACAGTGGGTGATGTGTAAGGGACTGTGTCGTGAGGTATGATCATCAACTCCTCTCTGACGAATGCTCTCGGCGGTCCGTCTTTCAAGTAGTACAAGTTCGGTTCGTCGGGTCTTTTGCCACGAGTCTGGTGACTTCGTTGTTGATGACATCCACCACTCACGGTAAGCGTGCGACCCATTCCGTGTTTCTGTTTCTGGGATCCATTAAATCCTGCGAGTATTGGTGCGAGAGCAGACGTTCGGCAAAGATGCGATTGAATTTGTGCTTGGCCAGCAGCTGTGACACGGCTCCCATGAACTCACGTCCGGGATCGATTTGCAATACGGCAGGGCATGTCAAGTGACTGCGTTTGTATAATGCGTTCTAAGGCTTTGGCGACTTCATTCAAATCTGTGGTCATCAACGGTTTGGCTTCCTTGAAGCGACTGGCGACGTCGACGACTGTCAGGGCGTACTTGTAGGTGTTACGCCTCACCTTGTCGTGAGGGAGAAACAGGAGGTTGGCTTGGTGGACGCGATTCAGTGTTGAAATGTCGAATTTTCTTCTCGGGATGTATCGAAGCGCCAGCAGGTAGACTTGCCAGATGGCTTGTTTTTTAGTTTTTTAAGCCAAGCTTTGGCGACGTCTTCCGAGACTCGAGCGGCTTTGGCAAGTTTCAGGATGGTGTCCGCTCATTTCCAGTACCCGCGTGGGCTGTAATAAATTTTCTCCATGATATATGTACGCATGTGTGCGTAAGCGTTCAATTATTCGATACGCGTTTGTGCCCATACACGCGTAAGTGGTGACTCTGTCGATGGCGATCCATTGTTTCGTGTCCATGGGAAACAGCGAGGTCTTGTTGATTCTCAGTCCATATATCCTATGTCCGTCGCTTCTGCCTGCGCATTCGTCCTTCATCTTGCCGAGCACTTTATGGTTGACTTGTCTGTGCATAGGGTGATCTTTAGGGTAGTCGCTGGTGTCGTACAGGTGCATGTGTTTCTTCATGTCCTCGTACACGTCCTTGGTGTGAATTTCCATCAGCAGGGAATCTGTGTCTGTGTACAGCACTTCGCACCTGTCGCCGTACGGCTTTTTCAGCCCATTGTAGTAGAAATCGTACATCAAGTGTTCGGATAAGTCGAGGATGCTCATCCCCACGTAAACGCATGGTTGAATTTGATGTGGCTTTTGTTCATGTGCAGGGCTGCCAAGTCGTCGTCGAATATCTTGCTTCCGTTAAACGCCGGGCTGGCTATGAGTTTCCTGAGTTTTTCTTCCTCGATGGATCTGACTAATTTCACGTTAACGCGCTTTCTCAAATTCTCCATCGTCTTGCCGAACACCGAGTTCTGTTTTTGCAGATTCGTGTTCAACCGAATGTAAGGTTCCATCCATGGACTTTGATCGAACTGGAGTGCCCTGTGTTTTTACGTGAGTTTCATTCCCAGCGACGAGCGGCTGCAGATTGCGATAGTAAACGACGTATTTTGACTTGTTCATCAAGTTCGGCACGAGTTTTCCGACGTTAGCCAGCTTGTTGTCTCCCAGCAAGTTTTGTTGATGTTCAGACATCCAGTCCGGGTTCACCGTCAATCGTTCGGGAGCTAGTTGATAGCTGTTGTGCGATTTGTGTAGTTCTGCGGGATAGTCCAAGTCCACTTCGAGCACTTAGCCTTTGTTCATATCCGGCGCGATGCTATTCACGTCAATCATCTCTGGTGAGGAGACCCATTCGAATCCCCCGGTGGGGAGATACTGACTCATGGCCCAGCCGTACAGTTTGTTGGCGTCGAGATAGAGAATGTGTTTGGTCGGTTTGCCGGGGTTGTGACCTGGAACGTACTTGTTGTTGGCTTTGGCGTATCGTTTGGAGGTAATGGAAATCCCGCCTCACAAGCCTTTTTCCACGAACAGGTGCATGTCGTAATCCGTCAGTAGTTTCAGCTCCATGCCAGTCTTTTTCAACAGGGCATCCCAAGAGAGACCGGGGGATGAGAAATACCCTTGAGAGATATTGGAATCGGTCAAGTTGCTGTAAAATTGGTCGATGGGAGGTAATCACGTCTCGTCGAACTTAGACCAATCGTCCATGTACTCGTAGGGGTAGACGCCCTTCCTCAGCAGCAGGGGTCGAGTCTTGGCGTCTCGGTTTCGAATTTCCACTTAGGGAACTTTGGGGTCTAGACAAAAGCCTTGAAAAACGTGCACGGAGAACTCGTGAACAACATGGGTAAGCTGAAAGAAATTAACGAGCACATCGCTCGTGAGAAAAGAAAACTGTGGATGGAGGACGACGATGAAGCCATGAAAAACTTCATCGAGAAAAGATTGCGTGACCTGGAAGACGAGAGTTGGACCAGATTGGAAGCCGCTTCCTCCAACCGGGAAGCCCTCCGATCACAAATCAGCGCGAAACCATCGACCGAGTCGACCTGCGCTACCAGGGACTTGATAGTTACATTTCGGTTTAACAGGTCTATCCTGAGATTGCATCATCCTCCTAAACTGGGTTCCGTCTATAGGAACGCAAAGGATGTCTTGAACCCGTTTTATAAGCTGAGCGCAGCAGACGTCTAGAAACAGTTTATTACAAATTCTATTTCCGCTTCATATTTATGGTTTGCGTACCTGACACGTACCGGTTCACCAGACACAATCACCAACGGTGTCGTATCGATCATAAGACCGGGATCGACACCTTTAATAAGCCTCAATGGAGTGCGTGTTATAGAAAAAAATTCCTTTCATGTCTTGAATATTTACGTGTACGATAATTTAATCCTTATCAGCCTCAAATACATCGATCGGATATTAACGGAAAGCCAATTAAATATTATTTTATAAAAAAAATATATATATACACACACACAGGATGGGACTGTACCCAGTCGTGGATGAAGTAGCAAAAACACTGGAAACCGTAGACGGTTTCGTTTGCGACAGATATGTGAGATCAAACAACAACTAGAACGTGAACACAATACGCAGTCGGCATTACAGAAAAAATATCACAGGGCCGTCAATTCCGTGGACGGTGTTGACAGCGCTCTGGTTTCAGTCAGCTTAGGATTAGGCGTAGCAGGTATCGGGTTATTATCCACCATCGTGGCTGCACCTGTGGTGCTGGGCATCGAAATAACAGCCGGAGTGGTAGGGTTGATGGGATTGACCCTTAAGTTCATATCTCGCAGACTGCAACGTAAAGCATTGAAACACGACGAAATTAGAATTCTAGCCGAAGAAAAGTTAAACACGATAGACGATCATATTTCCACCGCGCTCAGCGACTCTAAAATCTCCAAGGAAGAGTTTCGTTTGGTGCTATCAGAAATCGCAAAATATCACAAAATGAAACGAGATTCAGACCAAGTCTCGTAAAAAAGCCGTCATCAGCGAAGACGAGAAAACATAAATCATAGAACAAGGGAAGCAACAGGCCCGACGAGCCTTCCTTAGGACAACCAAACAAATTATTATCGTAGAAGATTCATGATAAATTGCTTCGCGGACATCAACATCACAGCCGAGTAGACAGCCGAGGCTTAGTGAGCACCCTTGATGATGTTAACGGTGTGAATATAAGAGTAAACACAGTTCACTCAATTTTAACAATGTAATCAGTGAGATGATGTATATAAGCATCAAACAGCTTCATTTACAATGAGGGGTTCGATTCACACATGGGTACATTGTGTGAAGCCCATGTCTGGTATTGCTGGAATATTTGCTAAAAGCGGCTCACTCACCTAACAGTCGTGGTGGTTGTAACAATAGATAAAGATAGAAAGGTTAAAATGGAAAGATAGAAAGGTTTAAAAATAAAAGTAGCAAAACATCCCTGGTAGCCACAATTCCCCTAGGGTGAAGTAGAAAGATGAAGGTTGCGCAACTTCCTGATCCTGATTCCTTGCTACCACCAACGAAACACACGAAAGTTGCAAGGAACCCACTGAGGCAACGGTGGGATACGAACACAATGCATAGCTGTGCAACTACACATCCTAAGTCCGCACCTCAACCGATTGCGCTACCAGGGACTTGATAGTTACATTTCAGTTTAACAGGTCTATCCTGAGATTGCATCATCCTCCTAAACTGGGTTCCGTCTATAGGAGCGCAAAGGATGTCTTGAACCCGTTTTATAAACTGAGAGCACCAGACTTCTAGAAACAGTTTATCACAAATTCTACTTCCACTTCACAGTTTGGTGGCTTTTTACCTCCAATAAAATACAAACACGATACTCCCAGGGAGTTTTAAACACGCTGAACACGATAAATGTATCGATGGACGCTGAAAATGTTTTTAGAAGCCACAATCCATGATTTTAGAATCAACATTTATCAGCTCAGAAGGTGCATAAGCTATTTATAGTTTTAATACACTGACGCTAGCAGAGTCAGTCTGCTGGTGTAGAAGATACTGAGTTCAAAACCCTCCCGTTGTCATAGAAAACATTTTTTTGTTGTTGAAAAACAAACACTTCACCCTACCAACCCCATGCTCGCTTAAAAGTCAGATATTTCAGAAACTATTCGACCAATTTTCATCAAATTTTTCATGCAACTCAGTAGTAGTATACACAATGGCGCTGGGGATTAGGGACTTCCCAAGGGCTCAATTTTTTAAAAAAAATTGAGCCCTTGGGGGACCTGGTCCCGTAGCCCCATTGTGTATACTACTTTATATTTCTTGGATTGTCCGCACCATATGTGCTGGTGGGATTTCACCAAAGTGGAATAGACCTAAAATGTATCATGATGGCATCATATGTTAATGTCACCTTCATGCCTTTGATCCAAGACCTCAGTATGTTCAGTGTTCACACCATTGTATTGTTCTACATTTGCTTCCAGGATGATCGGGTGCAGCCAGAGATGTTCACAGCAAGGTTACAAGAAGAGTTGAAATCTTCACCACAGCCGTACCTTATTCCGTTTTTGAAAGTAAGTCCAACGTGGTGACTGTATGCTCTGATACTCTTCATCATGGTCACGTTTAGCCTAATCCAGGACAAGACTCTGCTTTACAGAACTTACAAAGAATTGAAGATAAAATGTTATCAAGACTTAGTGTATGGAACAGCAGTTATTGCTGAAAGGTTTACCCAGGTGTTTGAGATGCCATTGTAGTGCACATGATACAACAGAAAATATGGTATTTCATATATTCAGGGCTCGAAAAATTCATAAATATGAACTTTCCACTCGTCCTTCTAAAATTGTACTTTCCCTGTAGATCATGCATCACAATGAATATAAATTTAATTTATTTCAAAATGTTTGCTTGTAATAAAACTACAATAGACATTACTCACTTTGTCTTCTGTACAAAATCTTTGACAAAATTGAATTCATTCACCGTTTAAGATAGCTGAACTTCAAGGGAAAAGAAAAATGTTACTTTTGGGACAGAAAACGTACTTGTCCTTTAGGACGAGCAAATCATGTTTTTCACTTGCCTGAAACAAATGTTACTCGTCAATACAAGAGGACGAGTGGAATTTTCAAGCCCTGATATTCTTTGGGTATATCTACATTTAGAGTCCAATCTGATATATGTTATCAAACCAAAGAGCAGAAATTATGTGAAATGATGCTATGACCAGTGGACCAGTTTATATGTATATTTTTCACAAAACACTAAAACTCATGTGAAAAGGAATCAGTTTATTGAAGTGCTGTGCTTGTTAATTACAGAAAAGTCTCCCACTGTTGCGTCAGTGTCTTATATCCAACAAGATGACAATAGAAGGAGTGACGGCGCCCAAGGGGAAAGTAATACAGCAGCATGTACCAGCAGTACAAACTCAACAAGCCATACAGCCCAACCTGCCTGTCCAACATCTGCAGGTGAGTCCAGGGTCACATAGCATTGTTCAGCAGCTGTGTTCTAGTCACTATCACGGGCAACATGGATAGACAAGAGTGAGACCTGTGAAGATCCAGGTTAGAATTGGTCTCCAGTAACCCATGCTTGTCGTAAACGGCGACTAACGAGATCGGGTGGTCAGGCTCACTGACTTGGTTGACACATGTCATCGTATCCCAATTGCGTAGATCGATGTTGATCACTTGATTGTCTTGTCCAGACTCGATTATTTACAGACTGTCACCATATAGCTGGAATATTGCAGCCTTAAACAACAAACCAAACCAAATAGAAAGTAGTGAAGGCTAGAGTTAGGTGTCATTGATTGGATAGTTTAGTATTGATATAGTGATAAGTATGGCAAAACATTGATGTGTTGTTTGATTATATAATTAAATATGTTGTAAGAATGACCTAAACGAACGTGCACTTTATAAACTTATATCTAGATATGACCTATGTTGATGAATTAAATGTTTACAATTGCCTGTTGTCCATTATTCATAGAAATCTTTATGTTGCCCGAATTATCACAAAATGGTCATGAAACTGCCAGTTATCAAAACAAATTTTCTCAAACTCTATTTCAATTGAGGGAATTATATAAGTGTCAGTATTTCATTGTGTCAGATTACTGAGTAGTTATGAACAATTCAATGGGAAATGTTCCTCTCTCACCTCTTCTTAACCTGGCAACCTGAAAATTTGTGGAAAATTAGTATCTATTAATTTGAAAGTCAGAAAAAATATTCTGCTTCAAGTGCTTCTTACTTGTCATTCAGATCTATTAATATCTGGGAATGCACAATTGTTATTTGATAATTGTTTCAGTAAGAGGCTCTCTATACTCCCAGTGACATTATCATGAAAATTACAATTGTTCAGTATCTTTCAACAAAGTATAAATATCAAACAGAACCTAATGTGGTGCCTTTTGCTTTTCACAGATTTTTGGCATTTTTATTTTTTCTAGATTTACATGGAAACAATTTGGACTTAGTCTCAAAAAGGGGTGGATTTTGTTTCCAGAGGCATAACCTGAAAAATCTCTCAATATCTATCAATAAAACAGATATATGAGGCAGATCCCAAAGTGATGCCTTTTGCTACTGATTTTTGGCATTTCTTTTTTTTTCTCGGTTTCCATGGAAACGATTTGGACTTAGTAAAAAAAAATTAAGTTGGACTTTAAGTAACTGTCCAATTAATTGTTCTTGCAAATTTGTGGGGGCCAGGGTGATTTGTCATCTTCTGATGGCTCTTGTTGATTTGAAACTGAACCCATTATTCAAATGGAATCCAAACAAATACTTTCAGTGGTTGGTAATAATTTATGGTTTTAGAAGATAAACTGTAAATGGGAAGAGTAGTGATTTACCATTGAGCCGAAAAGTCCTGAAATCGTAGAAATGTCCGGTAGTTACAGTGGTATGTAGCTACTGCGTTGTGTGTCAGACAACATTTTCTTCATAAGGCCTTCTTTACATCACTACTAATTATACTTTACTTTCTTCCTACAGCAGCAAGCCTCAAATACTCTTGGATATGGGGGAGGGACACCTCAAAATCCCAATGTCCAGTACCGGTTGTCAAATAAAGGTCCTCCCCTGAATGCGCTGCCCCAGCCTGTTCAGTCATTAGTCCGCAACAAGCAGGGAGTCACGTCCTCCGCCCATGGAGCCATGCCAACCACTGTCAGTGCCTTGCAGGCTCACATGGGAACAAGCAAGAGTGAATCTTCACATAAAGAGAAGAGAAAGTTTGAATCTCTCAAGTATGTCGTAGCTAGTTTTAAGGTTAACATGTTTTAAACATTGTGATGGTGATGTAAAGTGATAATTTGAAACTCACTGCAGCAGGGGCTCTTTGTGATTGGTGCACTGGTTGCTCAGTGGTCTCAAGCTGTACTCCTCATTGTGCAGAGTTATGTCCCTTAGCCATGCCAGGATGCAGTCGATACCAGATTTGCCTTAGTTGTACGTAAGGTTTGATTTGTCAGCATCATTACCATGTTAGCTGATTTCTCCCAAGTAGTACATGTCAAGGACCCTGTAACTACAGGTTTTTCTCTGGAACTAATCTTACTTAAACCTGACATTCTTTGTCTGTGATCGGGCAGCACAATATTAAATATTAGTTACAAATCACTAGACATTGATGAAACTTCTTTTCTTCTTTCATTTCCTTTGCTGACAGAATAATGTCGCGAAAAAATGTGCCACTAGTGAGATCTGAACCTATGAGGTCCACATTGAAGGTTAACCAATGTATTCAGGTCTTTATCAGTTTATAAATGGTGAAATGTATTTTATGCATTGTATTTAATTTTGATTTGGTAGGTTTTTGTCTATTGAAGCAAAGTTATTGAAAAAAATATCTCTTATCTTGATGAGGGTTTTGTTTGCTTATAAAGAAAAGTTTGTGTTATTGATTAATGTGATTGAGTTGGTCCTGTGGCAGTTATACATGTATTTCATCACCTGAATCTCCAAAGACAAAGGTGCATGTGCAAATGGCTCAGTGAATATATTTCGTGTGCATCATGCAGGGGCGAGTCACACAGGATACAGAAATGTAGAGAAATATGCATATCAAAACAATGCAGTTTAAACATTTCATTTGATACTGTTCTTTGAAGGTTTGCTATGCTTTAGTTAGGTAGAGTATTCATACTCTGGTGAAATTGTTAGTTACCCCAGATAGTGATAGAGACCCCAGATCTTTGTGTTGTAACCTATACTTAAAGTCATCATGTTTGTCACTCAGTCACCAGACCTTCCACCATTTTCCTATCTTTATGGTCAAGATGTATAGCTTATATATGTTATATTTGGGATTTCACTTTCTTAGTAAAGTACAGATTCTTGTACTTTTTTGGGGTTTAGTCCCATCCAGGATTCGAACCCAGAGACAGGCACCTAATCTCCATTACACAAAGTCAGCCACCTAACCCACTCAGCCACCGAGCTTCCACAACAATAGACCACAGACTTTGTGTACTCCTCTGATAAGTGTAAATTGTCATGGCTCCCACAGCCGAGAGTTATGAATACACAATGCTATGTAGAAAGTGGTCAGATGTAACATATGCTATGTTTGGGATTACACTTTCTTAGTAAAGTACAGATTCTAGGATTATTTTTGGGTTGAATCCCATCATGGATTTGAACCCACATCCTCAGACTCAGGCTCCTAATCTGTGCTTAGTCAAGATGTATATCATCATTTTTTGGTATAGATATGCAGGATTGTTGATTTTGATTACTTTAAAGTTTCAAGTGTTTGTGTTTGTGTCCTAATGTTGACATTTTCAGTTAGTTATTTGTGTATGATTATTCGTTTCAGAGATGATGATGACATCAACGATGTAGCTACCATGGGAGGTGTCAACTTAACAGAAGAATCCAAAAATATATTAGCTACCAATGCAGAATTTATTGGAACACAAATACGGTCTTGTAAAGACGAAACGTTTCTTTATCATGGGCCATTACTGAGTAGGATACATGCAGTAGGTAAGTGTGGTGTTCAGCCGGAAACTTCCGTTCCTCATAACTGATGCTTTAAGAGTTTAGTCGGAATGCTTTTATCACTTTGGGTTTGATTCCATTATCATTCTAAAAAATTACCATGTACCCTCATGGAGGTCATTGAGGTCAAACCCGTGAAGATCCAGGTTAGAATTGATCTTCAGTAACCCATGCTTGTCGTAAGAGGTGACTAACGGGTTTGGGTGATCAGACTCGCTGACTTGCTTGACACATGTCATTGTATCCCAATTGCATTGTTTGATGTTCATGCTGTTGATCACTGGATTGTTTGGTTCAGCCTCGGTTATTTACAGATCGCCACCAAATAGCTGCAATATTGCTGAGTGCGACGTAAAACTAAACTCAATGAATGAATCAATCAATCAATCATTGAGGTCATTTTGGGCAAAAGAGGAGTGAAGATACTACGAGATCATCTTTTATTTCCAGTTAGGCTTTTGTTAGGAAGAACAATGTAGAGTATAAATTGTAGGATAAGATAGACTTGATACTCCGTATAAGGAATAACTGTTGACCATAGTGTTAAACCAAATTTTATTTTAATTGGTCAATCAGAGGTATAACATCACAATAATTAAACCACCTCTGATTGAACGAACCCATTTAATGGATGCAGCACTACAGGTGTTATTTATAGAGATCTTCATTCTGGCATTGAAGGTTTTGAAATGCTGATATGTATAATTATAGGCAAAGAATATAGAACTGCAGTTACTACAATATTCAAAGTGTTGTCTCTATACAACTGAGCTTGTCGTAAGAGGCGACTAACAGGATTGGTGGGTCAGCCTTGCTGACTTGGTTTACACTCCTCGGCCATATAACTGGAATATTACTAAGTGTTGGGTCAAACAAACGCAACAACTGTGATGTCATACATTTCTCATCATAGTGAGCTGTGTGATGTTGGCTTGAACTGTAACACTGTGAGACTGTGATGTCATACATTTCTCATCATAGTGAGCTGTGTGATGTTGGCTTGAACTGTAACACTGTGAGACTGTGATGTCATACATTTCTCATCATAGTGAGCTGTGTGATGTTGGCTTGAACTGTAACACTGTGAGACTGTGATGTCATACATTTCTCATCATAGTGAGCTGTGTGATGTTGGCTTGTGCTGTAACACTGTGAGACTGTGATGTCATACATTTCTCATCATAGTGAGCTGTGTGATGTTGGCTTGAACTGTAACACTGTGCAACTGTGTTGTATATAGTGAGGCCAACTACATGTCTTAGATATGTATCTAACAGGTCCACCTCTATTTTCAGCTAAAAAACATGGTGTGGAAGAAATAGCATCAGATGTAGTGAATATTATTTCCCATGCAACACAAGAGAGACTTAGGAATATGGTAGAGCGATTGTCCACAATAGCAGAACATAGAATAGAAATTTACAAGGTGAGATATTGAAGCTTTGTGTTCATCACGTTACATGTTTAGTGCCATGTACTTAGTTGTGAGACTGTCCAAATAAAGAGGACAAAGAAAGTCTGAATCAAGTATCAAGTGTTTGAAATAATGTCATCCCATCTACAGCATGTGCCTTTCTTAAGAGGCTTGTTATGCTGCTTATGCAGTGATTTACCTTGAGTCCTGTTTTTGCGGGTCCCTGGGACTCATACTCTTTATTTTCAGGGGTCCTGGACAACAGAATGGGGTCCAGATGCTTAAATATTATGTTTAATACTGTTATTGTATTTTGTATCATGATCATCACATTATTTGTTACAGTAATTGAATTGCAAATGATACCATAACCCAGCTAGTAGCAAAGTCTTTGATAACTTAGTGTTACTTGATTGGAATTTTGACAAAAAGGACTTTTTCTGCGTCCCTGTGGATGTGCTAATAAATTTTGTTGCGTCCATTGTCAATTTTTATGCGTATAGGACGCAGGAATTCGTGTCCTGTAAATCCCTGCCTCTGTTGAAGATATCTTGGCAAATATAACACTAGAACGAGTATTTGACAGTGACTTCATGTACAATTCTTTTACTCAGATGGATCTAACACTGACTGTCTGTTTGCTTCTGTTTCAGATGGACCCAAGGTACGAGGTTACGAAAGATATAAAATCTCAGTTAAGTTTTTTACAAGAATTAGACAAGTTAGAAAAGAAGCGGCATGAAGAGCAAGAGAGAGAGATACTGTTACGAGCAATAAAGGTGAGTGTATGGGATGAAGTGAACTGGGATTAACATTGTGATCTGTTGTGATCAGTAGGTTGTAAAATCTTTGGGAGACATTTGTCCTTGTTTTAACATCAGAGACCTTCGATACATATACATATGTAAGTGCTATGCCGTTTTGTGAAAGAACAACATGATTCAATTACCTGTTAGTTTATTGGTGACAGTAACAAAATATGCCTTGTTTGAAATAATTAAAAAAACTGAAATCGCCCCAAAGTGCGAGAGGGATTTTCTCAAAAACCGTTATATCTTGGGAAACCAAATTTCGTATGTGTTTTCAGGACACGAATGCCTTGATAGAGTTCGAAAACATGTTACAATTTGTTACAGAGTTATGGCCCTTGTCATGTGTTTCTTGACTTAGTGCACGGTATCCCCAATGGGTACAGATTTTCTCAAAAACTGTTATAGATAGGGAAACCAAATGTGGTATGTATTTTCAGGACATGAATGCCCTGATGGAGTTCGAAAACAGAAACCGTATTACGATTCTTTACCGAGTTATGGCCCTTTTCATGTGTTTCCTGACTTAGTGCACAGTATCCCTAATGGGAACAGATTTTCCCATTTAACAGCTTATGTATCACCATTTGTAGGAAGAATGAATAGTTGTCAGAATAGGACCAGAACACTGTGGCAGGGATATTGCTTACCATGTTTTCTTCTTGTATTGTGTTTTGTTTTTACACATGACTGTAGAGATTTGTTCTTGAGTATTTGAAAGTAATAATTATAGCTAGGAGTTTTGACATAACATTGATGTCTCTTTCAGAGTCGGTCCAAAAATGAAGATCCAGAGCAGATGAAATTGAAACAAAAAGCCAAAGAGGTTTGTTCTGACTTTCAACTGCTTTTAAGTAACAGGTTTGAACTCTCTGATACTGTAAAGTTGCTTCAGTGTAACAACATGTTGTTAGATAAAGACAAGCCAGTTAGTCTTAAATTGAGATGATGTGTTGGTTTTGAATGTCTTTTGTTGGTGACAGTTTCAGCTACAGGAGATCGAGGCCATGAGGCAGAAAGAAGCTAACCAGACTGCTCTACTTGCCATCGGTCCACGCAAGAAGCGGAAAACAGAGTCAGCCGATCAGGGGCAAGGGGTATGGAAATTGAGTATTCCAGGGGAGCTTAGGCCAATCATATTGATAGTGAAGAATTCAGTATTTTCTGTCCTGAGAATATTATCCTGAAGTTTTGACCATGCTGATGTATTATGTTCTACTTTTAAAGTATTCACTTTGTGAGAACATTAAAAACAAATTGGGCTATTTGATCACAAATGGAGATGATATATCAGTTATACTGGTTTTGAAATCATGCCGCATAAAATCATGTGTTGTCATGAACTAAGAGAGCCTGTTCCAAATGATGTTTCTGGTATTCGAATGCAAAGTAACATCCAGCAGAGGGAAGACACGTTTATCTCCTAGTGTTTACCGTGTGAAATAGCTCTATGATTCATGATGTTGTTGTTTCAGGCGGGATCCAGCAGCAGCTCTCTCAGCAACGGTTTAGGTTCGTCATCAGTCAGGCCTTCAGTAAGTCTTAATTTGTACAGTACATATAGAGCAGTTGTCTGATCTCTATCTACATTACTATGTAACTGTCAGTTGAAATGTCTACAGTTCCTTTAATTTAGACCGCTTCATTTCCAGCTAGTTTTATTGCTCAACTATTACAGTCATTGAATGTGTGCAACATATGTTATATTTGGGATAACACTTTCTTAGTAAAGTACAAATTCTAGAATTTTTGGGGGTTGAACCCACACCCTCAGAGTCAGGCACCAAATCGCCAGCACAAAGTCAGCCGCCAAACCCGCTCAGCCCTCGCAACTTCCACAAAAATGGAAGTCGGACAACTGGTAGTCTAGACTGAGGACTTTGTGTTACATTTGACCACTTTCTAAATGGCATTGTGTAATCATTGAATATGTTCCTTTTCAATATTTGGCTAACATTGTCAACACATGCCAGCAGCAAGAGGTATGGTGTAAATCCTGCTGGGGTTCTTGAGGGTAGCTGACTTCTGCCCCCATGGTCCTGAGTATAGTCACCTGTAGTCTGGTTTCATGTGGTTGCTGTCAAATATTAGTTTGAAAAAAAACTTTATATGAAATCATTGATAATCAAGTTGATACTTTGTATATAAGTGACATGTTCTTTACAGTTAGTTTACGACTTATGCTTGTCACAAGCTTTTTACAGTTTGATTACAACTTATGGTTGTCACAATATAGCTGAAATGCTGCTGATGTGACAGACTGTTACTTGCACCTTTGTTGGCCATTCTTAGGATTTGGAGACATGAATGGCCCAACTGTGCTGCAATTCGTAATTCAGAGTTTGTTCACTTGTCTGCCTGGATTTGCCTATCATGAGTTTTAGTCCAAGGAGTTTTGATCCTTGGCATTCAGCCATACCCATGTGTTTCACCCATGTGGGCACTTCAGGCTTTCTCTCCACAGAAGCCAAACCTGTAACTTACAACAGTTGATTTCTGGGCTAAATGCACATACAAACAACATTCAACAATATTACTGATAATTAATCCACTCATATATCCCCTGTTATCTTAAAGTTTTATGTGGTTGTGGTTTATTATTTTCATCATGTTTCTTTCCTCTCCAGATGTCAAGGCCCAGAATAAAGCGAGTGAATCTCAGGGACTTGATGTTCTTGTTGGAGCAAGAACGGTCGTCCACAAAGTCCAACATCCTCTATAAAGCATTCCTAAAGTGAGTCTGTCCCTGGAGGGCTGACTGGACTAACTTTCTGGCTGTGATCCTGAGGGAGTTGTCTCCCCCTGCTAGTGACACCGCAGGTTTACCTGCAACGTGACCTCAGTAGTGCTATGCCGCTGGAACGGGCGGGCGGGCGGAGGGTGGGCAGGCAGGCGGGGCCCTGACAGTCACCACTATGTGATAAAGGTGGGACGTGATTCAAGGGAGTTGACCACAAACTCCAAGATCAGGAGCAGTGTTTACAGAATGGTTGATCAGACTCGAAGTCTGATGTCTGAGACAAAGCAGTAACTGAAGCTCTGTGGAGACTTGTTGTTTCTGGGAGTGATATTGTGACCACTGTTCTTTCCGTGTTTGTCGGCAGACAGAAATGTATGTAAAGATGTTTGACACTTTGAGAGGTGACAATAAAACTTCGATATATAAAACTGTTGCTGAGCAACCTAGACACTAATATGTCTGCATTCACTGTGTCTTTAAGGAAGGATTTAAATCATGGGCAGTGCACAAATACCTGGAAACTCTTCATTGACCATGGTACGACTACCACTTGGATGATATATTAATATGACTATCAAATGGTGGTAACCTAGCACCAAGCAGGGTGTGACAGCGACCACTGTACTTATATAAAGGCAGCATCTGTGTCAGCTAGCACCCACCTGAATAACTTCTGCCTCGTGTGGTGAACTGTAGGCAGTGGTGGGCCTACCATCAGTCCCACATTCAGTATTGTGAGTAGGAAGGCAGTGAAGGAGGAGCACATGAGAATCATAATATCGGACTCATTTATTGACGCCATACACAGCCTTGAGACACACACACTGTGTGGAGTAAGATCTGGATACAAGTGCTGTATTGTCACTGCCAGTTGCATAGAATCACATCAATTCATTCGTCATGTTCCTTCGCGAGGAGAATGCCTGAGACACTTCAGTTTGGTTGCTATGTAACCAATCGGGAACACCAGGTCAGGATATTGAAGGCTCATCTCTGCTCAGGGCATGTCACTCTTGACCTGAAATCTTTCTGGTCAACATCTCTAAATAATCATATACTCGGAGAAAGGCTACTTTACCTCAATTTCTGATACAGGTTTACAGTCAATTTAATTTACAGTTTATGGTCAGAGGAGCAAATCGGAACTTCCTTGAATATTATTTTTTGGATCATTGCTGTTTGGGCTGAACAGGAGACTGAATATGACATGGCAATTGGCATCACTGTCTTGAGTAACCATGGTGACAGAAGTGACTGGTTCTCAGTGTGCTCTACAGGTGGCTCCGGAGATGAGATCAAGCAATACTGACAATATCACACCTACTGTGCAAGGGCACACATCTATCACATTGTGATACATTGATTGTATGTTTCAATTAATTTATTTTCCTTTTGTAGGCTGGAGTATTATCATCTGACATAATAGTGATTGGGAGGAGCAGATATTCTGTAGTATAGTGACTCGAATGGAGGAAATGTACAATTCATGGAGCGCTAAGGGCTGGTAGCAGTGAATCTCTTCTCATAAGATTTGTAATGATATGTAAAGACAAGATGTGTATTGTGGAATGGAAACCTGTTTTTTCTAATATGAAATAAAAAAGATCAATATAACATGTTACTGAAGAGTTGTTAAATGACTATTGGTATTTTTACCTGACCAGTGATGGTTCTTTTAATTTTGGGAATGAGTTCAATATTTATTTGGAATAAAACAGTGATTTATGTAACAGGATTCATGAAATCTGTTTGGGCTACTGATATCGCTGTCTCTACATACTGCAGAGGTTGCTGTATCAAGAACCAAACCAAAGGAATGTATTGATGCATACTGGTTAATGAATGTACTGTTACAGTCAACAATGTCAATTAAGTACATGCATTTATGATTATGTAAGGAATAAACAGATGAATGTTAAAAGGTAGATAATACTTATGTACTTTTTTGCTGATTATTTTTGTTTCAAACTTTGGATATAGCTCTGATATAGAAACATAGGTATCTTCTTTCTGTAACCTTGGTAATGCTTTATAGTCATGAAAACAATCTTAAGATGAATTCATTTACTCAGAAGATAAATTCTGTTTAATCTTTTTAGTATATACAAGTTTGAAGTTGCCATGAAGACAGGTGCAGAGAAGAGTGATGTGTTGAATTCATGCATTTTGTTTCCGTGATTTCTTTCATTATTGATTGCAGTATATTAACCATGTTAACCATGATGTCATGCATATTAGTTTTTCCTCGTTTGTTTGATATGTTTCAGATGCATTCATGTTGCCAAGTTAACTGTTAATTTATAGGTAATTTAATATTTTGTGTGTAGGATTTAAGTATTTAAGCTTTCGATTTGTCAGCTGTAAAAAATGTTTGGAATAGATTCTTTGATACAGAAAAATGATTTTTAGCCATCACAGTCTCTTACAAAAAATTGCAATATTGTTTCATGGAAGTCATTTGGGAGTCCTGTCCTTCAATCATCACATAGAATCTGTAGGCATGTTGAAGGAAACTTACACTTTCAAGGCAGCATGTATATATCATTAACATGACAGGTATATGTTTACCAAGACACTGTTCACCAGATGTAGATATTGTCAATCCAAAGTCGGTTGACTCAGATTCCATGTTACTCTCATATTAAGTTGATATTAATGAACTGGGGTAGAAGGCTTGGTCTGAATTGTAAGCGTGAGGGTAATTGTTTTCATTATGGCATAATCAGATTGCTGCACTGTCTACTTGCTTAGTAATATTTATAATTAGTCCATTTATTTTGTGCTAAATCCACACCGACAGCATGCTCATAGTGCAGACAATTATTACCCTGGGATAACCAAAGCTGCCTGTGAGGCGCTAGAAGGTTATTGTCACGTGATTTATCCTACTGGGTACCCATTCTCTGCTGGAAAGGTATGTTTAAGGGAGTGTGGCTGTACTTTTAGGGATTCACAATACATAAACATGGTTACACAACATCCACTTGTCTAGTGAATGGTATGTTGTCAACCCTTCTTGTGATGCCAAACTGAAGTGTTTCAGAGATTTTCAAAATTGTAGCACTAAATGTATTTAATTTATATTCTAAAGTGTGTACGATAAATAAGCAGTTCCGACTGAACTTAAGTCAAGGAAAAATAATGACATGTCATCGCCATTAATTGAATTCAGGTGTATGGTTTCATTGGGTTGAAGAAAGCTAAGAAAAGTATTGCTACGTATGGTTATCGGGGAGATGGTAAGATAAAAGAGATTGGTGTATACAAAGATCAAGGTTTATTTCTTCCTATATCTGGATGGATATGCTGGTAGGTAAAGGATCTTTAATGATTTAAACAAGAAAAGTTTTGTTCTAAGAACTTCCGAGATTGTCAGGTTTTAGTGCATACCTGGAATGGATGGTAATTGTAGTGCTAAGACAGGAGACCCTTTGGTTTAACAACAAATAATTGTAGCAGGCAAGTGCATTTTGATAGCAGGAAATATTGATAGTTTGTAACCAGTACTTTACAACTTTTTGTCTAGCACACTAGGCTATTTATAGAATAATTAATGTTATAATTGTTACTAAGTAGTTAGATGTAATTTCAGTCACTACTGCAAAGCCCAGTAAAATGTGCAGAGGTAACAGTCTACATGCTAATAAGTTACAACTTACTTAGAATTATGGGTAGGAACAAATTGGTGTTAGTGGACTCAGACGTTTTTGGGACAGACAGACAAAAGTGATTCCCAAATTATTTTGTAAACTTAACAAAGGTCCAGAACAGATTACACACATCTTCACATATCTAGTCTGGAGTTGGTCAGGATAGTTAAAATCTTCATGGTGACCTTGTCCAAGGTAGCACTATGTGTTTATGTTAGGGTCAAATGCACTTCATTTAAAGGACAGCAGCAGTTCTTTTCGATTCTTAAATCTAAGAACATAACTTGAACAATCAATTTACAGAAGGTGTATTTTGGAATAGACAGTGCATCATATGATGTGTTGTCCTGCAGCTATACGTTATTTGTTGGATAATAACAAAAAATGGGATAATCTAGATGAAGACGTTATCTGAATCAGACAAACTTAGAAAATGTCCATTTCCTTTTTTGGTTGAATTTCAAGTTCTCAGATGCCATGCAAAAGCTGCATCTATGTTCAGGTATCATGAGGTTATTACAGGGACATCAGCATTATTACATAAACATTTGATTTAGGTGCGTACACTAGGAAAAGAATAAGTCCAATAATACTACCTCATCACTACACATGAAGCATGTTCCTGGTTCTCATCACAGGTCATCAGTGCTGGCTGGTCGTCCCCGCCCTGATGTGGCGGGAATATTGCTAAAAGCGTAAAACTAAACTCACTCACTCACTCATTATAAGCAACTGCCATGTCAACTATCATGTATATTCCACTCTGTCAAATTGTTAATGCAGACCAAAACTTATTGCTCTGAATTTGACATAAAGTAAATGATATATGTTTTGGTCATAAGTGAATGTCACTGAATGAATATGATCCTTTGGAGGGGGGGCTGCAGGAAGAATAACCTTGTACTTTAATAAGGCTGATGATGTGTGGCAAGTTTTAGATATTTGATAAAAGATATAAGTTTGAATTAGATTTAAAAACAGGCATTTACTTATGAAATGTTTACATATTTTGTATGACCCTTACACAACAGTCATTTACCCTCTTCTCTTCTTTTTCTGTTTCAGGAATGTAACATGCTATAAAAGTACACATTGTACACATTCATTCATATGCCATGTACAGAAGGACGTCATGTCAGCAAGGTTCTGGGTTCTGGGAGCCGGCTGTTTGGGTACTTAACATCATTACTGATGGATGGAATATATTGATACTGGGGCTTTCTGAATTAGTCATTTTTAAATGTAACACTTGGAGGCAAGTCAGATATTTATTCTATTTAGTGCAAGAAATGTGAACTGTTATATGAAATAGTATTTAGTCATTGGAGGTCAACTAAATCAAATTTTAAAAATATATTTTCACCTTTTGTGGAAAATGTTCAACTGAAATGACCAAATCTATGTTATCTCAAATCTAAGTTATTTGTTTAGTTCAGAATCAGCATAAAGGTCATTCTGAAACTAATAAGAGTTGCAATTTAGAAACCAGAAATTCTCAATAAGGGTTGTGTGTGTTCCCCATTTGCTTCATTCCTCATGGGTCATCTGATGTTAAGACCAACAACATTATAAAATAGGAGTTGGTGATATACAGGAACTGTAGATTGTGTGTACATAGTGTGTCTACTATTGACTGTGGAGTGGCACTAACCCTATGTTATAAAGGTGTATTGTGTGACACACTAACTCTGTGTGGATCTGTGTGTGGGATGTCCAGCAGCATCTACTACTGTTAGGTCATAATGTATTCTCTAGAATATATAACCGAAATAGTCACTGCTCCAGAGTTTCTGCAACATCCAGGGAGCAGGTGTAATTCCTGGGTTGTGGAAGACGTTGCTCCACTGTTAGCTGCCCAATGTCAGTCTAGGTCCACACACTGAAGCTCAGTGTTTCTGAAATTTAGACATTATCTCTATGTGTTGGGTGACTTTAAGTGTTACAATAATACAAATCACAAAATTTGAGTTTGTGGACAAGAAAAATGGAACCAAGGTACTTGTGCTGCCAATTTGCCTGAGCCCAGTCTCTGTAAGGTGTCTCATCTGTTTATCAGATGGTGAGCTGAAGCTGAACTGGCCCTCACATCTAATCATACATTAGCATCTTACAATTAATATGACATGGTGGTTAAGTACAGAAGGTGAGTTCTGATTTGTAGAGGTGTAAAATATTGTTACTTAAAAAAAGAATAAGTTATGATAGGTCAACTCTCAAATGCTGCTTATCATCTGAAAGGATCTGGAGCTTGTTCATTATATACTGCTGGGATGGCTGTGTGTTAATTCATGGTTAGGCTAAATCATGGTTAAGTACATTAAAGCCTGCCCAGGGACTGACATCGTTTCCTGAGACAATATTGTATCATACAGAGTGATATTCACATTATTAAACATGTACATCAGATGTGATTATTTTTTAATCTTATCATATTTCCTTCATTTTTCACCCAGTTTGTACAGAGATGCTGAGTGTATGCAACTTCTCTCCTGGAGGATAGATTTGGTTCAACACTGTTTTCAATTGTTTTTGTGTTACTGAGTAACACATAATGTACATTTATTCAAGGGGAGAGAACTCTGCCTTGACAGTTGTTTTGCAGTGTTGTCTAAATTATTGTAGATAACAGAGGAGATATTGTGTTGATTTGTACATTAATATTATGTTATTAGAAATCAGAACCACAAACTTGAAAATGTAATTTATCCATGTGGAATAAATTATGTGATCATGATTTTAACAATGGCTTTTGTTTTCGCTCTGATCTGTTTTCATCCATGCATTTTGTTGTGCAGAGTTGCATCTTCTCGATGTTTATAAACTCCTGTGATCATTCGTTTGAATCTTGACTTTGTTTTTTGATTTGTCAAATATTTTACTAGGAATGGTAGCTCTTTTTGGTAAATTAAAGTAGTACACTATTTGCATTTATGAACCAATAATGACAGAATTGGAATATTGCTAAAAGCGG